GTCTGTAGTGGAAACAGTCCCTGTGAAAGTGTCTGTAGTAGAAACAGTCCCTGTGAAAGTGTCTGTAGTGGAAACAGTCCCTGTGAAAGTGTCTGTGGTGGAAACAGTCCCTGTAAAAGTGTCTGTAGTGGAAACAGTCCCTGTAAAAGTGTCTGTAGTGGAAACAGTCCCTGTGAAAGTGTCTGTAGTGGAAACAGTCCCTGTGAAAGTGTCTGTGGTGGAAACAGTCCCTGTAAAAGTGTCTGTAGTGGAAACAGTCCCTGTGAAAGTGTCTGTGGTGGAAACAGTCCCTGTAAAAGTGTCTGTAGTGGAAACAGTCCCTGTGAAAGTGTCTGTAGTGGAAACAGTCCCTGTGAAAGTGTCTGTAGTGGAAACAGTCCCTGTGAAAGTGTCTGTGGTGGAAACAGTCCCTGTAAACATGTCTGTAGTGGAAACAGTCCCTGTAAAAGTGTCTGTGGTGGAAACAGTCCCTGTCTTGCGAAAGTGTCTGTAGTGGAAACAGTCCCTGTAAACGTGTCTGTAGTGGAAACAGTCCCTGTAAAAGTGTCTGTAGTGGAAACAGTCCCTGTGAAAGTGTCTGTGGTGGAAACAGTCCCTGTAAAAGTGTCTGTAGTGGAAACAGTCCCTGTGAAAGTGTCTGTAGTGGAAACAGTCCCTGTGAAAGTGTCTGTGGTGGAAACAGTCCCTGTAAAAGTGTCTGTAGTGGAAACAGTCCCTGTAAAAGTGTCTGTAGTGGAAACAGTCCCTGTGAAAGTGTCTGTAGTGGAAACAGTCCCTGTGAAAGTGTCTGTGGTGGAAACAGTCCCTGTAAAAGTGTCTGTAGTGGAAACAGTCCCTGTGAAAGTGTCTGTAGTGGAAACAGTCCCTGTAAAAGTGTCTGTAGTGGAAACAGTCCCTGTGAAAGTGTCTGTAGTGGAAACAGTCCCTGTGAAAGTGTCTGTAGTGGAAACAGTCCCTGTAAAAGTGTCTGTAGTGGAAACAGTCCCTGTAAAAGTGTCTGTGGTGGAAACAGTCCCTGTCTTGCGAAAGTGTCTGTAGTGGAAACAGTCCCTGTAAACGTGTCTGTAGTGGAAACAGTCCCTGTAAAAGTGTCTGTAGTGGAAACAGTCCCTGTGAAAGTGTCTGTGGTGGAAACAGTCCCTGTAAAAGTGTCTGTAGTGGAAACAGTCCCTGTGAAAGTGTCTGTAGTGGAAACAGTCCCTGTGAAAGTGTCTGTGGTGGAAACAGTCCCTGTAAACATGTCTGTAGTGGAAACAGTCCCTGTAAAAGTGTCTGTGGTGGAAACAGTCCCTGTCTTGCGAAAGTGTCTGTAGTGGAAACAGTCCCTGTGAAAGTGTCTGTAGTGGAAACAGTCCCTGTGAAAGTGTCTGTAGTGGAAACAGTCCCTGTGAACATGTCTGTAGTGGAAACAGTCCCTGTGAAAGTGTCTGTAGTGGAAACAGTCCCTGTGAACATGTCTGTAGTGGAAACAGTCCCTGTGAACAGTGTCTGTAGTGGAAACAGTCCCTGTGAAAGTGTCTGTAGTGGAAACAGTCCCTGTGAACGTGTCTGTAGTGGAAACAGTCCCTGTGAAAGTGTCTGTAGTGGAAACAGTCCCTGTGAACATGTCTGTGGTGGAAACAGTCCCTGTCTTGTGAAAGTGTCTGTAGTGGAAACAGTCCCTGTAAAAGTGTCTGTAGTGGAAACAGTCCCTGTAAACGTGTCTGTAGTGGAAACAGTCCCTGTATTAAACAGAATCATAAATCCTCAATAATCCTCAGGGTGAAATATCTTTTCGTTACAGTAACTCCAGTGCAAGTAAAGTAGAAAGATAAACGATAGATAAATAAAAGATAAAATAAGTGAAACTAAAGAGGTAATTTACAGGTTTTTACACTTTAAACAACATAAATTATAAAGTCGTAAACATGAAGAGCGGAGGAACAGGCTGCAGGCCTGTTTGCTCTTCCTACCTCTCTACCTTTTCTCTCAGATGTTCTAATCCTCATAGTCTCCTGTGTCAGTGCTGTGTGTCCTCTCCTTTAATACACACACTCACAGTCTAACACACACACACACACACACACACACACACACGCAGCAGAGTTTTATGGTCCGCTGTGTGATGTCAACCGCCTCAGTTATCTTCTCTGTGTGAGGTAAACCCAGTTATACGCCACACACTCCACAGCTCTGCACACACACACACACACTCACACACACTCTCACACACACTCTCACTCTCACACACACACACACACACACACACAGAGTAATTTGCAGATTATCAACAAGTACGGTCATTGAGTGGAAATTAATTTGCCACTAGTAATGGATAAAGACGTTTTGCTGAGACGCGTAAAAACAGCTGAACTGCCAGCGATTACCTGCAGGAATCAGCCTTCATCAATATCAGGATAATTACAAAGCACTCCTGGCAGCGCGTGAAATGAACGGAGCGTGCAGCAGATTGGGCCGCCGCCATAGATGTCTGCAGATATTAAGTCCTCGTCCACAGGGGAGGAGGATACCTGAGCGGACCGGAGCGGGTTCAGGACCTGAAACAGATTCATATTCAAACAAGTCAGGAGGATTAGGACAGAACCGGAACAGAACCGCACAGAACCCCAGAGGACTAAGGGGGAGAGTGGATTTAGACAGGACCATAACAGAGACGTTAACGAGCAAATATGACCCAAACAGACTCTGACAGAAACCAGAGAGAGAGAAAAAACGGAGAATAAACAAGTTTGGGAGAGATTTACGGTTTTCACAGAAGCTGAGACGGTGTGAAGGGAGTCACTGCAGAAAAAGGGGTCTAAAAACAAGATTAAAACACTAAAAACAAGATAAAAACACTAAAAAACAAGATAAAACACCAAAAACAAGATAAAAACACTAAAAACAAGATAAAAACACTAAAAAACAAGATAAAAACACTAAAAAACAAGATAAAACTCTAAAAACAAGATAAAAACACTAAAAAACAAGATAAAAACACTAAAAACAAGATAAAAAACACTAAAAAACAAGATAAAAACACTAAAAACAAGATAAAAACACTAAAAAAACAAGATAAAAACACTAAAAACAAGATATCTGTTATAAAGGACATCTGATACAATAAAAAACAGCTGATTTTTTTTTTTAGGGTTTGGTGTTTTTTTTTTTCCATCCTGGTCTGGTGCGTCTGAATTACACTGAATTTATTGACATTGAATTTTTTTTTTACAGTTTTTTTAAAGTCTAATTTTTACTACACAAATCTTTTAAGAGACTGATTTTTTTACACTGAATTTATTTCATTATTGTGAAAAAAAAATACATTTAAGAAATAAAAAATGCGTGCTTGAAATTCAATAGTTTTGAAATTCAAAGTCTGATTTTGATGCCAAAAAAATTCAGCGTTAGAAACTCAAAATCAGATGGCACAGATTGACTTCCATAGAACACACTCAGTAAGTGACTCTAAAAGGAGGATTCGTCTCCTTCAGTTGATGCTCAGCGTTCGTCATTAAAGCAGATTTTCTAAGTTGTGTTCGGTGTTTCTGCGGCTTCGTCTCAGCTGTAAAATCAGCTGATCTGCAGCTGTGTGATTCACAAATACAAATGACCACTTAGACCCTAAAGAAGACGTTTTCTGCAGCCTGCTGGGATGCATTGTGATGTTTTGGAGATCCCCTCTCCAGCAGCACTGAGGGTAAATAAATGCGCTTTAAAAGAGTAAATGAGCTTGAGCAAAGTGGCCCTTTGAGCCTGCATGTTTGTGGAGCAGCCATAATGGATTCTTTAGAGCCGTGAACGGTTTATAGGCATGACAGCCATGTTTCGGCACGATGGGCTTATCCCTACGCACGCCGCTAAGGATATTAGGGAATCAGCGTAAAGCAGCATGGAAATGATGACTGGAGCAAAGCCTCAGCTCGCTGGTATTATAAGCCCTCATTTCTGCAGCGCTCCATCCTCAGAAAGAGGAGGAGGAGGAGGGGTGGGGGTTGGCTCAGCTCCACGGTGTGATATCCTCCTCCTTTATTTCCTCCTCCATCTCTGCTTCTCTGCTCTACAATTAAAAGGATGTCACCCAATCTGGGCACAGGGCAAATTTACTGCAGGTCAATCTCGCCTATTGTGGCGTTTCCTTTTAAGACGTCGCAAGAATCCGTGTCGTCCTTATGGAGATGTGCGGAGAAGCTGGCTGAACGCCAAGTCTCGGATACTAAGTTGGCACCGAGCGGGGGGGCTCGATAAAGCAGAGCGGGCCGAACATGAAAAACAGACGCCAGGAAGGTCCCCGAAAAAAACAATTCACTTCCACAACGGAGGGAGGGACTGTTTCCACTACAGACACGTTCACAGGGACTGTTTCCACCACAGACACTTTCACAGGGACCGTTTCCACCACAGACACTTTCACAGGGACTGTTTCCACTACAGACGATTTCACAGGGACTGTTTCCACTACAGACACGTTCACAGGGAGGGAGTGTTTCCACTACAGACACTTTCACAGGGACTGTTTCCACTACAGACACTTTTACAGGGACTGTTTCCACTACAGACACGTTCACAGGGACTGTTTCCACCACAGACACTTTCACAGGGACTGTTTCCACTACAGACACTTTCACAGGGACTGTTTCCACTACAGACACTTTCACAGGGACTGTTTCCACTACAGACACTTTTACAGGGACTGTTTCCACTACAGACACGTTCACAGGGACCGTTTCCACCACAGACACTTTCACAGGGACTGTTTCCACTACAGACACGTTCACACGGACTGTTTCCACTACAGACACTTACAGGGACTGTGTCCACTACAGACACTTACAGGGACTGTTTCCACTACAGACACTTACAGGGACTGTTTCCACTACAGACACTTACAGGGAGTGTTTCCACTACAGACACTTTCACAGGGACTGTTTCCACTACAGACACGTTCACACGGACTGTTTCCACTACAGACACTTACAGGGACTGTTTTTACAGACTGATTACAGACTGGTTATTTTTACAGACTGTTTACAGACTGGTCGTGTTTACAGACTGATTACAGACTGGTTATTTTTACAGACTGTTTACAGACTGGTCGTGTTTACAGACTGATTACAGACTGGTCGTGTTTACAGACTGATTACAGACTGGTCATGTTTACAGACTGATTACAGACTGGTTGTGTTTACAGACTGATTACAGACTGGTCATGTTTACAGACTGATTACAGACTGGTCGTGTTTACAGACTGATTACAGACTGGTCGTGTTTACAGACATTCCAGGACATTTTTACAGACTGATTACAGACTGGTTATTTGTACAGACTGATTACAGACTGGTCATGTTTACAGACTGATTACAGACTGGTCATGTTTACAGACTGATTACAGACTGGTCATGTTTACAGACTGATTACAGACTGGTTAATTTTACAGACTGATTACAGACTGGTCATGTTTACAGACTGATTACAGACTGGTCGTGTTTGGACGAACTTGTTTAGAAAATAAGTCACCCCCTTCAGCCAATCAGAGTGGAGTGTCTCTGATGAAAACGGCTCCGTCTCCCCCTGATGGTCGTCGGTGTGCATAGGTCCCTCTTGTTGCATAAATCTAAAGTAGCTGCAGAAAGTCTGGGGGTCTATCTGAGTCCACAGTGGGCCCACCAGATGAATATCTCCACCCTCTCCACCCACGGTGGCTCTCCTGTCAGAGCTGGGCCACAGCAGAAGCATGATTAATGTCCCACCTCTCACCCCCCACTGTAAATTAGAGACCACGGGTCGAAACTATTTTTCTTGGCGAGCAGGAGCGCGCTCGTGGCTAAAAAACGGGGCAAACACTGTTTATCATCGGCATGACGACAGCCCTCCTCGGGGCGAATTAACCACACGGCCGTATCGACTGGCACGAGCCGGGAGTCAGCGCCCCTTCACTTTGATTAATATCCTCGAGTTCCTGCTGCAACTCTATCAGGGCGATCAGAGCGAAGACGCACGCCATCGATCTGTAAACAAACACGGCACGACTACACAACCAAACAAACACACACACACACACACACTCAGAGGGACAGAGGCTGTGCTGGAGGACAGGTGAGCTCAATTCAGGTATGTAACATGTACATGAATCTGCAGAGTCATGAGAGTTTATTTCCACTACAGACGATTTCACAGGGACCGTTTACACCACAGACACGTCCACGTCCACAGAGACTGTGGACGTGTCTGTAGTGGAAACAGTTCCTGTGGACATATCTGTAGTGGAAACAGGCACCGTAAAAGTGTCTGTGGTGTAAACGGTCCCTGTGAAATCGTCTGTAGTGGAAACAGTCCCTGTGAAAGCGTCTGTAGTGGAAACAGTCCTTGTGAAAGCGTCTGTAGTGGAAACAGTCCTTGTGAAGTTGTCTGTAGTGGAAACAGTCCCTGTGAAAGCGTCTGTAGTGGAAACAGTCCCTGTGAAATCGTCTGTAGTGGAAGCAGTCCTTGTGAAGTTGTCTGTAGTGGAAACAGTCCCTGTGAACCTGTCTGTAGTGGAAACAGTCCCTGTGAAAGTGTCTGTAGTGGAAACAGTCCCTGTGAAAGTGTCTGTAGTGGAAACAGTCCCTGTGAAAGCGTCTGTAGTGGAAACAGTCCCTGTGAAAGCGTCTGTGGTGTAAACAGTCCTTGTGAAATTTCCATAAATGACGAATGAGTCGAATTAAACATGTAAATTCATGAAGGACAGACTGTTTCAGAGAGTGGCGAGCAGTGAGTCACTCTGCTGCGGCTTTTTTAACCCACAGACATCAGAAAACATCTCCTCACATTAGTGCCACAGCTCATAAAAATCTCCCGTTGTCAGCCTGATCATGCAAATCTAAAACACGAGTGCCACATGCTGCAGCTGGAAGCCAATCTGCGGCGATTCAGGACACGAAAACTTTTCCTCGTGTCCTTTTGTAAGCTTGTAAAGTAACACCAGATACTTCGGCTGAGGCCTCTTCAAACTAATAGTTTACAGCTTTAAACTGACGTTACTCAGCCAGAACCAATTTGAGGGAAAACAAGTCATGCACTGGTTTGTTTTGCATGTTAAGAAAGTGTAACTCGAACAGCTATGTGCGACCTCTCTGACCCTGGAGACCTGTTAGCTCCGCTCTCGCAGGCTCGGGCGCCCTGTCCGGTTTGCCTGCGAGCACCATCTGTCCCGCATGTAAAAATCTCTGACAATAGGAGGGGCTGCTGTAAATGTCACGCCACAGGATTTAAGGCAGCCGATCCACATGACTTATCAGAAATAACACAATAAAAAATGCTCAGTCACAGTCTGCCAAACACGCTGGCAAGGATACACATAAAGCAGATTGTTTTGCATATGTGCTGCAGTCGGTCGGTGCTGGGCAGCGCAGAAATGGATTAACACCACGGTCTGTGAGGAAGAGACGAGGACAAGCTGCCACCTCAGACAAACTTCACCAGGAGGTGATGAGAGGAAGATGAACACCAGAGTCTTCCTCCTGTCGTTCCTGAACTGCAGGAGGTCCAGTGTCAGGCGAAATGTTGAAGTTCTCAGAGTTTCAGACACTTTCACAGGGACTGTTTCCACTACAGACACTTTTTCAGGGACTGTTTCCACTACAGACACTTTCACAGGGACTGTTTCCACTACAGACACTTTTTCAGGGACTGTTTCCACTACAGACACTTTCACAGGGACTGTTTCCACCACAGACACTTTTTCAGGGACTGTTTCCACCACAGACACTTTTTCAGGGACTGTTTCCACTACGGACACTTTCACAGGGACTGTTTCCACTACAGACACTTTCACAGGGACTGTTTCCACTACAGACACTTTTTCAGGGACTGTTTCCACTACAGACACTTTCACAGGGACTGTTTCCACCACAGACACTTTTTCAGGGACTGTTTCCACTACAGACACTTTCACAGGGACTGTTTCCACTACAGACACTTTTTCAGGGACTGTTTCCACTACAGACACTTTTTCAGGGACTGTTTCCACTACAGACAACTTCACAGGGACTGTTTCCACTACAGACAAATTCACAGGGACTGTTTCCACTACAGACACTTTCACAGGGACTGTTTCCACTACAGACACTTTCACAGGGACTGTTTACACCACAGACACTTTTTCAGGGACTGTTTACACCACAGACACTTTTTCAGGGACTGTTTCCACCACAGACACTTACACAGGGACTGTTTCCACTACAGACACTTTTTACATGGCCTGTTTCCACCACAGACATGTTTATAGGAGCTTTGTTTTTGTAAGTGATGATTTTATCATAACTTTATTCTTTTAAGTAGTTACTTTATTATGACATTATTCTTGCAAGTAATGATTTTATTATGACTATATTTTCGTAAAAATTACTTTATTACGACATTATCCTCATGAGTAATTACTTAAATACGACTTTATTCTTGTAAGTTACTGACTTTAATCTTAATTTTTTTCCTTAAATGTGGCCCTTATACTCCGTCGTACGAATGTCATTGTTTTATCTTAAAATTAAGAGTTCATTAAATCCAAAGTACAGCCTCTCAAGCAACACAATCAAAAAAAAAAGAATGCAAAGAAGAAGACACAACGAAAGTTAACGATGCAAAAAAAGAAAAGAAAAGAAAAAAAATAAGAAACATCATTATTGGTCCCTGGTAGCTCACTTCTTTTGTGGCTTTTTTTTATTTGCATCCTTTTATTTTCTCAGGAGGTAATTTTTTTATTTTTTGCGTTGTTAACTTCATTTGTGGCTTTTTTTTTATCTGGATCATTTATTTTTTTATTCCATAGGGCTTCCGTTTCTTTTTTATTTTTTTGCATTCTTATTTTATTTTTTATTTGCAGCAGTGGCCGTCCTTGACCACCGTAGTTTACAGTGCAGTATACAATAGCATGACTTGAGGGTTAATTTTAGTCATTATAAATAAATACTACTTTTTTATGAACAACGTTTAGAGTTGTTTTTTTAATCTATTTTTTTCCCCACTGACGTAGATCAACTTCCGTAAACGTCACAGCTGTCAGAAACAAAATGGCGGCGTCCTGTGTGCGGACGGTGGGCTCGTTTCTCGGTAAATATGGGAATTACGGCTCAAACATCAACACAGTAAGGTCTCATTTAAACAGACAGGTGAGTATATATTATGTATTCTTTATGTATTGCATTTGAGATACCCCTGTAGATGAATAAACAGAGAAATATACTGAAACTCGTCCTTCAGTTAGCGTGTTTGCTGCTCCGGTTAGCCGAAACTCGCTTCATAATTTCGGATTTTTACTTTCACCTTCGCTGTTTTACGTGTTTTCATGGTTTCACAGACTCATATGAAGTTTGATGTGAATGATATGACCTCGAAGTCCAGTTCGGCTTGTATTTTGTTGGTTATTTTAAGGATATTTGACGTGTTTTACCTTCATGTGTTGTCGTGGTCCCCAGGTGCTGATCCGGCAGGTATGTGTGAGCTCCGCTCTCCACAGGAAGAACCTGGCAGCTGCAGGTCCAGAGAGGTTCACCAAGGAGTTTGTGGAGAAGCAGGTGGAGGAGTTTAACGTGGGGAAACGACACCTGGCCAACATAATGGGGGAGGACCCGGAGACCTTCACCCAGGAGGACGTGGACGTAAGAACCAAGGAGGATTCAGACCTCCTCACTGTCCCTGTTTCTGAGATTTAAGGTGGTATCTTAGAGTTAGTGCACACCCGGATTTATCCTGTCAAATCAGAGATCCACCTGGTGAACTTTCTCCTCCCTCTCCTTGTCCCACAGCCAATCAGAAGCGAAGGAGGCGGGACCTTTCCCTACCATCCTACAAAGAAATGTATGAATAAATACATTTTACAATTTGCACAAACAAGGGTTCGACCGTGTGACCGTTTCACTCCCATTTATGACTAAAAATACATGTGTGTGAATTGTAAACTGTATTTAGGGTCACGTGCACAGAAAAAAAATCAACAAATGTTTTTTTTTTCCCCTGTAAATATGGCGGTGAAGTTAGTTTCAGGTTGGATATATTTTCCTGTAAATACGGCGGTGAAGTTAGTTTTAGGTTGGATATATTTTCCTGTAAATACGGCGGTGAAGTTAGTTTCAGGTTGGATATATTTTCCTGTAAATACAGCGGTGAAGTTAGTTTTAGGTTGGATATATTTTCCTGTAAATACGGCGGTGAAGTTAGTTTCAGGTTGGATATATTCTCCTGTAAATACGGCGGTGAAGTTAGTTTCAGGTTGGATATATTTTCCTGTAAATACGGCGGTGAAGTTAGTTTCAGGTTGGATATCTGACGGACATTCTCTGAGGATCTACCGGTGTCTTCTCTCTCTCCATAACCAGGAATAACAACAGCAGCGTGGTTAAATCTACTCGACACCCTCACTGTCAACGTCGGTGTTGAATAAGGGACCGTCAATAAATTACCGGTTGATGTTCTCAGAAAAGGCTGTTTTCCTTCAATAGCTTCACTGTCATGTGACCAAAAGACCTAAAACTGATTTCTGATAATAGTACTAAGGTCGATCAATAAGACGAACATTATTGATCAGTTTTCATTGATCCCCTTAAGTTCTTTGTGCTCCTTATAAACAAAGTTAGTGTTGATCCCTGCTCATCTATTTTTAGTCCTGAGTGAAACGGTCGCCTTGTCGAGCCCTGCGACGTAAACAAAGATAGATTTGAAGTCTTATCTCTCCTCACACACGGCTCCACAGATTCTAAAACAGTCCAGGAATTTCCAACGGTCCCTAAACACCTCATGTGACCAAACTTCCGATCTCTCCGATGGAAACTGTGTTTTGAACCTGATTTGAGAGGATGTGAGTTCAGGGATACAGACACAGTTCACACCTGCAGGCAGACTGAATATAGAGGAGGTGAATTTGATCAGGTGTGTCTTCCTCCTCTTCTTCCTCAATAACTCTCTCGCTCCTCCAAACTCCTCTTTTCCTCTCGCGTCTCCGTCGTTTTGAAGGTAGCAACCTGTTCGCCGCTGCGGCCGCACCTGCTGCCTCACTAATTGAAGCGACGCTCGAAAAGGAGGAGGAGGAGGAGGAGAGATGAACAGGCTGTCCTGATGAGTGTGGCGGGGCCAACACACTTCCTGTCCCCGCTCGTTTCCATCACGCACACGTTTGCGGCGCCATCTGTAGCCCTGCTAACACACACACACACACACACACACACACACACAGAGTGAGGATGAACTTGGAGTGAACTGTTGGACGTCCACACTGTCCTCTGCTCGCTGTCATCCACAAACTTGTGCCTTTTTCTGCTTGTTTTCTCCTCTAACTGCACACACACACACACACACACACACACACACACACACACACACACACACACACACTCGCCTTTCCTTGAACCCTCAGCAGCCTGTTCCTCCTCCTCCTCCTCTGTCAGTTCTCCTCGTCACGGCTCGGTGTGACCTCCGCTGTTCGATGTGTCGGCGTTATTTCCTGGTGATCGGCCGTCGTCTCAAACTTGTTTTTTTGTTCTTTTTCAGAGGAGCATCTCGTACCTTTTCCCCTCCGGCCTGTTTGAGAAGAGAGCGCGGCCCCTCATGAAGGTGGGTCTGCACCTTTCAGGTCCATGATTGTTGGTCACACTCTGTAAAGTTAGAAACATGAGCTCTGACCGTCTGAAGCTGTGGTTCTCCACTGGTGGGTCCCTACGGAAGTCAAACTGTGCCATCTGATTTTGAATTTGAATTTCTAAAGCTGAATTTTTTTGCATCAAATCAGAGTTTGAATTTCAAAACCATCGAATTTCAAGCACGTATTTTCATTTCTGAGGTCCATAGGTCCGGACCCAAAAGTGGGTCGTGGACACGTTCTGGATGGGGCGTGAACAGCTGGTCAAAAAAGTAAATATTTCATGCCCATCTGATGTTTGACATGTCTTGTCTTGTCACAGACATGTTTATTTTTTTCCAAAAGGGTGTACAGTGAAAGGCAAAAGTAAAATCAACAGATAAAAAAATAATAATAAAAATGTAATAGATAAAAAAAATAAAAATAAAAAAATATTTTTTTAAAAATCAAAACAATTAAAATAAATAAAAGTGAAAAGATTTTTTTAAAAAACTGTATGATATGGTTAAGTGTGACCTTTTTTTTCTAAAAGTGCAAAAAGTGAAAGGCAATAGTAAAAACAAAAAATAAAAAAATTGAAAATTCAATAAATAAAAAATAAAAATAAGTGATTTTTTTAAATTAAAACTAAATTTAAAATTTTTTTTTTTTAATTTAAAAATAAACAAATAAATATTATATTACCTTGTAAAGTTTTACCGTTTTTATTTATTTATTTATTTTTTAAAATAAATTTTCTTGGTTTGAATTTTATAAAAGTGGGTCGTGACTTTAGGACCATGAGAAAATGTGGGGGCTCCAGAGTGAGACCGGCTGAGAACCACTGATCTAAAGGGTTTAACCTCTGAGGAGGTTGATGGTTTCTGTTTTGTGTTTTTATGATTTTCTGCATTTTTCTTTCAAACTTGAACTGAAGTGAGAATTTTGTTTCTGCAGCATCCAGAGGAGATATTTCCTCAGCAGAGAGCCGTCCAATGGGGAGCTGACGGCCGGCCGTTCCACTTCCTGTTCTACACGGGGAAACAGTCGTTCTACTCCCTGATGCATGTGAGTACAGGAGGAGGAGGAGGAGGAGGAGGAGGAATCTCCTGCTGCCTCAGGTCATTTCTGATTGACAGAGAGAGGGTGGAGAGGAGGAGGCCGGGTCGTTATTCTTCATCAGCTCTTCTCCGACCGTCCTGTTTGCTGTTTTTGTTTTTTTTAGTGTAGATGTGAAGATGATGATGAGCTGTAGATCAGTCCAGATCATCAACACATAGATTCTGGATTTCTGTTCGTGAACTTACGGTGGAGTATAAGGGCAACATTAAGAGAAAAAATTCAAGACTTCGGGATTAAAATCATTACTAACGAGAATAAAGTCGTAATGAAATGATCATTTATGACTTTATCCTCCTAAGTATTGTTTTTAATTATCTTATTCTCGTAGGTAATTACGAAGTCTTTTATTCTTAAAGGTGCCCTAACACTCCGTCATACGGACTAAATGTCTGCGGTGAAGAATCGGATCATTTTCAGTCTTCCTGCACAGTCATTAAACAGGCGCCGCTCTGCTCACAGGGGGGCGCCAAACTCAACACACAGCAGAGGTTCCTCACAGGAGCTTTAACAGCAGAACAGAGGGCCGTAGTTATGACAGGAGAGGAGCAGCAGGAGGCGCCAGAGAGCAAAGATTTTTCACATGAACAGAAAAAAACTGAATTTTGAATGAAGACATAAAAACAATCGGTTGCCGTGGGAGACGGTTAGAATAAACAACGTCTGAGTTCAAAATGGTGGTTTTCTGAGGTGTGGCGCGTCTGGCTCATCAGGCTTTTGTCCCGCCACGGGAAGCGAGCGACTCCTCCGCGGGGATTTGAGGGGGTGAGGAGGGGGGAGGTGTTCATCATTCACACCCTCCTCACCTCTCAGCGGCCCCTCCCCCTTTCTTTTGTCTCTGACCTCGACTGAGACGTTTCACACGTGAACGAAGCGGCGTGTGTCTGAATCTGAGAGACGTGCAGAGAGGTGTGAGCGAGGAGTCTGCTCACACACATACACACACACACACACACACACACACACACTCTCAGGATGCCCTGCAGACATGTCGTCGCCCCCTGCTGCTCCTTTAAATAGGTGTGTCAGACATGTCTGAGACCTTTTTTGTCCTCCCCTCCTCCTGTTTTTCTTCTTTTCATCAGTTTTAGTTTTTTTTTTTTTTCAGGTTATTTTTTCGAGATTTAATCAGCACACACTCACACACCTCCTGGCTGTGTCCAGTAGGGGGCAGCAGTGTTTAACCCTTGTGTACTGATGCCAATAAAGGGCAAAAGGGAGTCAAAATCATTGGATCATTTTTTATATTGAAAATCAGTGACATGACCTCTGAAATCAAGATTTAAAGGGTTAAAAATCAAATAATTTTGATTTGTTCAGTATTTTCGATCTGGACTGAGCTTAATGAAGAGATTTGAGCAGAAAGAAATTTATAAATATTTATCTGATATGTTTTTACAGCAGCTAATTTCAGTGGATAAAAATGTCCACGAATTCTTCTATTATTTATTATTATAAAATCCAAATAATTTAGATTTTTTTAAATTATTTTTTTTGATCTGGACTGAGCTTAAAAAAGAGATTTGAGTAGAATATTTTATAAAAATGTATCTTAAATTGTTTTTACAGCAGCTAAATGTAGTTGCTGTTAACAGCCAATAGAGGGCAAAAGGGAGTAAAAAATAAATAAATCTGATGCTGTGCAAAAAATAATACTGCATCAAAGTCAATGTTGTTACTGATGTTTGACATATATAAGGGTGCAGTAGTGTGTAAAAAATCTCTGTTTTCTCATCAGATTTTATTCTAAAAATCTGTCATTTTGTGTAATTTTTTTTTTTTTTCTGCTTAAATTGGTGACTCCACCTCTGATCGGCATGTAAAGGGTTAAAATCCATAATTAAAATAATAATAATAATAATAGTTCTGACAAGGACTGAACTTAATGAAGAGATTTGAGCAAAAAGAATAAAAAAAAAAACTTTATTTTTTTACAGCAGCTAAAGTCAGTGGCCAAAAACGCCCACGAAGAGGCCAAAGGTCTGATAATCTGTACACAGGGAATTTTTCACCTTGTAAAAACATTTGAAAGTTTTTGTAAAATTTAATTTCCTCACTAAAAATGATCACGCTCTCTCAAAAAAAGTCAAAGTTTAGGTCCAAAATGTGTTTTTTTTTTCCTCTACTGGACAAAAAAAGCTACAATGCAGAAGTGTTACTATTTGTGTTGTATATAGTGTAGATACATGTATATTATTTATTTATTTTTACTTATTTTATTTATTTATTTTTACGTATTTTAAACTTATTTTATCTCCGTCGTCACACGCCCAAGCCGAGCGCGGGCTGTCGGCTCTGAACATCAAACAGAACATTATCGCACTTCTGAATCTCCGAACCCGATAGACGACGACGACGTTTCACAGCCATAAGGAATAACCAATCGGAGCCCAGCACTTCTAGCCAATCAGAGGCGAAGGAGGGCGGGACCTTCCCCTACCTCTGAACCTCTGAGGCCTGTGATGCGTTCAAAGACGCCGTATTAGACGGGAAATGTGTGATATTGGCGGCGTTTTGAGCGTCCGGCGCCTTTTTCTCTCGGGTCGTGTCGATCCTTCGTCTCTGATGTCGCGTTGAGTGTCAGCAAACATGTATCCCAGCTCCCCCTCTCCTCCTCCTCCTCCTCCTCCTCCTGTCATCGGTGTCTTTTCTCCTCTTTTCTATTATCCTCCTCTTTCCTTTTTTTCTCTCAAAATTACTTTTTTGCTCCATGTTTGCTCCTTTTTTATTCAGCCCTCCTCCTGCTCCGGCGTCGGCGGTCGGAGTGGCGGCGGATTAGGCACACTCTATCAAGAAGGAATTAAACAAACATCTGCTGAATAATTGACGGGGAAATGAGTTCTCACCCTGAGCTGGGGGAGGGAGGGGGGGTTCCTCTGCCTGAGTGGGACGTGACCAGCATGCCCCTGTCCCGCCATTCATCTGAAACAGCCAATCAAAAGAGGTTATTTAGAGAGAGGGAGGGGGAGGAAGTGATGTCACGTCTTTTCTTCTGGTGGAAGAGCTCAGGTGTGTTTTTGGGTTCGGTCTGTTGACTGACTCTGACAGGTGTCTGTTTCTAAAGATGACCTCTGTGTGACCTTTTGACCTCTTCAGGTGTTTATAAACAAACTGATGAGGAAAATTCAAAAATTAGTGATTTTCTGAATGGGGTTTGGTGGTACGGTAGTTCCAGATAAGGCCAGCAGGGGGAGTTTGTTATTTCTGTGGAAATGTGTCTGAGTTTGTTTTTTTATGTTTAAGGACACGTACGGGAGAATCCTGAACATCGAGAAACGCCAAGATCGTCTGCGAGCGAAGGGACTGTTTGACCCCAAGGTCAAACCCGTGTAAGTGTAGAAACGCTGACTCTAGATGTCTCTGAGGCCTCTGTCTTTCTGAAGTTGATCTGAGTGTCCGTGTCGCTCAGGTCTTTAGGCGCAGGTCGGTGGCTCTTCAAGGAGGAGCTGGAGGATCTGCTGGTGGAGGCCATGTCCCCTCAGGATGTAAGACCCCCACCCTTCACGCCGTGTCCGTGGTCACGTTGGCGAGCGGTCTCTGACTCTGACTCTGTTTCCTCCAGTACGATCGTTTCATCCAGCTGATGGAGCGCCTGCTGTCCATGCCGTACAACGCCACCCAGGAGGAGTTCATCCTGCGTTACAGACGTCAGCTGGAGGTTCAGTCCAGGAAGGAGATGGTGCCGGCGCTGCAGAGAGACGAGCGCGGCGTGGCCTTCAGCACGGCCGAGGGTAATCCAAACACGCGGTGACACTGAAGGTTGTTTAGCGGAGACGAGAGTTTATTCTCAGCAGATCCAGAAAAACGTCCTCCGAGATCATCGTGACGAACGTCTGAAGTTTTCTCTTCAGTCTCTGAAGCTCCAGATTTAACTCTGTCACTCCAACAAGAGTTTAAAAACAACAGAATCACTTTTCATCATGAACACGACCCAGACTCTTTTATTTAAAATAATCATCTCAGTCAGTTTATCTGGAAATATGAGGGTTTTTGTGGTTTTTACCACTAAAAATATCAGTGACATGTTGAACGAAAACTGTCATATAAAGGGTCACACACCGACGTTTTTATTAGTTATTTTTTAACGGTCAGGGTTGAAGTTGTTAAAAAGATTTGAGTCTAAAAAAGTTTAAAAAAAGTTAAAAAAGTTTATTTTATGAGGACGTTTCTGCAGGAGTGTTTTAGGGACAAAGGGGCTGAATGGAGTCCCTCTGAAGTGAATCTAACCGTCCTGTTGGTCTTCAGAAGGACTTTAAAGAGAATCAAAAGGTCTCAGGTGTGACAGGTGTCCCTCTGAACTCACCTCAGACCGCCCCCCCCCCCCCGTCAGTCTGGACTGACCTCAGATCTTCATTTCCTCTCAGGACGCAGAAAAACGTCCAAATCTTCGGTCGTCCTCCGAGACTGCGGCTCCGGAAAGATCACCATCAACGGCCAAGACTACCTGCAGTACCTGCCCGTGCTGCAGGACAGGTACGCCGCCCCCCCACCTACACACACACGCACACACACACACACTCCTCTTTAAGATGCACGGCGGGACGTTTTTCTCGCTCTCTTCAACAAAAAATTAAAAAGCAGCTTTTTCACTCTTCACGGCGTCGACGCTTTTTTATTTATCTCCTTGTAGTAAGTTAATTACACAGCCGAGTGACTGTGTGTGTGTGTGTGTGTGTGTGTGTGTGTGTGTGTGTGTGTGTGTGTGAGTGTGTGAGTGTGTGTGTGTGTGTGTGTGTGAGTGTGTGTGTTCTGGATGGCGTCTCAGCCTGAATGGCTCACAGCTGCTGACAAAGTCAATTGTCACCTCTGTGCTCCAATTACAGCCCGTCCTCACGGTGTGACAACGCCACACACACACACACACACACACACACACACACACACGCACACACACTCAGACCTGATCCTCCTCGTGCTGAGTCAGGAGTTTCTCTGTTGTTCAGCTCTGGGATCGTCTTTTCTGGTCTAAAAGTCGTCCATGCAGACATTAAATTAATGATACGACCCCCCTCCTCTCTCTCTCTCCCCCTCTCCCTCTCTCTCCCCTCTCTCCCCCTCTCTCTCTCTCTCCCCGTTTACCTCTCGTCTCTCAGGGAACAGCTGATGTTCCCTCTCCAGTTCACGGGCTCGCTCGGACGCTTCGACCTGGAGTGCACTGTCAGCGGAGGAGGGCGGTCCGGCCAGGCGGGGGCGCTGCGTTTCGCCGTGTCTCAGGCGTTGCTCAGTTTCCTGTCGGAGAGGGAGGTGGAGACCATGAGACAAGGTGGGAGGGGCCGAGAGGAGATTAAGACATGATCATTAATCTGGAGATTACAGATTCACACCTGTCTGAATTTTCTGTCTGATTGGATCTCCAGCTGGTTTGTTGACCCCTGACCCCCGAGTGAGAGAGAGGAAGAAGCCGGGTCAGGAGGGCGCTCGAAAGAAATTCACCTGGAATAAACGCTGAGGAGGAAAACGACACGAACACCGGGCTGTGGACACGTCTGTGGACACGTCTGTGGACACGTCTGTGTTTCACCATGAGACTCTGTTACATGCTGCAGTGAGCTGGCTCGGCCAGCAGGGGGCAGCATGTGTCCAGGATTACAGGAGGAAGAGGAAGAGTATTTATCAGTGTATTCAACAATAAAGGAGACGTTTGCAGTAATTAACTCTTTCAGTTTTTTTATTTCACTTTAGACATTCAAGTTTTTTACACTCTGATAATTTTAAATATTTATTTAAGATTATTTAATGATAAAGTTTTATAATAATTTAAGACATTTTAAATATTTATTTTACATTATTAAAATGAAAAAGTTAAAAAACTCAGGTAATTTTAAATATTTAAGAGTATTTAAACTATAAAGATGGAGTTTTTCCACTTAGACAATTTTAAATATTTATTTAAGATAATTTAATGATAAAGATGAAGTTTTATAATAATATTTATTTATTATTTATAAATAAATATTTATTGTAGATCATGTAAATGAAGTTTCTCAGAGGGTAATGTAATAATTTCAAACATAAAAACCTTAATTAGTGTTTATTGATCACCTGTAGGATGTTCACTCAGACTGTAATGTAGAGCTGTGTCCACTAGATGTCCCTGTGTATCTATAAATGATGAGCAGATGTTGTTTCCCCCCTTTTTAACTACTCTAATCAGTTTAAATCAATTCGATTATCGATTAATTGGATGTTGGTTTATAAATAGATTTGTCCGGAACAGTTGGTCCGGATTACAGACTCAGAAATGTTTCTAAACATGTTTTTTTTTTTTCGTGTTTTCAGGACAATAATCAGAATAATTGATCTCAGGTTTGGACCCTGAGTTTAGTCTGACAGGTGCGCAGAGACCTGTAATCAAATCTGAGGGTGAATTCAGGCAGCGTGTGTGTGTGTGAGTGTGGGCGCGTGTGCGTGTGCGTGTGCGCGCAGCAGCAGGAGGGTGGAGTCAGTGAGTCTGTATGAGTCCAGACAGGCGGATCAGACCGAGTCCTCCAGCCCACACAGACGCGCACAGACGGACTCAGGAGCTCCGGGTGGACCTGGATCCACCTGTCCTCCATTTCTTTTCCACGGTGGAGGCGCGTGCACCGTGAATCTTCCCCGCCCGCGTGTTCGTGGTTCTGGCTCTGATGGAGGCCGCGGTGCTGAAGGGGGCCGCGATGATCCCGGACCTGGACTGTAACAGTAACAGTCTGAACGCGGAGCTGGAGGTGAAGAAGCTGCAGGAGCTGGTCCGGAAACTGGAGCGGCAGAACGAGCAGCTCCGGACCCGGGCCGGGGGCGGCGTCCCCCCCACCGGGCCTCCCTCCTCCACACCGGCGGCGGTCCTAAAGGGGGGGTTCTGCAGGACCACGCTCCTCTGTCAGCCGGGTCTGGGGTCTTTGGAGTCCCCTGAGGAGGAACCGTTTCAGTATTTCCATCATCCTCACAGCGGCGGGGGTGGAGGAGGTGCAGGAGAGGAGGAGGAGGAGGAGGAGGAGCAGGAGGAGTCGGTTCTGGACGAGCTGGACCTACTGGACCTGGACTCTCTGTCGTGCTCGGATCAGTCAGAGGAGACCTGGTGAGTGAGGGAGAGAGAGAGAGAGAGAGAGAGAGAGAGAGAGAGAGTGAGAGAGAAAGAGAGTGAGTGAGTGAGGGTCTCTGTCTCCAACCATTTGTTGCTCTCTCTCTCTCTCTCTCTGTCTGTGTGATCCGGATCCTCCTCCTCTGGGTCTGTCTGAGCCCGTTAGTCCAGAATCCTGCAGAACCGAGACAAAGCAGCTCACCTGGGGAGGAGGAGGAGGTGGAGGAGAAGAAGGAGAAGGAGGAGGGGAGGCCTGCAGCACCAGGCAGCCGTCCTCCCCCCTAAACAGGAGACAGTCCTGGGAGTGTGGACGTCTTCATTTATAAATATTATATTTTATTTATATGTTAGATTATATTATATTCTGTTATTTTAAATTATATAATATTATATTAAAAAATCTTAAATTATTTTAAATTATAATATCTAATTTTATATTCTATCATATCATCTTCTTATCTTCCATTCTATCCCATGTTATTCCATCACATGCTGTTTTCCTCCCTCTGTGGTTCTGGGACCTTTTCTCAGTTTCTCTCTAATATTCTGGAGCCGGTCTGAGGATGGGAGTCCGTTTAGAAAAGATTGATCTTGTTTGAGTTAATTTCAGTGTTCAGATTAAACTAACCATCCACTCTGTTCTTTGATTACCTGACTGTTTTTTATGAGCTTTAATCAGAGTATTGATCAGTATCAGTGCTCCCTTAAACCTTAACGACCCTTTAAAACAGCAAAGACAATCACTTTTATTGATTGATCCTCTTTTTATGGTTCACTCACTAAATCTGTGGGCTCATCAGCTCCAGGCTCTCCTCTCTCCTCTCTCCTCTCTCCTCACCTGCTTTTTAAACTTCATTTTTCAGTCGTTTTTTCTCTGAAAACAACAAACACACCTTCAGGAAGCTGACCGTGGTTTTAGTCCGGTCCATGATGCGGGTTTGATGGTTCTGCTGTCTGAATGATAAAAGAGGAGGGAGCTGAAACCCTCGGATCAATGAACCAGAACGGATGTTTACATGCTGACAGGAGGAGACAGTAACTCTGAGTTTCTGCAGAACATTCAGAGTCAAAGTCTAAGTTTCCACTGTAATCTTCTCTCCAACAACCTTCTCTTCTGTTTGTCTCCAATAGTCAGGAAATCTTCACATGAGAAAAATAACTGTTCAAATCAGTTCTAGTCTCATCCAAAGGAATCTTGTTTTCAGATTCAGTAAGCCTTGTTTCAAGATCAGCCTGCTTGGATTGAGACAGAGTTTAGTCATTCTTCACTAATACTGGGTATTTTTTCTCTACATTTCTATTTTTGGTTGAACTAATCTTCAGCTTCATTTGATCAAAGGAAGAAAAATAAATATGTCATTGATTAGATTTAGTCGATTTCACTGATTTTAGGGCTGGAAAAGTGACATTTGAATCATCTGATCTTAAACCAGCATGTTTGTCTGACTTTAATCTTCCAAATACATTTGTAGACATGATTATTTCTAGACTGAACAATCTTCATTCAAGAAATCTGGTTTAGTGAAATGATCTTGCTGCATGGACAGATCATTTATCTTGTTTTTAGACCTTTTCACCTCAGATTTAGATCTTGTTTTTAGTGTTTTTATCTTGTTTTTATCTTGTTTTTAGTGTTTTTATCTTGTTTTTAGTGTTTTTATCTTGTTTGTATCTTGTTTGTATCTTGTTTTTATCTTGTTTTTAGTGTGCGCTCAGGTGTGTTCGTGATCCTCCTCAGGTCAGCAGAGCTTGTCTGAACTATAATTCAGAATACCTTCCTCCTGCTCTTCCTGCTCCTGCTCCTCCTGCTCCTCCTGCTCCTCCTGCTCTTCCTGCTCCTGCTCCTCCTGCTCCTCCTCCTCCTGCTCCTCCTCACGTCTCTGAGGCTGAGCTTCACCAGGAGAGGATGTATTTACACTGGATGTCCAAAAGGACCCTGTCAGACCCTCTAAAGTCTTATTCTGCGTCTGTCTGTCTGTCTCCAGGCTGTACGTGTCCCCGAAAGCCCAAGAGTCCTCTGAAGACTCCCTCAGTCCTCTGCAGTGGTGCCGGAAAGTTCTGGACGGTCCCAAATCGGACGTGGAGGCCGCCAGGAGGTCTCTGTCCCTCCGACTGGAACAAGGTACGAGAACTGGGACGGTTTGGGACAGAGTTTCACTCATCCAGACTCAGGCGCTGAAGGGACCAGTTCAGTTGGACTTTCTGGGTGGGTTTAGTCCTGGTTTGGTTCTTTAGCAGCTGTCTGAGTCTAGTATAGGTCATAAACCTCCTCCAGAACCAGTCCAGGTCCCTCTGAAGTGACTAATGGGTCTCAGTGAGGACAATAGATCCTAATCTGTCCGTCTCTAATCGCATTAAGCAGATCCAGGATCCAGCGCGGGTCACATGACCCCCTGAATGTCTGCTGTGATTACAGGTATCACTGCAGAGGATATCAGAGTCAAATATAGAGCTGTTGTCATGGTTACACCACAAAAAAAAGGATGGTCTGATTCTTCTGTCGTCATGGTAACCACGCACCTGAAACGACTCTTTAAGAACGGCTGAACGACAGACGGGCGACCCGATGAGGAGTTAGAGTTCACATCCTTAAAACGGATCAGAACACCAGAATATGAGAGGGACACAGAACCACAGATGGAGGATAATAAAATATATTATAGAAATATAATATAACATTAAAATATATAATGTGACATTATTTAATATTATTTAAATTAATAGAAAATAAAATATACAATATAATTTAAATATTAAATTTAAAAGTATAATAATATAAAATAATATGAAATCATATAAAGGATTATAATATAATATAATTTAAAATAATATAAAATCAAAATATACAATAACATTTGAATATTAAATTTAAAAGTATAATATGAAATAATATAAAAGATTATAATATAATTTAAAATAATATAGCATTAAAATATATAATGTAATATAATTTAAAATCTGAAATAATATTACATCATAAATCATAATATAATGTAACATAATATAATACATTTTAAAATAAAATTATTTAAAATATTAGCAAATCAAAATATATAATATAGTTAAATATAGTATACTTTAATAATACATATTTTTTAATTCAGTCCACGTGTCAGTCTTTGTGGATGTGTTTGTGTTTATCAGCTGTCTAACTTGGCTAACAGACTCGCTGTGAGTGAGACCAAAGTTACAAAGTTGACCCAGTAATTTTACATCAGTTAAAGAGGCAGAAATGATCTTTAGATTCAACAGAACTTCAGTTACACATGATTTCAAAACTGTTTGGTTTGTTAAAAACATCTAAAATAGAAACATGAGGCAGAAATTTATATTAAAAAATAAATATTTATATATGTGTTATTGTTATATGTTATTATAGTTATCCCTGTCATAGAAATATTACTAATATAACACACATGGAATAATTAAATGTTTTAACTGCCTTGTGTGTGTAGGCCTATCTTGTTCTACCTATCTGTTTAATGTTTATTTATGAAAATCTGAGGTTACAATAATTCTTGAGTATTCGGGAACATAACTAAAACTCTGAGGTTTAAAACAAACCAAACTGTTTAAAAATCAGTTTAAAATTAATCAATCTATGGTTATTTAAATGATACATGTTACATGTAGACTGGAATGTTAGGAGTGGGCGAGCTGACCTTAGCAAGATGGCCGCCATACACAGAGGTCAGTCTCCATTGGCTAACTGCATGAGTAAGACATCTAGTGTTTATATACATGTATCTATATCTATCTATGTCAAACCCAGTCCACAGACTGTAGTCCACAGACTGTAGTCCACCTGTCCTCCAGCAGTCTGGGTCAGAATGTGGGTCACAGTTCTGGACCTCTGGTTCTGGACTTACGGCTTGTTGCATCAGAGGTTTTCAGAGTATTGTACAGTCAGCGGTTTTCGAAGGAGAAGCTCTCCTCCTCCTCTTCCTCCTCCTCCTCCTCCTCCTCTTCCTCGCTCACTGGAGGGATGAGAGGCGGTTGCCATGGTTACAGTTGACATGAAAGGCGCCCCGCTCTCCCTCCGTCTCTCCATAGCTAAGTGGTTTTTATCGGCGTCGGCAGGTAACAGAGAGAAATACAGATCTTCATCATCCTCATCATCCTCACACACAAAGACACACACAGACACACACACTCACACACACACACACACACACACACAGACACAGACACAGACACACACACACAGACACACACACACAGACACACACCGATGAACAACAATGACGAGTGTGTGTCACTCAGCACCAGGTACAGATCAAGCCTGTCTTTGTGTGTGTGTGTGTGTGTGTGTGTGTGTGTGTGTGTGTGTGTGTGTGTGTGTGTGTGTGTGTGTGTGTGTGTGTGTGTGTGTGTGTGTGTGTGTGTGTGTGTCTGTGTGTGTGTCAGAGCTTTGTTGTACAGAGCCGTCTCTGACAGTCTCTGAGCTCATCTCTGCAGTCTGATGCTCTCTCTCTTCTCCTCCTCCTCTTTTCTCTCCCTCCTCCTCCTCCTCCTCTTTTTTCTCCCCCCTCCTCCTCCTCCTCCTTTTTCTCTCCCCCCTCCTCCTCCTCCTCTTTTCTCTCCCCCCTCCTCCTCCTCCTCCTTTTTCTCTCCCCCCTCATCCTCCTCCTCCTCCTCCTCTTTTTTCTCCCCCCTCATCCTCCTCCTCCTCCTCCTTTTTCTCCTTCTCCTCTTTTTTGTCCATTTTTACTGATCAGGTTTCCTTTCCTTCCTCAGTCTCCAGGTGGCGTTGCTCCTTGTCCGGCCCCACTTCCTCCTCCCCTGGCCCTCCTCCTCCTCCTCCTCCCCCTCTGAGCAGAGTGGCCGGTGTGTCCCCCCTCAGTGTGTCCCCCCTCAGTGCCTCCCCTCCTGTCAAACCCTGCTCCACCCCGTCATCAGAGAGACACGGTAAAAAAAACATGTCAAACACGTTTCAAACCGCGTCATTTTTAACGAGCTTAACACTTTTGGTTTAATGAAACGCTCCCTCTTTTAGCTCCGCCCCTTTCCTCCTCCCCGCTCCACGCCGTCCTCCATCGCACCCTCAGTCCTGTAGGGAAAGAGCTGTCCCCCGTCGCTGAGAGGACCCCAACCTTCCTCCCACACAGCCGCAGTAAGAATCCTTCCTCCATCCTTTCCTTAACTCCTCTCCTCCTCTCCTCACCTGAGCTCATGTGGAGTGACCTCCACCTCATCATCACCACACTATGACCTCATCATCACCACACTATGACCTCATCGTCACCACACTATGACCTCATCATCACCACACTATGACCTCATCGTCACCACACTATGACCTCATCATCACCACACTATGACCTCATCGTCACCACACTATGACCTCATTGTCACCACACTATGACCTCATCATCACCACTCTATGACCTCATCGTCACCACACTATGACCTCATCATCACCACACTATGACCTCATCATCACCACACTATGACCTCATCATCACCACACTATGACCTCATTGTCACCACGCTATGACCTCATCATCGCCACTCTATGACCTCATCATCACCACACTATGACCTCATCATCACCACACTATGACCTCATTGTCACCACGCTATGACCTCATCATCGCCACTCTATGACCTCATCATCACCACACTATGACCTCATCATCACCACACTATGACCTCATTGTCACCACACTATGACCTCATCATCACCACACTTTGACCTCATCATCGCCACACCATCTCAGGAATCTTCACTGTTGTTTTATTTCCGTCTGAAGGTCGTGGCCTCCGGCGCTCGGCCTTCAGCCCGCAGACGTCCGTGGACGGCGACCCCGGGGCCTCGGAGAGCGAGGACGACTCCATCCTTTTGGGCTACAAGCTGCAGGACCTCACTGACGTCCAGGTCATGGCCCGACTGCAGGAGGAGAGTAAGTCCGAGTGATTCAGGAAAACGCTGAAATCTGATTGGACAGTTTAGTCAAAGTGTATTTTACTGTCCTCTGATTGGCTGCCCTGTTGTGACCGACCTTCTCTGTTGTTTCCTTCTTACTAATATTTTAACCTTTGACCTCAGACCTCAGAGCTCATCGCTACTTCAGCTTCATTAACCCCAGGAGGTGACCACTGTGTGTGTGTGTGTGTGTGTGTGTGTGTGTGTGTGTGTGTGTGTGTGTGTGTGTGTGTGTTATATATATCTGTGTGTGTGTGTGTGTGTGTGTGTGTGTGTGTCTGTGTGTGTGTGTTTCTTTATATATATCTGTGTGTGTGTGTGTGCGCGCACGTTTCCCCCGCCGCCGCTCCTCACCTCTCGCTCCTCCAGGTCTACGACAGGACCTCGCCAGCACCTCGTCCATCCTGGCCAACCGCCGCAGTCAGAGCTTCACCTTCCCGTCGTTCAGCCTCGGCGCCGCGCCCGGCCTGGAGGAGGAAGACGAGGAGGAGGACGACGAAGACTACGGCCTCCTGCCGCCGCCGCAGCCGCGCCTCACCCGCCTGCCGCACTCCCACACCTTCTCCAGCATCAGAGACTGGCGAAGAAGCACCAGTTCCCTGTGCACGCCTCCTTCCACGCCATCCACCCTGACAGGACCTTCCGCTGGCTCCGCCTTCCTGACGCAGACCGTGACCCAGCTCCAAGGACTCCAGGGTCTGGGACTGGGCGGCTTCTGCGGGGCCGAGTCCCAGGGCTTCAGACCAGGATCAGGTGAGACCTGAGGAGATAATCAATCAGCTGATCAGACGTGATAGGTTCTCAGGAGGTCTCTGAGGAGGTCACGGTGATGGTCGTCTGAGGAGGAGGAGGAGGAGCGACGGACAAACGGAGAAATGAAAATGAAATTCATGATTTAAAAACAAATCTCCAATATCTGCCCTGACTACAATTCCCATGATGCATCAGTGTATGATTGTATTCAGACAGGAGCTCTAATCTTCCTCTCTCTCTCTCTCTCTCTCTCTACATGTTTGTGTGTTACACGTGTGTATTTGTGTATTTGTGTGTTTGTTTTGTGGAAACGTCATCATGGCGTGCAGCCGAATATGAGAGTAAGTGACGCCGTTTCGCTCCGATAATTCGATGATTTAAAAGTCTAAAGTTTGAGACTGAGAGACGGACAGACGGACACGCCGTGTCCTCTTAAGGATAACCACCTAAGCTGCCAGCGCACGCGCTCAGTAAGCCCTGAGACGGCGAGAGAGTTTGATGGAATTAAGAGTTTAGAGTGAGGGAGGGCGGGGACAGGAAGTGAGGTCACAGCCTGCTCTTTAAAAGCATAGAGCTGTGATGATAGATCAGACACACACAGATCAGTTAACCCCGCCCTCTCCAGGCCTCCTCTGATTGGTCGTCTCTCTCTCTCTCTTTTTCCAGATAAGCTGCGGAGGAGTATGCCTAACCTGGTCAGAACTCCCAGCATGCCGAGTGTGCCCATTCCCACCAATCCCAGTGCTTCCCCTCTGCTTCGTAACAGCCAGAGTTTTGATTCGTCCAGCGGTCTGTCTCGCCTGCAGTCCTCCAGTGAGACGCTCTCTCTGACGGTTTCTGAGGTTTCGGGTTTTAAAAACGTCGTTTGACCGTTTTTCTCGTCTTTCCTCTCCTCTAGTTCCCTCCCCGGGTCAGCCAATCAGAGTCCAGAGCGTGGGGAACTTCACTTCCATGTCGCAGCAGCCGTTAAAAGCCACCGCCTACGTCAGCCCGACCATCAAAGGCTCCGCCTCCATGCCGACCTCCACCAGCCTGCAGTCTTTAAACAGCAGCGGCGTGGGGGCGAACAGCGGGATCCCTCTGCTCAGTAAACAACATGTCCCCGCCTCCGCCCCGACCACGCCCCGCAGCGGCCTGCCTCGTCCCGCCTCCTTCATCGCCACCACAAGCTCCACCCCTCGCGGCAAGATGGCCCAACCAGCACGAAGGTGAAGAGTCATTCTGTCATGATAAGAGGAAGAGGTGAAGCAGTTAGACGAACCCGTTTATTCTGAGCCGACCGTCTCAGTTTTAAAGATCAGAAAAATTTATTCTGAATTTTTTATTCATGACTTTTTAATGTTCATGTTTAATTTAATTATTTCATTTTTATTTTATTTTATCATTTTAATTTTAATGTTTATTCATGACTGTTTTAATGTTCATGTTTAATTTAATTATTTAATTTTTATTTTATTTTATCATTTTAATTTTAATGTTTATTCATGACTGTTTTAATGTTCAGGGCTGAAGTTGTTTCAGAGATTTGAGTCAAAAAAGGTTTAAAAATGATGATTTTATGAACTCTTGTCTTCATGTCGTCTGGATGGAGCTTTAAATTTACAGGAACTGAAGGTTAAACTTTGACCTTTACAGACTTTGTCTGTTTGTGGAGCGAATATTTCCGAGCGTCAGGACGACGAAGATGTTTCATTCGTTAGCAGAGGTCATGACCTCAGCTCTCTCTCTCTCTCTCTCTTTTCCTCAGTTTACTGACGCCGCCGAAGAGCTTGTCCACCTTCAGCGCCCTTCGTGACGGCGCCTGGAGAGACGGCTGCTACTGAAGGACAGGTGGGGCTGTGGGCGGAGCTGTGGGCAGAGCTGTGGGTGGAGGGTGTGGCCCCGCTGGCTGGGGACCCTCTCTGCACCTTAAGGTTGAGATCATCTTTGTGACGTTTGATCCCACAGATGATGTTTTTATCAGTTTGTGCCAAGAGGGAGCGGCTTCCTGTCGCTCTTGTGCAATAATCCTCTGACGGCGTTTTGGCTGCTGGGGGCCCCGGTCCTGGATTTGTTGTCTCCCGGTCTTTAGGGGCCCCGGTCCTGGATTTGTTGAGACTTTTTTCTTTTTAATGAAACTCTCGGACTGATCGGGTTTTGTCCTCTGGCACTAAGCGCCACTTCTGCTGCTGCTAACGGTCTTCTTCTTTTTCTTCGTTGTTCCCGCTGGTTTTGAAGGTAATAAAGTTCGATCTAATAATAATAATAATAATAATAATAATAACGGCGACGATGACGACGTTTTAAATTAATTAATATGAATCTATTTATTGATGCAATATTTTTAATTTAACTATTTTAACGGTGGACCCAAAGGAAAGTGTCTGATTGTTTTTTTTTTTTCTGTCTCACGTTAACTTTAAATCTTCTCGTTGCACTTTGTACTAAAACTGATATTTTCTGTTTTTACACTCTTTGCACTTCTCGACATTTTCTGGGTTTTAGGAGGTGAACTTTAGTGAATTTGGTGTTTTTTTAATTTATCTCAGACTTCACAGTGAACAGGCGTAAATGTAGCACTTTTCTGTTTGGTGTTTTTAAAGGAATCCAACTGTTGCACATTTTCTCACCATACGGACACTTTTGTAACTGTGAGAGTGAAAACTTTGAATAAAATCCTCTAAAATTAATCCGTCTCTGTTTTTAGAGTTTTTATTTTACACCAACGATCGGTTTAATGTCGAACTTTCTGATGTTTCCTTTAAATCCTGGTGGTTTGATCTGCAGGTGGACAGGTGTTTACGACCGTCTCCTTGGAAACAACAAGAGTCCAGAGGTGAGTCCTGACCTCTCTGTACAGAGGTCAAACTGTGCCGTCTGATTCTGAATTTGAATTTCTAAAACTGAATTTTTTTGCATCAAAATCAGACTTTGAATTTAGAAACTGTTGAATTTCACACATTTTTATTTCTTACATTTATTTATTTTCACAGTGATAAAATTAATTCAGTGTAAAAAAAAAAATCAGACTCAAAATATTAATGCTGTAAAAATTCGACTTAAAAAAAACTGTCAAAAAATCCAACATAAAAAAAAATATCCAATGTAAAAAAATTCAGTGTAAAACAGACCGACTCAACACCCAGGTATTATGTCAATTTTTTGATTATTATTTTTTATGTAGAATTTTTAAAAAAATTTATGTTGAATTTTTTGACTTTTTTTTTTTTTTTAGTTTTTTTAAGTTGAATTTTTGATTAAAAAAATCTTTTGAAAAAACTGATTTTTTTTACACTGAACTCATTTCATCATTGTTAAAAAAACAAGTTTCAGAAATAAAAATTTGTGCTTGAAATTCAATAGTTGTGAAATTCAAAGTCTGATTTTGATGCAAAAAAAGATTCAGCTTTAGAAATTCAAATTCAAAATCAGATGGCACGGATTGACCTCCATATGTTTGTATCTGAATTTGAATTCTGATGAAGTTAATTCTCATAAACTGAGAGGAGGATAAAACAGGCAGAGCAGCAGTCTGATCAGCTGTTTCTGACCTGTTACAATAAGAGAGGCCACTAGAGGGCGCCTTTTCACAACAGCTGACCAAGACTAAAGTCTTTCATTAAAATGACTTTTTAATGTGATCAACCAAACCTCTGAATACTGCACCTTCAAAATATCAGAGAAGGTTGAACCAATTAAGATTTTAATTAAGACAAAAAACAACCATACCTGTTTACGCCACCCTGCTCAGTTTGAATCGTTTCACATTGGCACACCTGTTCGTAATCAGCAGCACCTGTGGGGGTCATCCTCTAACAGGGCAGGGCCAGGGATCAAGGATAAATGTTAAGACTGAGGGGACAAAAAGATGAACACAAACATCAGAAAAATAATTAAACTTGGACTCTTAAGTCTGTTCTCATCCATCTTTAAAAAGACAGGTTTTTCTCTAAGTTTGGATAAATTCTGAACTTTAACTTGTATCATCTTATCTTTTATCTCTTTTATCTTATTTCAGCTTTACTGTCTTTTGTTAATCCTGTACTCTTTTCTTAATTAACCTTTTAGGCCTTTTATTGTTTTATCTCTCGCTCATTTCTGTTGCTCTATTTTATCATTACTATTATTATCAGTATTACCTGTTATTATTTTATTATCATTGTTGATATTGTCTTTTATATTTACTATCCTGTTTCCACTTTCAACCCCCCCTTTTTAATTGCATTTTCTTTTCTCTTTCCTATTTTATGTTTTAATTTTGGTCCTCATGGTCTCATTTTATGTTGCACGGTTCTTGTATTTTCTGGGTTATTTATAACAAATGAAAATGTTCCTTTAATTCTGTTTTAATGAAACTTTTTGTTATCTGTCTTTTCCATGTGCTCTATGACTACATGTCAAAGCACTTTGTGAACTTCTGTTTTTAAAAGTGTTATACATAAAATGTTGTTGTTATTATTGTTGTTTTAGTATTATTTTATCATAATTATTGTCATTATTATTACTATAATTATCATTATTAATATTATTATTGTTTTTTTTTCTGTTATTATTGTTATCAAAGTGACCAGCAGAGGGCCACAGAGAGCGGCGACCACTGACGTAACAGCGTCTCCCGTCTGACCAAAGATCGTCAATACTGAAAGACGTCTCACACCTACTGAAGTTGAGAGCGAGTAAAAAAACGCGTTTTTAGAGGAAATTCACGGTCAATTTTAATCAAAACAATCAGATGAGTTAGTATGTTTGTATGTACAAGAAAACAATACAAAAATAGTATTTTACCACAAGTACGGCGCGAAACCAACGAAAATACCAACGAAATCAGGTCGTAATGAACACACCGAGTTGTTTTCTCGAGATGAAAACAGGAACTACTCATAAGAACGGAAAACTTTGTTAAAACAATGTATGAAGGCATTTCTTTAGGCTTTTATTTGAGAATTGACAGGCGTCTTTTTAGATTTTTTGCCGAATTTGACAGAATCCCTCATTTTAACCTCTGAGTGGAGCATCTCTCCTTCATAAACGATCTGTGGCACACACGCCCAGCTTCAGCACCAGCTCCTCATCCTCCTCCTTTTCTCCGTGGGGCTCCTTCCCGTTTGTGCGCACCATCCTCCATGAGAGGGACCAGGCCTACGCTATCCGGACCGCTGGACCCGGTTCTCCTGGCTCCTCCTCGTGGTCCGGTATGTCTTTGAGGCCGCTCCCCCTGTCACCATGCCCGCCGCTGAACGCTACCTGCCCCCGCCGCCGCTGTTCCTGCTGCTGCACCTCCTCCTGCTGCTCCTGATCTGCTGCCTGGATGGGCCGGTGGGAGCGGAGGAGGGCGGCGGCCTGCCCCCCTCCTCCTCCTCTTCGCCCGGAGACAATAGCCTCAATGTGGACCCGTCCAGCACCGACCCGACCGGTCCGGGAGGGGTTCTGAGCCCATCAGGTGTCACGGCAGGTAAACAAACAGAGGGTTCGGGTCTTTCCTTGTCTCCTTATCTCCTTATTTCCTTGTCTACTTACCCCTTTATGAAAATATAACATTTGAAGGATATTCTGCGGACTGCACCTTTAACCAGAGGTGAGTCCTGACCTGTTTGTATGGAAGTCAAACTATGCCATCTGATTTTGAATTTTTTTAAAGCTGATTTATTTATTTTTTTGCTTCAAAACCAGACTTTGAATTTCTAAACCATCAAATTTTAAGCACACATTTTTATTATATTTGTTTATTTATTTAATTATTTTATTTTTATTATATTAAATATTTTTTATAAAATTTTTAATTACATTTATTTATTATTATATTTTAATACTTTCATTTTATTTGTCAAAAGATTTGTTTAGTAAAAATTTAACTTAAAAGTGTAAAAAAAAATTCAACACATAAAAAATTTCAGTGTCAAATAATTTTGTGTAAAACAGACCGACTCAACATCCAGGTTATCAGGGAGAAGCAATCGATTTGTGGAAGTCAAACTGTGCCATCTGATTTTAAATTTCTAAAGCTAAATGTTTTTTGCATCAAAATCAGACTTTGAATTTCAAAACTATAAGATTTCAGGCATGCATTTTTATTTCTGAGACTTTTTTTTCAGAACGATGAAGTAAATTCAGTGTAAAAAATTCAGTCTCTCAAAAGATTTGTTTAGTAAAAATCCACCTTAAAAAAAACTGTAAATAAAAAAATTCAATGTAAAAAAATTCAACATAAATTTTTTATTTATTTATTATTTTTATTTAAAGGAATCGATTGCTTCGCCCTGATTTTGTCAGCCCACTGATGAAGTTGAATTTTTACTATACAGATCTTTTGAGAGACTGATTTTTTTTTTTTTTTACACTGAATTTTAAATTTAGAATCAGATGGCACAGCTTGACTTCCATACCTGTTGGCCAGTTAGTTTAGTTGAATTGCTGCGTCAGTTTTTTTATTTGAATCTATAATCCGGTAAATCCAGTCTGATGATACGATTTTCTCCTGATTGGATTCTTCTACGATTTTTTTGGACGCCGATTCGATTTAATTTACGATTCTACGATATTTTTCGGTATTTTAGCTTTTTTACCAGCAGTGAATCAGTTGGATGATTTTATTGATGGTCTATTGAACATTGAGAAGGACCTGCAGACTCTGGAGCAGGATCAGGAGGTGTGAGGTGACGGTTTTTTGGAGGATTACAGGTGTTATCTCCTGACCTGAGCAGGTATTCATGTAGAGCGCACTAATCCTGCTGATGAAGCAGCTGAAGGCCTCTGGACGCCGACTTTACTCTGTAATCACCAAAACAAACGGCGACGACGGGTCGGTCTTTCTGACCCACAGATAAGAGGAGGGAGAGAGAGAGAGAGAGAGGAGGATTAGAGCGAAGGCGGCGAGGGAGAAACTGGTGTGATGTATTTTTTATTCTGCCGCCTCATCACTTTTTCATGGTGACAGAAAGGTTAGCGAGGACTCGAGGAGGATCCACCGAGCAAACGCACTAAAAACAAGATAAAAAAGCTAAATCTAAGGGAACAGGGACTAAAAACAAAATAAAAACAAGATAAAAACAAGATAAAAAAGCTAAATCTGAGGGAAAAGGGACTAAAAACAAGATAAAAACAAGATAAAAACAAGATAAAAAAGCTAAATCTGAGGGAAAAGGTTCTAAAAACAAGATAAAAACAAGATAAAAAAGCTAAATCTAAGGGAACAGGGACTAAAAACAAAATAAAAACAAGATAAAAACAAGATAAAAAAGCTAAATCTGAGGGAAAAGGGAGTAAAAACAAGATAATAACAAGATTAAAACACTTAATCTGAGAGAAAAGGAAGGATCCATCGAGTAAACACACACACACGACAAAAAAAAAAACTTAGATTTGGAAGTGTTGAATAATTTATCTTGTTTTTAGTCCCTTTTCCTTCAGCTTGAGTGTTTTTATCTTGTTTTTATCTTGATTTTAGAACATTTTCCTTCAGATTCAGTGTTTTTATCTTGTTTTTAGACCCCCTCCTCTCAGATAAAGCGTTGTTATCTTGTTGTTATCTTGTTGTTATCTTGTTGTTATCTTGTTTTTAGACCCCTCTTTTTTGCAGGGTAGACCCAGGTCCAGGATGTCTCAGGAGGATCCACCTGTTTGTAGGTTTTCTGTGATTCTTCTTCAGAGTCTCACCGAGTCTTTTCTTCCTCTCCAGAGTCTCCGTTTGTCCTGAAGGTTCTGGTTCGGGACATGGTGACCCGTCAGCGTCTGCAGGGCGCCTCGGTGGACGTCTACGTGAACCACACCTTAAAGAGCTCGGCCCAAACGGGAGAGAGGGGCGAGGTTCTGCTCTGGGTGGACTTCAGTCCAGCTCTCAGTCTGACTCTGCTGGGAAACATGGAGGGATACGTACCCACCCCGCTGCCCTGGACCACCAACAAGAGACCCCGTGAGTACCGCTGCCGCCGCCGCCTCCGCCGCCCCAAAGGACCACTACAGTCAGATCTGTATTTGGAAGATTAAAGTCAGACAAACATGCTGGTTTAAGATCAGATGATTAAAAAGTCACTTTTCCAGCCCTAAAATCAGTGAAATCGACTAAATCTAATCAATGACATATTTATTTTTCTTCCTTTGATCAAATGAAGCTGAAGATTAGTTCAACCAAAAATAGAAATGTAGAGAAAAAATACCCAGTACCTTTTTTTCTCTTGGTAAGTGTGATGCGGCGCTCTGACTCTGACATGGCGGTCTCCTGAAACGCTCTGATCCATCTTTTATTGATCGTCTCCGCAGCTGCTCCTACACACACACACACACACACACACACACAGCTAACCGTCTTTGTCCTCCATACACTCAGACGGGTGGGGGGGGTGAGTCCAGTCTGTGTTTGCAGCGAGGGGGCGGGGCTATAAGGCACACATGGAGAGCAGGTGCTCTGAGGGATCAGAGAGGCGCCTCCTTTTGTGCTGCTGAGGCAGACAGCTGAACCTCAGAGGGAGGAGTGAGGTCGTACTGCCCCCTTCTGGAGGAAACAGAGAACTACAGACACAGGGCTCAACAGTACAACTGTTTCACTCACATTTGGGACTAAAAATAGATGTGTGTCTCCTCCTCCTCCTCCTCCTCCTCCTCCTGCAGTTTTCTCGGCCGTCACCCTGCTGCTCCTCCCTCACACTCAGGGGAACATCTGGCTGTTTGAAGACTCGGTCATCATCACAGGAAAGTTACCTGGTGAGTTCACGCACACTCTTCAGTTCACCTGTTTTAGCGGTGAGGTTACTACAGGTCATCCTTCAGCTCCGGTTCTACGGTGGAGGACAGGGGACAAAAATGTTCAAGAGTCATAAAGTTCCTGTTTCTTCATTAGTGCAGATTAAAGACAGAGCTGAAGGACACCGTAGACCACCTTAGTCTGGACTCTGTGAACAATAATCAGAATGAGACAAGTGCTTTTAAAGGATGAAACATCCTAACCTGAAAAAACTCAAACTAAAGGTTTCTCAGCTTTTTTTTTATAGTATCAGATGTCCTTAGTGCAGACAAGGCAATCGTAAAAACAACAAATAAAACATTTTTAAAATGAAAATAAAAAAATAAACTCTTTTTGCACCTGACTAAATCCTGGATCTTGTTTTCACAGACAGCTCCTCTCAACCCAAAGTGAAGTTCCCTAAAAACCTCCTCAACATGTCTGAGAAGACCAACATCTCCTCACTGACGGCGTACCTGACCGTACCGCAGCACCACCTGGCGACAGACTGTGCCAACTGCACCCCGGGCATCATCAGCAGCAAATCAGGCCAGTCTTCTTCTTCAGTCTCCTTCTTCAGTCTCCTTCTTCTTTAGTCTTCTTCTTCAGTCTCCTTCTTCAGTCTCCTTCTTCAGTCTCCTTCTTCAGTCTCCTTCTTCAGTCTCCTTCTTCTTCAGTCTTCTTCTTCAGTCTCCTTCTTCTTTAGTCTTCTTCTTCAGTCTCCTTCTTCAGTCTCCTTCTCCTTCAGTCTCCTTCTTCTTCAGTCTCCTTCTTCAGTCTCCTTCTCCTTCAGTCTCCTTCTTCTTCAGTCTCCTTCTTCAGTCTTCTTCTTCAGTCTTCTTCAGTCTCCTTCTCCTTCAGTCTCCTTCTCCTTCAGTCTCCTTCTTCTTCAGTCTCCTTCTTCAGTCTCCTTCTTCAGTCTTGTTCTTCAGTCTTCTTCAGTCTTGTTCTTCAGTCTTCTCCTTCAGTCTTCTTCTTCAGTCTCCTTCTTCTTCAGTCTTCTTCAGTCTTCTTCAGTCTCCTTCTTCTTCAGTCTTCTTCAGTCTTCTTCTTCAGTCTCCTTCTTCAGTCTCCTTCTTCAGTCTTCTTCTTCAGTCTTCTTCAGTCTCCTTCTTCAGTCTTCTTCTTCAGTCTCCTTCTTCAGTCTTCTTCTTTAGTCTCCTTCTTTAGTCTCCTTCTTCAGTCTCCTTCTTCTTCAGTCTTCTTCAGTCTCCTTCTTCAGTCTTCTTCTTCAGTCTCCTTCTTCAGTCTCCTTCTTCAGTCTTCTTCTTCAGTCTTCTTCAGTCTCCTTCTTCAGTCTCCTTCTTCTTCAGTCTCCTTCTTCAGTCTCCTTCTTCTTCAGTCTTCTTCTTCAGTCTCCTTCTCCTTCAGTCTCCTTCTTCTTCAGTCTCCTTCTTCAGTCTCCTTCTCCTTCAGTCTCCTTCTCCTTCAGTCTCCTTCTTCTTCAGTCTCCTTCTTCAGTCTCCTTCTTCTTCAGTCTCCTTCTTCAGTCTCCTTCTTCAGTCTTCTTCAGTCTTGTTCTTCAGTCTTCTCCTTCAGTCTCCTTCTTCTTCAGTCTCCTTCTTCAGTCTTCTTCTTCAGTCTTCTTCTTCTTCTTCAGTCTTCTTCTTCAGTCTCCTTCTTCAGTCTTCTTCTTCAGTCTTCTTCTTCAGTCTCCTTCAGTCTTCTTCAGTCTCCTTCAGTCTCCTTCAGTCTCCTTCTTCTTCAGTCTCCTTCTTCTTCTCCACCTTTATGACGGTTGATAACCCTCCCTCAGGTGTTAGAAAACTAACGTCTCACTTCCTCCTTTCTGCAGCGCTCACAAGCATCGAGCTGAAGGCCGTGGCGGCCGTCAACGTCCTGCTGTACTCTGAGGGGGAGGAGCTGCAGGTTCGAGGGCCCATCCAGATCAGCCTGCCCCTCAGACGCAGAGCTCACCTCAGGGCGGCGGACACCGTACCGGCGTGGGCCTTCAACCAGAAGACAGGTGAGGGGATCAGTTCACCGTCAGAGCCTGGACTTTAAAACCAGCTCAGCTGATCTTCTTTCCTCTCCGTTCCAGGAGCCTGGGAGAATCAGGGTCTGGGGATCCTGAAAACAGTCGGAGATGAGCTGGTTTGGACCTACACCGCCTCTCATCTGGGTCACTGGATCGCCGCCCCACTGCCCTCCCTGAATGGTACCAGAATCCTGCTCCTGTGTCGACTCATAACTCTCTGATCCCCTCTGTGGTGATAATCTGTGCGTCTTTACCTGTGACCTGCAGATTACCTGGGACAGGTGAGCCCTCTGGATTTCATCTCTTACCACACGTACCTGTTGGTGGGGATCCTGGGAGGGACTCTGGCCACGGTGGTCGGGTTTCTGTCTCTGCTGCTGTGTCACTGCAGGTGAGGGTTTCACTCTCCAATGATTATTGAACTTATTTATTCGGTTTATGATCGATTTTTTGTTAATATGATTTAATTTTACTGTAGACTGACTGATATTATTGAGTAGAGTAGTTAGCGCCTAAACCCACTCATGTTTGTTTCGCACGATTAAATTTAGCTTTTTTATTTGATCTTTAATTTTGACTTTGATTATTGTTGTTTTGAAAATTCTCACTGGTTTGTTTGTTTTCAGTTTAGTTTGGGTGTTACACGCAGGTGTTCGAAAATACGACGGAGTATCAGGGCCACATTAAGAAAAAACATGAAGACGTTGTAATTACGTACGAGAATAAAGTCGTAGTAAAATCGTTAGAAGTAAAGAAGTAATTACAAAGTCTTGATGTGTCCCTTTTACTCCGTCGTACCTTCACTGACTAACTACTAAAACCACCAGCAGGAAACCAAATCTCGCTCTCCTCTGGTCTCCGAACCTTCGTCCATCTTGATCCGATTCTGTTTCTTCCACGTCTAGAAGTTCTCACCGTGATCCCAGGAGGAGGAGGAGGAGGAGGCAGGCCCGGTTCTCCAAACTCACGGTGGTGAAAAAAGACCAAACCACCTCCACCCACATGGAGGAGGGTTTGCTGTTCCGCTCCGGTGAGAACAGCCTCGCCTCCTGCAGCGTCCAGTGCGAACCCTCGTCCACGCCGAGGCACAAAGCCAACTTCAACATCTACGTGGAGGATCCTGGGAGTCGTCCGGCGGCTCCTTTTTACGAAAACATCGCTCTGGATCGGATCAAAGGGTCCCAGCAGTCCTCGCACTACATCAACAACGAGGAGGTGGCGCGAATACGAGAGAAATCGGAGCAGAACCGCAACATCAACGCCGACAACTTCTTCCCGGATAAGCTGGTCCATCTCTACAACCAGCCGGTGGCCATCATCCAGGCGCCGGAGCTCCTCAATAACCAGGAGCAGCAGCTGTCCGGCTGCAAGTCCGCCACCTTCCCCCGAAATGGCGCCGAGTACGACGCAGAGCCGGCCAGCAAAGACAGCTACACCCAGACGCTGCCCAAAGTCCCCCACCATCACGCCCAAGGAGGAACCAGCGCCCAGCAGAGCAGCCAAGATGAACCCCAACCTTTGGAGACGCCGCCTCAGGGCCAAGGTCCAAACGCCACCGGGTGGGGACGCTACAATAACCTCCTGGAATCCTCCGTCTCCGTGCCCGGGACTCTCAACGAGGCGGCCGGTATGGAGGGCTTTAACAGCGGACATGGCGTCCCGAGCGAGCTGCAGGGGATCTCAGAGCGAACGCTGCTGGAGCTGACCCGTGGGAAGCCGCTGTCGTCTCATCCCAGAGCGTGGTTCGTCTCCTTGGACGGGAAACCGGCCGCGCAAGTTCGCCACTCCATCATCGAGCTCCAGAGTCGCCACCGCCCGCCGAGCAGCAACGACACCAGCCTGGACTCTGGCGTGGACATGAACGAGCCTCAGCAGAGTCTCCGTGAGACGGAGCGAGACAGACCTTCAATAAGAGCCTCGTCCTCGCCGCACCACGGCCGCGGGCGCTACGTGGAGGAGCAGGACCTGAGCAGCAGCGAGAGCGGCACGACGGCCACGTGCACGCCAGAGGACCCCTCCCTCAGGAACATTTTAGACGGGAGCAGCGGCGCCATCCCCAACATCCCCGAAGAGCGGGACGGGATGGACACGTCCAGCACTCAGGAGGACAGCGAGTCGAGAGGAACGCCACCGCCACGGCGCCTCAGGAAGGTCAGGGAGAAGGGGAAGATGGAGAAGAGGAGCGCCAAGCATGTCCGTGAGGGGCGACCTCTGACCAAGAGGAGCTAGAGCTCGGCTCTGACACGAAAGTTCACTCTTCAGCACTTATTTAACGTCCAGCCCAAAGTGACCACGTCCGTACAGACGCCATCTTCCTGTGGCGCCACAAACGAATCCTATCACAGCGCTGTGTTTGATGAAAGTTAACTCTATCTTAGATTCTCTGCTTAATCAGGACATGAAGATCTACATTTCTACATCTACAGCAGCAGAGTCACCTGGGATTTCCACCGCATCCGGAACGGCACCGATCCAGAAACGGCGGCGATTTGTGAGGCGAATTTCATGGCGGATTACAGACAGCGGTAATCGCGAGAACTCACAAGAACCCGCAGATTCACGTTCAATCCTGCGATAACGAGTTGTCTCTCTAAAGACAGACACATAGACATATAAGCAGTAGATTGTGTCCTTCCAGAGGAGGAAATCTACTTCTAGACTTCTAGAATCAGCATCTCCTCATCCATGGTGTCATCGGGGTGAAATGACGTCTAAAAACCTTTCACTTGTTCGTCTCCGCCCGTTTGCATGGTGTGAAATACGATCCTCCTGAAACACGGAGTGTTTTATTTTGAAAAGAAGCCGGATGTTTTATTTTGAAGTCTGTGCCCGACTTCCTTTCCAGCACGGGTTAATCTGTGCTGAATTTATCCGCCATGCTCCGGCGTCCGACGGAAAGAAGTCGGTGTAAATTGACACGTTAACTTGAATGTTTACGATCAGCTACGATCGGAGGATACAAACTTTTAGTAGACGTTCCGGATGTGGTGGAAACTCGGGGTAGAAAACTCTGTGCGCCGTGTTTGTTCGTTACCTGAAATCAGAAGATCACCAGCGAGATCCTTCACAGCAAAACGTCCGCGTGAATACGATATCCCACAATCCACGAGGACGTTACAGAGGGTGCCTTCTCTCCTCCTCGCGGACACGGTTCAGTGTGGTTTTTAGGAAGGGCGCGGCGTCTGTGGAAACTTTAGAAAGTCTGGTGAGCTGTGAGGATGGACACAGATACAGGTCTACGTTAGTGCACTTAACCTCACCAAAATGCCTGCTGGTCTGGACTGAACCGCCTCCTTCCACTGAAAATGGACGAAATGCTCCTTTAAACAGATAACTGAGAGGTGAGCTGCCCGTCATCTCACAGCGTGGACGTTGTAGAGCTGAGGTCAGATCTTCAGAACGCTTCAAGGACTCCAGGACTGAACGGTTTTCATGTTTGCGTTCCTTCAGGATCTCAATCATCAGGACTTTGACTGAAGGTTTTACTGCTGTTGTCTTCGTTTTGGTCACACACAGACTTCGCTATGGAAGTCAATCTGTGCCATCTGGTTTTGAATTTAAATTTTTTTAAGCTGAATTTTTTTTGCATCAAAATCAGACTTTGAATTTTGAAACTATTGTATTTCAAGCACGCATTTTTATTTCTGACACGTATTTTTTTTCACAATGATGAAAAAAATTCAGTTAAAAAAAATTGGTCTTTCAAAATATTTGTTTAGTAAAAATTCAACTTAAAAAAACTGTGTAAATTAAAAAAAATCAATTAAAAAAAATTCTACATAAAAAAATGAAATGAATAAAAAATGTTTTTTTTATTTATGTAGAATTTTTTAAATGTTAAATTTCTTGACATATTTTTTTACAGTTATAGTTGAATTTTTACTAAACATATCTTTTGAGAGACAGATTTTTTTTTTTACACTGAATTTATTTCATCATTGTGAAAAAAATAAGTGTCAGAAATAAAAACACAATAGTTTCCAAATTCAAAGGCTGATTTTGATGCAAAAAAAAAATCAGCTTTAGAAATTCTAATTCAAAACCAGTTGGCACAGATTGACCTCCGTATGTTTCCACTCTCTCAGAAAGAGTCCCAGTCTGATCAGATGTCGACCCACAGCCTCTCACGTTCGTGTCTGTCCTCGACAGCGTTTGTCTGGAGTCAAATGAAGCACTCTACACTTTAAAATGTGCCCCCTCGGCTCAGCAGGAGCACAGCGCCCCCTCCTGGATGTGTAAATACCACAACACTGGAAAGTCTCACTGGTTAAAAAGCTTCACAAACCGCTGAGATTGTTCTGTTAGCAATATTTACCACCGACGGTCCGATGAAGAAGGAGCTTTGCTGCACTACTTTAATCCCCAGTTTAGTCTTCCGTCTCCTCTGTGTTTTTTCCTGAGTTTGTATGGTGGCTCTTCTCTGTAAATAAGAAAATCAACCTTTTCAATGTGGTTTCAAAGATTTTGTGCTGTTTTTTCCTCCATCTTTACCGTCGGGCGGGTGCATGGATGACTGCGTTTCTGTGTCATGTTGAGGGTTGAGGTGGTTTTTCATGTAGCAGCAGTTTTCCTCGGTTTTCCTTCAGATCAGACTCACTGAGGCTCCCACTTTAAAGTCTTTTAGCTGAATGTATTTGTCTTGATTTGAAGGTGTTTTCTAGTGTCTGTTATCTGCGCTCTGGCTTTCTTTCACTCTGTAGTAATGGTAGTGTCTTCTCGTGACGCCTTTTTGTGCTCTAACTTAATAAACTGACTTGATGCTAACATGCTGAGAGTCTGCCTCCTTTATTTCACACCCACAGACAAATATTCTGACACACTATTGAAATGTTTAGTTTTAGTTTGAAGTATTTTCACTCACAGTATTCATTATTATAAATTGGGCATAAAATGTGTTTTTGATCTTCATCTAAGTCACAAAAATAGAGAAACACATTCTGCTTAAACTAATACTGCACAAAAATTATATGTTTTCATTGTTTTATTGAACACAACATGTAAACATTCACAGTGCAGGGTGAAAAAAGTATGTGAACCTCAGGATATAATGACTGGTTGACCTTCCTTTGGCGGCGAAAACCTCAAACAAACGTTTACCGTAGTTGCAGATCAGCCCTGCACAATATGGAAGTCAATCTGTGCCATCCCGTTTTGAATTTGAATTTCTAAAGTTGAATTTTTTGCATCAAAGTCAGACTTTGAATTTCAAAACCATCGAATTTCAAGCATGCATTTTTATTTTCTAATTTATTTTATGATTTTATTATTTTTCATTAAATTAAATATTTATTTATTTTATTATTAATATATTTATTTACTTTAATTTATTTTTCATTTATTTTTTTTTCATTTATCATTTTTATTCCATTTTTTTCTGACACTTATTTTTTCACAATGATGAAATAAATTCAGTGTAAAAAAAATCGTTCTCTCAAAATAATCATGGAGTAAAAATTTGACATATGTTGAATTTTTTTAAGTTGAATTTTTTTGTGTTAAATTTTTTTTATATGTTGAATTTTTTTTATGTTAAATTTTTTCATATGTTGAATTTTCTTATATGTTGAATTTTTTTTACATCTTTTTTTAAGTTGAATTTTTACTAGAGAAATCTTTTGAAGGGACTGATTTTTTTTTTTAACAGTGAATTTATTTCATCATTGTAAAAAAAATAAGTGTAGGAAATAAGAATGCGTGCTTGAAATTCAATAGTTTCCGAATTCAAAGTCTGATTTTAATGCAAAAAAAATCAACTTTAGAAATTCAAAATCAGATGGCACAGTTTGACTTCCATACAACAGAGCTGAACTTTCTCCATTTATAGACCGTAGACACATGAACATCGATGCTTTTAGAGAAACTTTTTTAACCCTTTCCAGCTTCATGTAAGTCTTCTTCTTGATCGTAGGTCCTCTGAGAACTTCTTTAGGGTCCTCTGAGAACTTCTTTAGGGCGAGGTATGGTTCACATCAGGCTATGATTGTCTGTTTTTGTGACTTTGATGAAGATCAGAAACACATTTTAAGCAGAAATCCAAGTAATCCCAAAGGGTTCACATAGTTTTTCTTGCACCGGTCTATATTATAATTGTTTAATTGGAGTTTACGTTCACAGACAAAGACCCTCTTAAATTCAGTTTTAATAATGTTGCTCTCTAAGTGTCGGTGTGTCTCTGCAGCCCTGTGCAGATCTGGACTCCGCTCATCCTCAGCTCTGGTCTGTTTGGATCTTCACCGCTGGCTCTGGGGCTGTTTTTGGGTTTCAGGTCCTGTTCGGTCTGACCCTGGCGACTTGAATCCAGAAAGTCTCGGCTGTGTTTGCTCTCTGATGTTCATCTCTGCAGGTCTGTGTTCGGTTTTGGAGGTGGATTTACTTGGAGAGGAGCTTTATTCTCCCTGTGACCTACCTTCATCCACAGGGAAGTTCTTGGATGGGTCCAGAATCACCACCTGTGAAGGAGGGACCTGAGCGTTTGAGTTTCTCAGACCCACTCCAGGAACAAACAGGTCCTGCAGTTTGTTTTCAGCTGGTTTTGCACGTTCACCGTGAAGACAGGAGGCCGGCTTAGAGGGGGACTTCCTGTCGGTGATCCTCCAAGTCAGGGGGTCGTAAACGATGAATCCATCCAGAGGACAGCAGCTGGATTTCCTCAGGATCGTGTCCACACAGTCTGAGTGAAACTGAAGTGAGTGAATATGAGAGGGTGAGGGGGTGAGAGAGAGGAGGGAGTCTGTTTAAATCATGATGTTCAATCATCTCAGCAGGTCTGTGGAGATGAACTCAGAGAAGTGGACTGCACTGAATCAGAGGGACAGATTTGGGAGGTGAGGGCAGCTGGAAATGTTGGAAACAAGTCTGTGAATTCCTGTGATCAAGTTCTGATCCTTCTGATGTCTGCCGAGTAAAAACACCGCAAATGATTTACCAAGACAAAACTAAACTTAGATCCAGAAGTGTTGGATCATTTCTCCTGTTTTCAGAGTCAAAGTCTTTAAGTTTCCACTGTAATCTTCTCTCCAACACAGCCTTCTCTTCTGTTTGTCTCCAATAGTCAGGAAATCTTCACATGAGAAACATAACTGTTCAAATCAGTTCTAGTCTCATCCAAAGGAATCTTGTTTTCAGATTCAGTAAGCCTTGTTTCAAGATCAGCCTGCTTTTTTTTGCAGTGAACATCCTTCAGTTCTGATGTTTGCAGATTCGTTATCAGGTCAGATAAAAATCAATACCATCTACTTACCTTGTGTTGGCACGGAAGAGTCCGGACATGCTGGCCCAGGTTAAAGTCCTGCAGACAGATCCGACACTGAAGTCCCACATCTAAGAGTCGTGACCAGGGTCTCACCCTGACCGAGGGCAGACAGACCAGGACTCTCTCAGGGAGAGGGTCTGCAGCCACAGAGTTGAGTCTGAGTTAAACAGACAGTAAAGTGAATAAAAAGAGTTTAACGAGGCTGAAAATCTGAAGTCATGTTTTAAAGGTGCACTCAGTGACTCACAGATCAGCCGGAGAGTTTCCATCACTGCCGTTCTCTTCCTCCATCAGCCACTTCTCTTTCCTTTTCTGTCAAAGTGTCATCATGTTTGTTTTTTAGTTTAACTCTGTTTTCATTTTGTTCCTGTGGTGCTTTTAAATGTAAATGTTGTTTAATCATACAGCTCTTTACAACAACGCTTTCAGTGAACCAAAGTGCTTCACTAGACATAGAAAATAAAAATAAATAAATAATATAGAATAATAAATAAAAAAAAGATAATCAATTTGAAAAATTTAAAAAATAAATCAATTCAAAATTAATTGAAAAAAATAAAAATAAAATTAAAAAATTAAAATTTGAAAACTATTAAAAAAAAAAGAAAATTAAAAATAAAAACCTTAAAAAATAAATTGAAAACAATTAAGAAAAATGAAAAAACATATTTATTGATTTGAAAAAATTAAAAAATTTAAAGTGGATTTAAAGAGCTTACTGTTCGAACGGCCAAGGGGTGTTGTTGGTGGCAGCCGCCCTTTGAACAGTCCTCACAGAGGAAGAAGTAACTGCAGACGGTGCATCTGAAAGGAGAACAGCTGAAATGACTCCTCTGACCTTCTAACTCCGTTTAGTAAACACAGCCTCGGACACAAACATCAGACTGAGTGTTTTCTGATGGGTTTCTGTTTCTTCTCTGCTTTCTTACTTGTAACACTTGCCAGAGACGGGGCAGATCCTGCAGCTGTGACAGGAAACTCCCAGGTGTCTCTCTGGTCTCTCTCTCTCGGCTGCGGTAAAAAGCTTTGCCGTGTTTTTCACCTGATCCTGCAGCAGCTTCCTAGAGCTGAAGTCCTCCCTGCACAGCGGACATTTCACTGTTTCCTCCTTATGTGAGAGTTTCTGGTAGTCCGCCCAAACCTTCATGCAGGAGATGTGGACGTTGTTGCCACAACCGAACCTTAAAGACAAACCACGGAGCAGAAAACCGGTCAGAAACCGCTGAGAAAATGAGCTGGTTCCCCTCCAAACCTGTGCTGAGGACCTGAAGCTGCATTAGACCTTAAATGTTGTTGGGGTTAAGAGGACAGTTAAAGTTGAATAAAACGTTTGAGTTATCCAGTGAAATAAAACCAGAGTGAGACCCTGACCCCGGCCCGACCCCGGCCTTTAACACCTGCAGTAAGAGACGGGCAGTTTTTTCTCCAGCAGCTCCTCTTGACAGATTGGACACACATCCTCCGCTTGGACAGCTTTCCGGCACACACTTCCAGCCTCACGGCCTGAGCCGGACTGGTTTGGTGTCCCAGAAGTGGTTGATGGATCATTTTCCGTCCTTTGGACTTTGGTTTGGTGTAAACCATGGAGCACCTCCAGGATCTGTCTCTCCACGAGTCCACTCTGGAACGAATCTGGAGCAGAGGTGAGGATCTGGGTCAGCTGTTTCAATCTAAAAAACACCATGCACTTCTGATTTAATCTCTCTGATTTAAAGGTTTTTTATGACGACACAGCTGCGTTTATTTGAGGACGACCGTCACTCACACTCATGTTCTCTGGGTAGTTTAAATTTCCGCAGCAAAACCCTGCAAAGACAAAAATGACAGTTTAATTTTAAAGCTGTTACTGCGAGTTTTAATGCAAAAAAGGGGGTCTAAAAACAAGATAAAATCACTCATGGAAAAAATAAATGAACCAAACATCTCAACAGCAGTGCCTGTGACGTGAACACTGGACAGAAATCATCTAACATCACTCTGTGACTCTATGATACCAGCAGATGTGTTTGCACGGCTCCTTCTCTCTGATGAACACGGGGCATGTGCAGGTATGTGGGTCACCCAAACACACCTGGACAAGACAGACATAAGAGAGTTATCCCAGAGCATGAATCTAAAACATTTTACATCCTTGATTATTTCTGAAACGGTCACCTTCAAGTTCCTGTCCTCTCCCTCCTCTTTGAGCAGGAAGCCCGTGGGGCCGAGGGATGTGAGGAGGAGTATGGTCGTGTTCAGAGCTTGGTCCTGGTGGAAACTCACTGCTTGGCTGACCGTGTTCCTCCAGGTGGTTTTCCTGAACATCCTGACACTGCAGAAAAAAAACACACATCACCTTTATCACCTGGAATAATGAGGTACAGGTACTCACAGCTGTAAACTAGGATGACTTTTAATTTCTATGATGAATGATAGAAAACGGCGCCACTTTTCCCCATAACATGCAGCCTTAATTAGAGGACTCTGTACTGGTGTAAACATTAAAAATAATAAAAATAATAAAAATTAAAAACACTATTATTATTATTATTATTATTATTATTATAACATTAAAATAATGATAATATTTCAACGATTTTTATGATAAATTAACTGAGTTATACCTCGCACGGTGCTGGTGTTCCGTTGAAAAATGCTCCCTTACCGAGCAGCTCCGTTTATGTGTACGCAAGCGCAGACCTTAACTCTTCGCTCATAATGTCGCTGTCATATCTGCGTACTTTATGATACTGAAAATCTTCGTCATCCCCACTTTTTCCGACTAGTTTGTTTCAGTTTATCTTCGTAACGCTTCGTGTGACTTCATTATAGACTTTAAAGAGAGCGAAACCTAAACGCGGGCGTACGTTATTCGCTAGCCAGACATCAGCTAACTTTCGGTGTTGTGCCGTAGAATGCACCCCTGACAAGAGCGCGGTTAAAGTACATCACGAGGCGAAATAATCCGAGTTTTCCTAACCGTTGGATTGATTTAAAAGCGTGTGCCTTTAATAATTTCATTCAGGGTATTTAGATAAGCAGAAAACAATAACATTCAGAAGCTAATGAGTGAATGGGACGCAGGGGTGCATCCTACGGCACAACACCGGTACCGACGTTACCGTTACCGGGACACTACTTAACCTCTTACGGTGATATTTCAACGTTGTTCTCACGATTTAAAACAAGCTGCAGCTCTTTAACTTTGATAAACTTACCAAAAGAAGCGGTTATATCTCCTACAATAGAGGAAATTGTCGAAGAATTCTCCCAAACTGACCTCCCGGTACCAAACTACTTCTTGTCAGGGGCGCGCGACAACAGATTCGTAGTCATGGCAACCTGTTGTCAGGCAGATTTCGGCCTGCAGATGGCGCGGTTACTTCACCTTTCTCAATAGAAGTTCAGTTTAACAGCTCTAATACCATTAAATGATGTTTTTAAAAACGGTTTAAAGGCGTATTCCTTTTATTTTGTTGATATTATATTGAATAATCAAACTATAATTCAGTGTCTGGGACTGAAACTGTTAATAAAGTAGAATTATGGTCTGTTTTAAAGTACAAAATAAGTCCTAATTTACCCCCAAAAACAGGCTTCATGTGTATTTTTAAACACTTGACTCTGTTATTGAATATATAGGTTCTTGATTTGGGTCTTATCAGTTGGTCTGTTGGTTCTTTGAGTGTTTATTCTGTTGTGGGCTTGTCCCTGTGAATGTGACCTCCTCCTCAGTCTCAGTCAGTTTCCATCAGGACTCTCATTGTGGACTCAGACTCTGCTGTTTTTAACACACACTCGAGGACTTCCCTTTAAGGTTTCACTGAAAAACTTCCTTTTTTCAGACCTCAAACCCTCAGACTGAAGGATTAGCCCCTCAGGACGTGGAAATACGTGTTTTTAGAGTTTTTCTGCTGCTGCAAAGGTAAGTTTATTCAGACATGACACTTTAATAGGTACAGGTTCACTGATATCCGAGCAGAAATGTCATATTTAAGGTAGTAAACAAGGACACACAGAGGGTCAAAGTGAGGACAATCCAACTAAAACACTTATTTATATCCAGACAGAGTCAAACTTTTCAACAGGATTCAGAAATGTATTATGAAGGTGTCCTGACAACAACTCCTGATGAATGTAGAAAATCAGACAGATTTCCTGGTTTCTTTGTGAGAATAAACTGTTACTGGTACCTGTTAAAGTCCGTTAATCCGTCTGTTTTGGTCTGAAGACCCTCACACTGAAGAAGAAACTTATTCACAGTCTCTGCAGGTTATTCTACGGATAAAATCTGATGTTTGGATGTGTTTGAGATTGTAATCCTATAATCTGACCGAGGTTTTCCTGTATCGGTAAAAGAGCTGGATTTAGAGCAAGACAAAACCTTTATGGATTCATCAGACTGATTAAATTAATATTTATCTCAATCAATAAAAACAGGATTAAAAGAAGAGGATCGTTTGCACCGTTATTTGTCTGAGTTTTACTGAAATATTGACATTTAACTATTTAAGACGGATGAAAAGCCCAGTCTGCCCCAAGTCTGTCTGCTGATCTCCCATATTAACCATGTTTACTCACTATAAGTGCTTTAGGTGGTATTTTTGGACCGAAACAAAAGTATAAATTATGATTATGTAAATATAATAAACTGTCGGTCTCTACTCTTAGTATTTCAATCAAGGTATAATTCTGCTGCTTTAAAAGAGGGTCTAAAAACAAGATAAAATCAAGATTAAAAAAAACACTTATAACAAGATAAAAACACTTAAAACAAGATAAAAACACTAAATCTGAGGAAAAAGGTCCTAAAAACAAGATAAAGTATCTGTCCATGCAGCAAGATCATTTCACTAAACAAGATTTCTTGAATGAAGATTGTTCAGTCTAGAAATAATCATGTCTACAAATGTATTTGGAAGATTAAAGTCAGACAAACATGCTGGTTTAAGATCAGATGATTAAAATGTCACTTTTCCAGCCCTAAAATCAGTGAAATCGACTAAATCTAATCAATGACATATTTATTTTTCTTCCTTTGATCAAATGAAGCTGAAGATTAGTTCAACCAAAAATAGAAATGTAGAGAAAAAATACCCAGTATTAGTGAAGAATGACTAAACTCTGTCTCAATCCAAGCAGGCTGATCTTGAAACAAGGCTTACTGAATCTGAAAACAAGATTCCTTTGGATGAGACTAGAACTGATTTGAACAGTTATTTTTCTCATGTGAAGATTTCCTGACTATTGGAGACAAACAGAAGAGAAGGTTGTTGGAGAGAAGATTACAGTGGAAACTTAAAGACTCTGAAAACAGGAGAAATTCTCCAACACTTCTGGATCTACGGTTGGGTTTTGTCTTTCAATCATTCTCAGAGTTCCCTCCTCAAACAGACGGTCACAGTCAGTCGTGATAATCACATCTGAACTGTGGAAAAGATGACCTCAGAAACCGGCCTCATGCCAAATCAGCATCTCTCTGCTCAGCTGAAGTTAATCCTGCTGGAAAGTTTCTGCTCATGTATTTTCTCTTCCCTTTTTCTGCGACTTAAACACCAAATAATATCAATATTCAGTCTGTTTGTGAGCGAGGTTGCAGCCCGCCTTGTTGATGCATTTATTGGCTAAACTTTGGTTAAACTTGCTCAACATGCAAAATAAGCAACATAAGCATGCAGGAAGGAAGCTGAGGGGGGCAGAGGAAGCAAAAGGCCGAATCTGTAACCCTGACATCCAAAAAGGGGAGACGCTGATACAGACAGTTCTGTTTACAGGGTTTCAAAAGAGACACTGACGTTATTTAGAGGGGAGATAAAGAGGAAAAATCACCATTTAACAGATACAGACCCTTTCCAAAAGATTAGAATATCATAGAAAAGTTTATTTCTACAGATCTATTCAAAAAGTTAAACTTGCATTGAGTACACTGTAAAAAAGGAGGGACTAAAAACAAGATAAATGATCTGTCCATGCAGCAAGATCATTTCACTGAACAAGATTTCTAGAATGAAGATTGTTCAGTCTAGAAATAATCATGTCTACAAATGTGTTTGGAAGATTAAAGTCAGACAAACATGCTGGTTTGAAGATCAGATAACTTCAAAAGTAACTTTTACAGCCTCAAACTAAATAGAATATACTAAATATAAGCAATTAATACTGAATCCTGAATTTGTGGGTTTTATGAGCTGGAAATCCAAATTATGTAGAAGCAAACAAATAAATGTGTGTGTGTGTGTGTGTGTGTGTGTGTGTGTGTGTGTGTGTGTGTGTGTGTGTGTGTGTGTGTGTGTGTGTGTGTGTGTGTGTGTGTGTCACAGCAGCTCCAGAGCGTGTGAACCGCTCTGTTTTCAGCTCCTGTCATCACAGCGTGTGCAGGATCATTGGAACAGCTGCTGCAGCTCAGGAAGTGTTTTTTTCATTGAACTCAGGGGAAAACTATTTTGGACGGTGCAAACATTTTCATTTACTCCCCCGGCTGTAAAAATAACGTCTGAGTTTGTTTTTCAGTCACACTAACTGTCGTCCATTTTTCTCACATTATCCAGGGTGACCTGACGGACATGGACCCGACCAGCCTCACCTTTCTCCTGGTCCTGGTCACCCTCAACAAGGTGGATTTATCGGGGGGGTATATTATATTATATATGTACAATATGTACAATGATGTTGATGCTCAATAAAAAGAACATGTGTAAGGATGACCTGTTTGATCGATCTTTGATTGTCTGTGTGATTTCCCATCTTCTCAGCTGCTCGTAGTGGCGAGTCCCGCTGAAGAAAACTCCCAAAACCATCTGAACCATCGAGGTGAACATCAGGTGACACGCAACCAGATCGCCACGGCCCAGTACGAATGTTTCCAACGTATCATGAGGGAGTCGCACCGAAAAACCAAGACTTTGGGTGAGAGGAGATCTAGTTTGGGGTTTAGGAAATCCTCCTCGGACACAGGTTCGGATGATTGAAGGTGTGTGTGGTTTCTGCTCTGTCAGCAGGTTTGGAGTGTAACACCACGTGGGACGGCTGGTTATGTTGGGATGAAACTGAAGCCGGAGTGACGACCGAGCAGAGCTGTCCGGATTATTACACGGACTTCGATCCTCACGGTAAAGTCTCATGTTCATGATCCAAATCTCTCAGCTCCGCCTCCTCACGGGGATTTACTCCTGTCTTTTTTTTTTTGTGCCCGATGTGAGACACGAAATCTACACCTGTCTTTAATATGGACGTCAATCTGTGCCATCTGATTTTTAGGTTGAAATTCTAAAGCTAAATTTTTTTTTTTTGCATCAAAATCAGACTTTTTATTTTTTTTAAACTATTGAATTTCAAGCATTTATTTATTTAATTTTTAATTTTATTATTTTTTATTACATCAAATATATTATTTATTTATTTTACTATTATATTTATAATTTTTAAAAATGTATTTATGTTATTATTTATTCATTTATTTTATTTCATTTATCTGTTTTTTATTTTTTATTTCTGACAATCTTTTTTCACAATGATGAAATAAATTCAGTGTAAAAAAATCGGTCTCTCAAAATATTCGTGTACTAAAAAATTTATGTCAAAAAATTCAACTTAAAAAAAATGGAAAAAAAAACTGCAACATAAAAAATAATTCAGTGTCAAAAAATTTACTGAATTTTTTTTTATGTTGAACTTTTTTTTTTACATTGAATTCCTTTTTTTAATTTACACAATATTTAAAAGTTGAATTTTTACTAAACAGATCTTCTGAGAGAACGATTTTTTTTTACACTGAATTTATTTCATCATCGTGAAAAAAATAAGTGTCAGAAATAAAAACGTGTTCTTGAAATTAAATAGTTTTGAAATTCAAAGTCTGATTTTGATGCAAAAAAAAGTCAGCTTTAGAAATTCAAACTGAAAATCAGATGGCACAGTTTGACTTCCATACTTTAACATCAAAGTAATCAGACGTTCGATCTGTTCGTCCTGACAGCGATGGCCATCAAGGTGTGCTCAGAGACAGGTGAGTGGGGGCGCCACCCGGAGAGCAACAGGACGTGGACGAACTTCACCAACTGCCGAGCCAACACCACCCATCACGGCACGGTACGGACCGACCCGAGGGTTCGATAACGGTTCTGACTCAGCGACTGTGACTGAAGGTGTGTGTGTGTGTGCGCGTGTGTGTGGTGTGTGTGTGTGTGTGTCTCACAGGTGGCCATGACTCACTTCTACCTGGTGATGATCGGACACGGTCTGTCGCTGGTGTCTCTGCTGATATCTCTGGGAATCTTCTTCCATTTTAAGTAAGTCAGCCGTCTGTGGTCTGTGTCTTAGTGAGTGAAGTTCTTCTGAACCGGGTCAACGTTGGAGAACCAGCTGGTACACTGCAAAAAAGGAGGGTCTAAATAAGTCTAAGATGCAGGTTTGAAGATGAGATCCTTGAACTTGAACTTTGTCTTCAGGAGTCTGAGCTGTCAGAGGATCACGCTCCATAAAAACCTCTTCCTCTCCTTCGTCCTGAACTCCGTCATCACCGTCGTCTGGCTCACCACCGTGGTGAAGAAACAAGGACACACCTACAATGACTCGGTGAGTCTACCTGTCCAGGTGTTCCTCCTGTCTCACGGTCCACCTGGGCTCACCTGGTTCTCCTCCCTCCTCTCAGGTGAGCTGTAAACTCCTGATGTTCATCCACCTCTACCTGCTCAGCTGTAACTACTTCTGGATGCTCTGTGAGGGGATCTACCTGCACACGCTCATCGTGGTCGCCGTCTTCGCAGAGAAACAGCACCTGATGTGGTACTACCTGCTGGGCTGGGGTAAGAAGACCAGAACCGGATCCCTCGGCCCCGGGTCTCGGTCTCTCAGACTTCACTAAAGTCCTGTTTCGTCTCCGCAGGTTTTCCTCTCGTCCCCGCCGTCATCCACTCGATTGCTCGCCACTGTTACTACAACGATAAGTGGGTCATTCACAGGTGTGACTGAGATTACCTGTCCGTGTTCTGTGTTCTGACTAACCCGATGACTGACTCCACAGGTGCTGGGTCAGCTCTGACACCACGCTGCTCTACATCATCCACGGACCCATCTGCGCCGCTCTCGTGGTGAGTCACTCAGACACGGACCTGCCTTCAGGTTTTCCTCTTTTATTTATTATCACTTCTGTTTTTATCAAATTCAATAATCGTTTATGTTTTTCTGCCAACGTCGAACTGAAGCTGCTGTGGTGTTTGTACCAGTAACATACTGGGGTATGTTTGTTTACAACTGGGATCGCTAACGACAACAGCTGACAACAGCTGACTATTCCTATTATTGTTTTTATTTGATCTGCTTTGATTCATTTTATTGCTTGAATTGTTTTTATTGTTTTTTTGTCATTGCTTTTATTTTCAATTGCTTCTATTATTTTTTATTATTTTTATTGTTTTTGTTGTTTTTATTATTTTTATTGTTTTTGTTGTTTTTATTATTTTTATTGTTTTTGTTGTTTTTATTGCTTTAGTTTTTTAATTGTTCTTTTTTTATTTAATTGTTTTTATTATTTTGATTGTTTTATTGCTTTTTTATTATTTTCATTGTTTTTATTGTTTTCATTTTTTTGCTTTTATTGTTTTTAGCGTATTAATTGTTTTATAGTTTGTTTGTTTTTTTCTTTTTATTATTTTTTATTGCTATTATTGTTTTTATTGCTTTTAATTGTTTACGTTATTTATCCATTTTTATTTTCTATTGTAAAGCACGGTGGTTCACTGACAGGGTTGTTGTAAATGGCTGTAAAATTCAAGAACATTTACGCTTAGGTCCACAGACCTGAACCTCTTTAGGTCCACAGACCTGAACCTCTTTAGGTCCACAGACCTGAACCTCTTTAGGTCCACAGACCTGAACCTCTTTAGGTCCACAGACCTGAACCTCTTTAGGTCCACAGACCTGAACCTCTTTAGGTCCACAGACCTGAACCTCTTCAGGTCTGTGGACCTGAACCTCTTCAGGTCCACAGACCTGAACCTCTTTAAGTCCACAGACCTGAACCTCTTTAAGTCCACAGACCTGAACCTCTTCAGGTCCACAGACCTGAACCTCTTCAGGTCCACAGACCGGTGTCCATCTCCTGCGTTGAACCCGTGTCTCTCTTCGGTTCCAGGTGAATCTGTTCTTCCTGTTGAACATCGTCCGGGTCCTGATCACCAAACTGAGGGTGACCCACCAGGCCGAGTCCAGCCTCTACATGCGGGCCGTCAGAGCCACCCTCATCCTCATCCCTCTGCTGGGGATCCAGTTCGTCCTGCTGCCTTACAAACCCCAGGACCACTGGGTCTCGGAGATCTACCTCTACGTCATGGAGATCCTCATGCACTACCAGGTCAGTGGAGAGAGCCCACCCTGAAGACCTCCTGGATGCTCTGCCGTGGTTTACGGTCTCAGAGATCCTGGTCTCTGAGGGTTTTTCTGCAGCTGTTGGGTCTTGGAGGATTTCCTGTTTTCACATCAGCTGTTTTTTTTCAGGGTCTCCTGGTCTCCACGATATTCTGCTTCTTCAACGGAGAGGTAAGATCTGTCCTCGTACTTGTTTTCAGTCTTCTCACTGTCTCTCCTGGTGGTCCTGAGGTGGGTGTCCTCCTGCTCTGTCTTCTCGCAGGTTCAGAGCGTCCTGCGGAGACACTGGAATCAGCAGCGGATGCAGTTCGCCGGCACCTTCGCCAACGCCGACTTCTTCCGCTCGGCCTCTTACGTGACGTCGTCGCTGACCGAAGTCCACCGCTGCTACAGCATCGAAAGTCACACGGAGCACATGAACGGGAAGAGCTACTCGGACATCTTCAGATCAGACAGCCCGTTCGTGTGAAGGTGGAGCAGGACTTCAGCTCCTCCTGTAAACCTGAACTTTTCATGAAGATGGAGGTTTTCACCGACACTCCAAAAACTGAGATCTTTCTGGACCTTCTAGATGAAAACTGTGGTCCTGATTTTGACTTTGATTCATGGATTTGGACCCAAAACTCGAGGAGATGGGAGACTCCGTCCTCTCATGATCCACGTCCTTCACGTCTTCGGAGAACCTGCTGAGATAGAAGACCCTGTCCTCTCATATTTAAAGAAGCTGCTCCCTGCTGAGATGAGAGACGCTGTCCTCTCATGATCCACGTCCTTCACGTCTTTGGAGAACCTGTTCTGACACAGAGGACCTCTTCTGGATCTGGAGGAGGAGGACTTTAGGATGGAGGTGTTTTCACCTGAGTTCAAACACTGAGATGTTGTTTCTGAACTTGTTTTGTTGCTTCTGCAGCTGAGCTGCTAGTTAGCCTTTATGCTAGGAGGGGGAAGAGACTCAAAGTGGTTAGCTGGAGGAGTTAAAGTCGAGTTAGTTAGAGGAGTTAAAGTCGAGTTAGTTAAAGGAGTTAAACTCGAGTTAGTTAGAGGAGTTAAAGTCGAGTTAGTTAGAGGAGTTAAACTCGAGTTAGTTAGAGGAGTTAAAGTCGAGTTAGTTAGAGGAGTTAAACTCGAGTTAGTTAGAGGAGTTAAAGTCGAGTTAGTTAGAGGAGTTAAAGTCGAGTTAGTTAGAGGAGTTAAAGTCGAGTTAGTTAGAGGAGTTAAAGTCGAGTTAGTTAGAGGAGTTAAAGTCGAGTTAGTTAGAGGAGTTAAAGTCGAGTTAGTTAGAGGAGTTAAAGTCGAGTTAGTTAGAGGAGTTAAAGTCGAGTTAGTTAGAGGAGTTAAAGTCGAGTTAGTTAGAGGAGTTAAAGTCGAGTTAGTTAGAGGAGTTAAAGTTGAGTTAGTTAGAGGAGTTAAAGTCGAGTTAGTTAGAGGAGTTAAAGTCGAGTTAGTTAGAGGAGTTAAAGTCGAGTTAGTTAGAGGAGTTAAAGTCGAGTTAGTTAAAGGAGTTAAAGTCGAGTTAGTTAGAGGAGTTAAACTTGAGTTAGTTAGAGGAGTTAAAGTCGAGTTAGTTAGAGGAGTTAAAGTCGAGTTAGTTAGAGGAGTTAAAGTTCAGATGGATGGAGGAGTTAAAGTCGAGTTAGTTAGAGGAGTTAAAGTCGAGTTAGTTAGAGGAGTTAAAGTCGAGTTAGTTAGAGGAGTTAAAGTCGAGTTAGTTAGAGGAGTTAAAGTTGAGTTAGTTAGAGGAGTTAAAGTCGAGTTAGTTAGAGGAGTTAAAGTCGAGTTAGTTAAAGGAGTTAAAGTCGAGTTAGTTAGAGGAGTTAAACTCGAGTTAGTTAGAGGAGTTAAAGTCGAGTTAGTTAGTGGAGTTAGTTAAAGTTGAGTTAGTTAGAGGAGTTAAAGTTGAGTTAGTTAGAGGAGTTAAACTCGAGTTAGTTAGTGGAGTTAGTTAAAGTTGAGTGATCTGTAAAGTCTGTCGTGAAGAGAGCGGAGGTGAACGTCTGTTTTGTGGTGAATCAGAAGAAACTGAAGACTGTGGAGGTTTATCTGAAATCCAGAGCTGAACAGGAAGAGTCGGGCTGACCGTCTTAGACTATCGTTAGAAACTCTTAAAAGATTAAATCTTTTTCTTAAATCCGACCCGTCCAAACTCCTGACCCTGAAGTTTCAGAAAAACATCGTCTAAACGGCGCCGTAGAGAAAGAGGCGTTAACCCTCACAGCCTCCACTGAGCGCTCTTTATTCCCCCTTCAGATTTAACGGACTCTAATACTCTGATAATTACGGTAATTATATCTAAAAGTCTGGAGTGAGGACCCTGTCAGGACTCTGCTGGATGAAGAGCTGCTGGTCTCGGCCTTCAGGATCCAGATCCACCTCCACTGAACTCCAGTTAGAAACGAAGAGTTCAGGATTTTTCTCTTCATGGAGTAAAAAACACTTTGAGGTTCTTCAGTGAGCTAAACCCAGAGTCCTCCTCCTCCTCCTCCTCCTCGTTCTCCTCCTCCTCCTCCTCCTCTCTGTGTTTAATCTGTAAATAAAATCTTTAATCTGAGAGTCAGAGATCTCCTCCCCTTTCTTCTCCGTCTCTCTGCTCCTCAGAGGATCTCCTGGAGTTTCTTCTTTCCCACAGATTTCGTTGAGGGTGGGATTTCCTCGTCTGACCTTAGACCACCCCCCCCCCCCCCCTAAATGATTATTGTTTCCAGACAAAGCGGGGCGTGTTGGCGTGTCGGCGTGTTGCTGTCTGTTCCTCGGCCATAAAGCCACCAGGTGCCATAAGGAAGTCCCAGAGGAACCGAGCGAGATCATCCATCAAACCCAGAGTCCGGTCTGTGGAACCACTTAGAACCTCTCTGAAGGACCGGTCCTGGTTTAAAGATCAGCTGACCTGAAGTTTCACTTTTACCGCCTCTAAAATATAAAAAATAAGAATCAAAGTTTGTTGTTTTTCTGACTTTGTAAGATCCAAATCATTCGCCGTGTCGGTTTTGGATGTTGCTTGATGGGACGCCTCCTCCCGCTCATTACGCCGTAAATCTGACATTTTTATGGTTTCCTTGGAGACGGACGTCAAAGTTTAGTGTGGATGTTTTTATGTATCATGACGCCCCCGCCGCCCCTCAGCGTGGAAGTGAAGGGACTTCCTGTTTCTAAGAATAAACTGCCATTGAACTCTTGATCCGTGATCTGCTGCGAGTAAACACTTCCTCCTCGGTCTCATGACTAACGCTTGTTTACCGCATTCGCCTCCGCCGCCGCCGTCTTCCTCTTAAGCGTTCAGCCGATGTTTTTCTGTGGAAAACGCTCGCAGCTCTGAGTGTTTTCCACAGGATGTCGGAAAAACTCCGAAACACCAAACGAAAAATAAAAATATAAAAACTAAATCTGTCAGATTTAGAAATACTCGACGACCATAAAAGGAGATTCATCCTGTAAAAACACAATACAGACCTGCGTCCGTCAGTCCAGGGCGCAGGTGCTGATGCTGCGTTCGAGTTACTTCGGAAGTCGGATGTCGGAGCTGAAAACGACGTCAAACCCGAGTTTCCAGCGTTTCTGTTACCGAGTCAGAAAAAAGCAAAAAGACGATGGCTACGTCTACGAAAGTTATTTCAGCGCCTGACTTATAATCGGACGAGTCGAGCGCTGAAATAACTTTCGGAGATGTAGCCATCGTCTTTTTGCTTTTTTCTGACTCGGTAACAGAAACGTTGGGAACTCGGGTTTGACGTCGTTTTCAGCTCCGACATTAAAAGCAGCATTAAACTCCGGCCTGAGTTTGTCAGCTGTTACTTTTGTCGTAGTAGAAGTTACAGTCGTCGTATTTAGCCGATCAGAATCATTTTAGCTGATACAGCGTTTATGAAAAGTGGGCGGGGCTAGTGTGACATCACTGCTTTGCTGTTTTGTCGTCATTTCAGCGTTTAAACCTGTTGGTGCGTTCGAGTTACTTCGGAAGTCGGAGCTGAAAATGACGTCATGAAAAGCAAATTCGGAAAAGCAAAAACAAGATGGCTACCTCTACGAAAGTTATTTCAACTATTTAAACCTGATTGAATTTTTTTAGAAAAGCTGTTTTTAGTCACGGAGCGACTCTTGCTTCACCGTTATCTCTACGTGTTGGCGTCCGATTCGTGTCGTATAGCGTGTACGTGCAGAACTTCCTGTCAGATATGGTCATGATTCTGCCGCCGTCATCTACAGTCATTCTCCGCTTTAATCTGGACTCTGTGGACCTGAACCAGTCCATGAATTAAAGGTCCTGATGAAGGTTTGACTCCACAGTTTTCTGTCCTCTGCCAAAGAATTTCCCCGTCCGTCATGAGTGCATGCTGGGAAAAAAAAAAAAAAAAAAACAGTCCGGGGAATGTCAGGAATGTAAAGAGAGGAAACGACGACGACGACCTTCCCCGAAGAGAAGGTCGGAGAGACGAGAAGACCTGAGAAGACCTTTGACTTTAGATCCTGCAAACGGTTTAGTTCATACAAGATGACTGTTTTTATCTTGTTTTTATATTGTTTTTAGTGTTTTCATCTTGTTTCTATCTTGTTAGTGTTTTTGTCTTGTTTATTATCTTGTTTTCAGTGTTTTTTTATTTTGTTTTCAGTGTTTTTTTATCTTGTTTTTATCTTGTTTTTAGTGTTTTCATCTTGTTTATTATCTTGTTTTCAGTGTTTTTTTTAATCTTGTTTATTGTCTTGTTTTAAGTGTTTTCATCTTGTTTTTATCTTGTTTTTAGTGTTTTTATCTTGTTTTCATCTTGTTTTAAGTGTTTTCATCTTGTTTTCAGTGTTTTTTTATCTTGTTCATAGTGTTTTTATCTTGTTTCTATCTTGTTAGTGTTTTGTCTTGTTTTTATCTTGTTTTCGGTCCCTCCTTTTTTGCTCTGACTCTGATTTCTTCCATCCTAAACCTTTTTTTCTCGCCGTCGTCTCGTCTGTCCTCGATGAGGTTCTGATTCAATGTTTTTTCAGAATTTTGACTTTTTTTTTTTTTTTCAGCTGTGAGGTCAAAGGTCATCTCCGGCGGTCTCCAGCTGCAGAGCGTTAAGAAAGCGCCCCGCCCCCGACTAACACGCGAACCCTTTACATGACGTGTTCTCAGATTTGACCGTGACGTCCACCAGAAACTCATCACTGTTGGGATAATTCACGACCCCGCCGCCTTCAGACTTCCTGCGGTCCCACCCAGACCCGGGTCACGTCCATACAGCCGGGCCTCATGGATCAACCCCCAACCTCGGTACCGCCGTACGCCCTCCACGCCCTCGAGCGCGGCCAAGAACTCATTCCATTGTTCTCCAGAGAGAGACATCCCGGGTACGAGAGAGAGCCAGATGTGTGTGTGTGTGTGTGTGTGTGTGTGTGTGTGTGTATGTGTATGTGTATGTGTGTGTGTGTGGTAAATCAGGGTTAAACAGCTGTAGTTTGTTGTTGTTCGTGTTCAATCATTCGACTCTTAACGAGTTTCTGATCAAAGTGATCGATACACAGCAAAAAAGGAGGGACTGAAAACAAGATAAAAACAAGATAAAAACACTATAAACAAGATAAAAACAAGATAAAAACACTTAAAACAAGATAAAAACACTAAATCTGAGGAAAAAGGGACTAAAAACAAGATAAAAACAAGATAAAACAAGATAAAAACAAGATAGAAACACAAGATAAAACCAAGATAAAAACACTAAATCTGAGGAAAAGGGACTAAAAACAAGATAAAAACGAGATAAAAACAAGATAAAACAAGATGTTAACAAGATAAAAACACTAAATCTGAGGAAAAGGGACTAAAAACAAGATAAAACAAGATAGAAACACTAAAAACAAGATAAAAACGAGATAAAAACAAGATAAAACAAGATGTTAACAAGATATAAACACTAAATCTGAGGGAAAGGTCTAATATATTAGTATAAAATAAGTATAAATGCTGGTTTAAGATCAGATGATTAAAATGTCACTTTTCCAGCCCTAAAATCAGTGAAATCGACTAAATCTAATCAATGACATATTTATTTTTCTTCCTTTGATCAAATGAAGCTGAAGATTAGTTCAACCAAAAATAGAAATGTAGAGAAAAAATACCCAGTATTAGTGAAGAATGACTAAACTCTGTCTCAATCCAAGCAGGCTGATCTTGAAACAAGGCTTACTGAATCTGAAAACAAGATTCCTTTGGATGAGACTAGAACTGATTTGAACAGTTATTTTTCTCATGTGAAGATTTCCTGACTATTGGAGACAAACAGAAGAGAAGGTTGTTGGAGAGAAGATTACAGTTTGTTTTTTTCTCGGTAAATCATTTGCGGTTTTCTCCACCGTCACTCGTTTGGACTCGGATCATCTCCAACAATAGTCTGTAAGAGTTTTGAAGGGTCCAGTTCCTGACGGCGTTGGGCGGCGTGGATCCTGTAGGCACGTCCCTCGCTCTCTTCTTCAGCGCCGTCCTGCCAACAGGAACTCCCTCGCTCCTCTCCCAGTTTCCTGCCATTGTTCTCGCCGCCGCTGCTGCCACCAGGACCGCGCTCCTCCTGGGATCTGGGAAAAGGTGGGATGTTAGAGCGGCTCATTTCCTTTTCGATCAGCTCCAACCTCGGCGAGGAGGAGGAGGAGGAGGAGGAGGAGGAGGAGGAGGAGGAAAGGTCAAAGGTCAGCTGCTGCTCTCACAGCTGATTTGATTCACTTTTTTTCGACTTCATCTGATTTTTTAGTTTCATCTCTTTTTTATTTCTCCGTGTTTTTTCAGCCCTGAGCCCCCGTACCTCCAACTCTAATCTGGGACCAGCTCCTCGCTCCTTTCCCAGAGTTTGGAGCGGCGGCGGCGGGGGCTACGGAGAGGTGGGGTTGGAGGGTTGGAGGGGCACACGGGAAGGAAAAGGAGTAGCTGGGAAATCTCATCAGGCTCCTCAGCAAACCAGAGACACCCAGATAGGATCTGGGCGTCGCTGCTCAGTCGTCCCGGGGTCGAGACTCCAGCCGTGGCGGTCCACCACGGTTTGGTGTCCGTGACGATCTGGGCGTCTGAAACAGGAGATGAAGAGAAAAAGGAGCGCTGGGGAATTTCCTCAGGAAGTGAGGGATGATTATTTCTTCTTCTTCTTCTCTGTGTGATAAGAAGAAGGATAATTACAGCTGTGAGGACAGACTCTGAACACCGGCGCCCCCTCCTGTCCTTTATCAACAATATTACTATTAAATATTAAATTAATTTATATGATATGATATTATATTAAATATTAAATTATATTGTATTATATTATATTATATTATATTAAATATTATATTATATTACATTATATCATATTATATTATATTAAATATTAAAAATTATATTATATTATATTATATTACATTATATCATATTATATTATATTAAACATTAAATTATATTATATTATATTAAATATTATATTATATTATATAAAATATTAAATTATATTATATTATATTATATTATATTAAATATTATATTATAGTATATTTTATTAAATATTAAAAATTATATATTATATTAAATATTAAATTATATTATATTATATTATATTAAATATTATATTATAGTATATTTTATTAAAAATTAAAAATTATATTATATTATATTATATTATATCATATTATATTATATTATATTAGTGATGTAGAGTCACTGATCTCATTTCCTGTTTTATTTTGTAGTCCTGAACCTTTTGTTTCTTACTTCCTGTCATTGTTGTGTTTCCCGCCTTTTTTCCCCTCACACCTGGACCTCAAAACTCCAGTGTTCCTCCTCTCTCTGCAGACTCAGGTGTGTTTCTGCTCTCCTTATTTCAACTAAATATTAAATATAAATATATATTTAAAAAAACAGGTTTATTTATGTAGTTATTTATTTATTTATTTATTTATGTATATCAGGTTCCTGCAGGTCTGTGAAGCTTTACCTCAAACTGAAAATGTTCAAACTTCAAATTGTGAACAAGTGCAACAGTTCAGGTCAAAATATGAAGTTAACCGCTGTTCTCTTCTTCTTCTTCTCCTTCTTGTTCTAGATGTTTCCATGACTATCATGAAAATAGACGCCCTGCCTATAAATGACCACCTGGCCGAGCTGCAGCAGGAAACGGTGAGAGAGAGAGAGAGAGAGAGAGAGAGAGAGAGAGAGAGAGAGAGAGAGTCCTGTCTGATTTCAGCGCCTCCACAGAGGAGAGGTCGACCCACAAACATGTGCAGCCTAAACTTTGACTCCTGCTCTTCCTGAACACACACACACACACACACACACACACACACACACACACACACACACACACACACACACACACACACACACACACACACACACACACACACTGATGCATGCACAAACACTGAAATTAAAGAGGGAGTCTGCAGAACAGGACCAGGACCAGGACCACCTTGTTGAGCTGAAATCAGACTTTTCTAAACAAGATAAAAAACAAGATTTAAACAAGACTAAAAAATCATAAATTCACACCTGGATGAGACACACCTGCATATCTAATCTAATCTAATCTAATCTAATCTAATCTATTATAATAGGGTGTAATTTAATAAAATATATGATATTATATTATGTTATATTTAATATAATGTAATATATAATATAAAATAATATAACACAACATAAAAATATTTACTAAAATATTTTATATAATATAAAAAAATAATATAATATAAAATAATGTAATATAATATAATGTAAGATGTTATGATAGGATAGGCTATGATATGATATAATATGATATAATGTTTAATACAATAAAATATAATTCAATATAGTACAATATAATATGATTTAATATAATATAAAATATAGTATAATAAAATGTAATATTTATTATAATATATTTTTAGAATTTATTAAAATATGATCTGAAATTACATTAAATAAAATAACATGATAGACTATAAGATAATTAAATATAATTAAATGTGATATAATATAGTATTAAATGATTTAATGAAATATTCGATATGATATAATGTTATATTTTATAATTTAATATAATATGATATTATATAATATTGAATATAATATATATAATAATATAATTAAATTAAATAAAAAAAATTACAATATAAAACAATATATTACAAATTAATAATATAATATAAAATGACATATTTTAATATACTATAAAATAATTTCATATGATTTAATATAATATATAATTTAATATGATGCAATACATTTTTTAATATAACACAATATAATATAAAATGATATTTAATATAATATACTCTTTGATAAAATATAAACTAATATAATAGAATATAAAATAATATATAACAAAGTGTTTAATATAGTATAATATAAATGTGCTGATGTTGTAGTCCGTGTTATTAAATCACAGGTCATGAATCTTCTCTTTATCCTCCTGGTGTGGTTGAAGTTTTAACTCTGGTTTAAATACAGTGAAGCTGTGTCGCCCTCTAGTGGTCAGGTAGGACTCTTCCCTCATTGAAACTCATGTCAGAGCAGCGTTTTCTTCTTCTCATGCGTTAAAAAAGAACGTGTGTTTATTCAGAATTTGAGGCAGAGTTATTCCAAAGAGAGACATTTATTCCACAGTCAACATAGAACACAAACATATAGATTTACACTCACAGGTTTCATTTACAGCCCTGGTTCTTTTTTTTTTTTTTAAGACGATACAAAGAGTAAATGAGTTCCTGCACACAACGAAATAATTTAGGTGACCGTGATGACCCTCCCCTGACCCCCTACTGGTTTCAGGTTTTCCCAGTTTGTGCATCTTTACAGTTCAGACTAAAACTCCCGGGGTCTTCGTGTCTTCTCCACGCTGTAAATGTATGATCGGTTAATAAATTATGGTCGCCTCTTACGCTCAGACTCGCCGCACACGTCTCATATGTCCGCAGTGTTTCCACGGGTTTCAGGAGACCTCCGTGGACTCATCCGTCCTCCTTTGAACTTCCTGATGATGAAGATGAGGTTCCTGGGAGAACGCTCTTCTGTCCGGATCACTCTGAGGATTCCTGTTTTTTTAGGAGAAGCAGACGGGGCCCAGGTCCAAACCGAACTCCTGATCGGCTTTTCCGATGTCCATGGGGGACAAATCCACCAAGGGCAGCCTGGCCGAAGTCTGAGTCCTGTACTCGAAGACTGCTCTGCCCCACTGTCCGTCCGCGTTCTGCAGGAGAAGAAAGTTCAGTCGATCATCTTCTGACCTGTTTTTATGAACCCTGGTGTATGGAGGTCAAACTGTGCCATCTGATTTTCAATTTGAATTTCTAAAACTAAATTTCTTTGCATCAAAATCAGACATTGAATTTTTAAACTATTAAAACGAAACAAAAAAACAAAACTAAAAACTGTAGAGAAAAAATTCAACATGAAAAAAAATTGAAAAAAAAAATACGTCAAAAAAATTGTTCTAAAAATATTTGTGTAATAAAAATTCTACTTAAAATAACTTTTAAAAAAATTCACATTAAAAAAATTCAATGTCAAAAAAATCAGTGTAGAACAGACCGTCTCAACATTTACGGAAGTAAATCTGTGCCATCTGATTCTGAATTTGAATTTCTCAAGCTGAATTTTTTTGCATTGAAATCAGACTTTGAATTTTGAAACTGTTGAATTTCAATCCCGTGTTTTTATTTCTGATACTTATTTCTTTACAATGATGAAATAAATTCAGTGTAAAAAAAATCTCTTTTAAAAAAAAATTAGTAAAAATCTAATTAAAAAAACTTTATAAAAAACATTCTTTTTTCTTGAAGTTGAAAAAACTCAACTCAACAATTTTTTTACACTGACTTTATTTTATCATTGTGAAAAAAAACAAGTGACTGAAATAAAATGATAAATAAAACAAAATTATATGAAAAAATCATAAAGTTAATAATAAATATAATAATAAAAATATAATAAATAAATAAATATTTTATAAAATAAAAAATTAAATAAAAATAACAATCAATGTTTTTGAAATTCAAAGTCTGATTTTGACACAAAAACAAATTCAGCTTTATAAATTCATAATCAGATGGCCCAGATTGACTTCCGTACAGGACTTACCGAGCAGCCGTCGTGGAGGACGGTGTATCGGAGGCGGTTGTTTCCCTGTGCTCTCAGCTCCTGACCGTTGAAGCCTTTGAGGACCAGAGCTTTCTTCAGGCTCTTCTCGCTCTTGTACGCCACGCTGTTCCTGCAGTGGTACGTGACGTTCTGGTGCGACTCTTTGGACAGCAGCTGGAGAAGCTTAATCTGGACCGCCACGGCGTTGGGCTGCTCGCCATTATTTCCGTAACCAAACTGAAAGACAAAAACGGTTGGGAGAGATGACACGGCTTTTCTCTGTTGCAGCGTCGGCGAACTTTGAGGAAACTCGGGTTTCTCGACTCACTTTGGCGCCGTTGTTGATGTCTGCTCCGAACCAGACGGGTTTGTTGGCCGTGGGCATGGACTTAGTCCACCAGACTTTGCGTGGGATGATGGCGGGATTGGCGGGGATGCAGGTTTCGCCAGTTTCCATGTCACAGAAGACCCTGATGGCGTCTTTGGTGCTCCCTTGATTGGGATCAATCCAGTACTCCCCTGAAAGAAGAAAGAACAGGGTCGGTTCTGGTTCTGTGGATCATCAACATGTTCAGAACCTTCAGACTCTGAGGAACCGGGTTTATCAGGACAGGCAGAGACCGCCGTGGAGGTCAGAGCGGACTCACCGCTGGGTTTCTGAGGGTAGCACTGCTGGATGTCCTGGCAGGTTTTGGCGGGGTTCATCTTGCTGCCGTCGGGACTGCGGAGGTTCTGCAGGTGTCCGCTGAGGGTCTTGAGAGTGGCGTGGACCCCCGTGTCCGCTCGCAGGACCGCCTGCTGGTTCTTGTTGGGGAGGGCTTCGTCTTTGTTCATCTCCGGAGGCGGAGGAGGAGGATCGGCGGCTACATCATCCTCCACGAAGTCCACGGCTTCTGGGACGCCGCCGTTTCCTTCGTAGTCGTAGGAGGGGACGTATAGGTCCTCCACGGCTGCTGTAGGAGGTCCAGGGGGTCCTGGAGGACCAGGTGGTCCGGGTTCTCCTTGTGGACCCTGATAGAGAAGAAAAGTTCTTTTAGATGAAGGGAAGGAGTGTACGGAAGTAAATTTGTACCATAATTTAAATGAAAATAGATGAACAGAAATGTATTTTCATTTTCAGAAAGTAGCTGGACTTCTAAGATCTTAAATAAGTTAAAAATAAATAATTCAAACTGTAATAACTCGGATTATTCTGTAAAAAGCCATTTGAGCTTTAATTTTCAAAATATGTATGGAAGTCAATCTGTGCCATCTGATTTTCAATTTGAATTTCTAAAGTGTTTTTTTTTTGCATCAAAATCAGACTTTCTGACACTTATTTTTTCACAATGATGAAATAAATTCAGTGTAAAAAATCGATCTCTCAAAAGATTTGTTAAGTGAAATTTCAACTTCAACTTAAAAAAATTCAACATAAAAAAATTCAATTTCAAAAACTTCTTTGACAGTTTTTTAGGTCGAATTTTTACTAATCAAATATTTTGAGAGACCAAATTTTTTACACTGAATTTATTTCATTATTGTGAAAGAAAATAGAAAAAGTGTAAGAAATAAGAAAGGAAAGAAATTATAAATAAAATAAAATAAAAACTAAATAAATAATAATAAAAAAAACAAATAAGAAATACAATAAAATAAATAAATAAATATTTAATACGATAAGAAATAATAAAATAAATAAAAAATTACATGCTTGAACTTCAAAGTCTGATTTTGATGCAAAAATATTCAGCTTTAGAAATTCAAATTCAGATGGCACAGTTTGACTTCCATAGGAGCTCTACAGGTAACAGATTATACGATCAATGATGTCAGAGAAACAGAGTCGGAACCAGAACCTGTTCTCCAAGGTCACCCATGGACCCTCTGGTTCCAGGAGCTCCCTGAGGTCCAGGCTGACCGATGTATCCCTCCTTTCCAGGAGGACCCACCACTCCAGGAGGACCCTAGACAGTCAAGGTTAGGGTCAAAGGTCAAAGGGGTTATATGTGTCTGAAGATTGAGTATCAGTGATGACGATGAAGATGAAGATGAAGATGGTGATGGTGGTCATGGTGGACACTCACCCTCGACCCAGCTGGTCCACTTATACCTGTAGATCCTGGTTCTCCTGTTTGACCCTGAAACAGAAAAAAGACTTTGAACAGAACTGGTCCTGATGCTGTTGCCATGGCGATGGAGGTAACCGTTTCAAGGTCAAAGGTTAAAGGATGAGCGTACCGCTGATCCCGGCAGACCGTGGAGTCCTGTGAACCCGCGGTGACCTTTCTGACCCCGCTCCCCCTGATCTCCAGCTGCTCCTTTCTCTCCTTGGGGTCCTTGAGGGCCCTGATGACGCAAAAAACAACAAACGCATTTAACTACGTGGAGGTCATCTGTCCTTAACAATAATAATAATAACCATAATAATGATATTAATAATAATAATTATTATTTTAATAATAATAATAATGTTTTTAAAAACATATTTTTTGTTTTTCTTCTGAACCCGAGGTCTTGAATATTTAAACGTCGGACTTACTGGTTTTCCTCGGACTCCATCTGATCCTGGGGGTCCTGCTGGACCTCGGCCGCCCTACATATAGAAGAGAGACAGACAGACCCGGACCGTCTTTAAAACCTGCTGCAGCAGGATCTTCAGGGATCCTGGTCTTTAGATGGATCTGTTTAATAAAAACTCACATTTTCACCGATCGGACCTGGACCTCCTGTCAGTCCTACAGGGCCCTCAGGTCCAGGAGACCCTGTAACCCCAGGCAGACCCTCTGGACCACTATTACCCCGCTGTCCCTAAAAACCAGGAACAGAAATGTTCAGAATACCCAGCTGGACCCAAATCCAGTCCATGACCTAAGGCGGCGCCCTCTTACCCGCTCTCCTACGAGTCCGTCCTTTCCTGGAGGACCCTCAGCTCCAGCGAGTCCCTGAAAAACACAAGACCATCATGAAGGACCCCTAAAGACACCAAGACCATCATGAAGGACCCCTAAAGACACCAAGACCATCATGAAGGACCCCCAAAGACACCAAGACCAGGTGACAGCAAACTAAAAAAAACAAGTCCTCATGGTGGATCAGAGCGGGTCCACAAGGACTTGAATTTCAGTCTCTCCCTGTCTTATTGAACCCAGAGAGGGTCTCAGACAAAAAACTGGAGGACACACTGCAAAAAAATTTAAAAATAAAATAAACAAAAAGTAAAAAAAAAATGTAAACAAAAAAAATTTAATTAAAAAAAATAAAATAAAATAAAATAAAGTAATAAATGTTTGTTTGCTTTGCCATAAATGTTTCATTGTGATTGGACTCATTTTGTATGTTTATCCATGATAAAAATAAAATTTAAAAAATTAATAAATAAATAAAATTTTGATACAAATAAATAAATAAAAAATAAAAAATAAACTTAAAAAATAAAATAAATTACTAAATAAAAAATAAAATTATAAAAAATAAAAGAACTCAATGAATGAATAAATAAAAAATAAATTCAAAAAACAAAATAAATAACTAAATAAATTATAAAAAATAAAATAACTCAATAAATCAATAAAAAATAAATTTAAAAAATAAAATAAATTACTCAATAAATCTAAAAATAAGAAAAAATAAAATAACTCAAAAAATCAATAAAAAACAAAAACAAAAATAAAGAAATAAAATAAATAACTAAATATAAATAGAATTATAAAATAAAATAAATACATTAAAAATGAATAAATAAATGTTCAAAAAACCCAGTGAGGGTCTGAGACAAACCTCTGGACCTGCATCTCCTCTCGGTCCTGTGGCTCCAGGTAAACCAACTCCACCAGGAGGCCCTGTGGTGCCCTGGGTCCCAGGAGCTCCGTTCTTGCCTGGTGGACCCTGAGGAACCAGGAAACACGAATTAAAGGAGAAAGACTCAAAGAGGAGGACGAGGGTCAGGAGACGGACTTACAGCAGGACCCGGAAGTCCAAGCATGCCTCTCTCTCCTCGGCTGCCGGGCTGACCCACAATTCCTCTCTGTCCGGTGGTTCCAGCAGGTCCTGGAGGTCCATCAGGACCCTGAAGGAGAAACACAGGAGCAGAGTCAGACATGGTTCTTCTTCATGGAAGTCCACTAGAGGACCAGAACCACTCCCCCGTACCCCAGGTCCGTCCTCTCCAGAGTCCCCCTTCTCTCCAGGGGTGCCCGCCAGTCCCGCGGGTCCTCTCTCGCCCTGACGTCCAGTAGCTCCTGGTTCTCCTAGGATCCCAGCAGGACCTGGTTTTCCTGGAGCTCCGATCGGTCCATCAGCTCCAACAGCACCCTGAAAAAACCAGACCAGATCAAGGACTCAACTGATTCAGTTTTTAACCACAAAAACCCGGTCCAAAACGAGTCCACTCACCAGAGAACCGACGGGTCCGATTCCTCCAGGTAGTCCAGGGAAACCCGGAGCCCCCTGAGGATGAGAAAGAGTTCTATCAGAACCGAGGTCAGAACAGAAAGACGAGGACCTTCTGAGAAGGTCTTTGAACCCACCGTCTGTCCCTGAGTCCCTCTGCCCCCTTTCAGGCCGGTCACGCCACCTGGACCCTGCTCTCCGGGTTTCCCCGCCGTCCCCTGAGGTCCAGGTGATCCTCCTTCTCCCTTCAGGCCCAGCTCACCTGTTTCACCTTTGACCCCCGGCTGACCGTCAGGACCCTGAGCAGGAAACAGGAAGTTAGCGTAAAGTTGGTGTTTGGACCTTTTTTAAAAACTGGTTTATGTTAAAAACCGGAACTCACAGCAGGTCCTTGGAAACCAGCAGGACCGGTTGAACCCGCGTCTCCAGTGGAGCCCTGAAAACATCGATCCGGGTCTGGGTTAGTTCAGGTTTAAAGTTTTTAATTTTTAATTTTTATTATTTTTATTCATGTATTTATTGATTCACTTATTTTTTATTTTATTTTATTACTATTATTTTTTTCCTCCTTATTTTTTTTGCTCTATTATTAAATTAATAATTATTTTTGTATTTTTTTGTTCAGTCAGAACTCAAACTCTTTTACTCTCTCCTCAACAAGCATCACAATTTAATAAAATATAATAATAATAACCAAAATCAAATAATAAGTGGGTAAATAAATAAAAGAATAACAGGTAGATTAATAATATATATGGAAACACACATATATACATTAAAAAATTAATGCCTGCCGTAATAATCTGTCATAATCTGTCCTGCGTCACCTAATAAAATAAGTGGATAAATAGATAAATAAATGAATAAATAAATAAAAACAAAATAAAATAAAAAATTAAATTAAATTAAAAATATAAATAAATAGATAGATTAAAATTAAATTAATTAAAATAAAACAAAATAAAATATAATATAAAATAAATAAAATAAAAATAAAATAAATAAAAAATTAAATTAAATTTAAAAAAAAAAAAGGTTCAATGCTCACAGGAATTCCTCGGGTTCCTCGGCGCCCCGTTGGTCCTGGTGGTCCTGGTTCACCCTGGAATAAAGAACAGCCAATCAGATCAAAGCTCTCACCAAATATGGAAACGGAGACTCTTGAACAACAGAGTGACCCCCCAGATACGAGGACTCTCAGCCCACCTTCTCCCCGTTTGGTCCAGCAGAACCGACAGGTCCAACAGGTCCAGGGAGACCCTTCAATCAGAACAAAAAACGTTTCAGGGTTAGTATCACGCGTGTGTGTGTGTGTGTGTGTGTGTGGTTGGTTCTGAGAACAGTCCAGAACAGTCCGGAGTCTCACCCGGGCCCCGTCAGCTCCAGCCTTCCCCTCCAGTCCTTTATCTCCAACAGAACCCTGACAGGAGGACCAGAACACCATTAGAAGGTGGACTCACTCAGAACCTGCTCATCATGGGACCGGGACCGGGAACTCACCGCGTCTCCTTTGGGTCCACTTGGTCCTGATTGTCCTCTCTCTCCAGGCATGCCCTGAAGTCCTGGACCTCCTGGTTCTCCTACAGAACCAGCTGGACCGGTGCTACCCTGAAAGGTGGAGGAGGTGGACTTTGATGAAGATCATGTGACTCTTAAACTTCCTGTTCTGATCTGGATCCACCAGTCCTGGTTTAAAGGTTTTATGGTCTTCATACCTTTGGTCCATCAGGACCGGGTCCACCTGGACTCCCTTTGGGTCCCTGCAGGCCGTTGGGTCCGATGTCACCTCTCTCTCCAGGAGGACCTCGCTCTCCCTGCAGGAACAAACATCATTAAAGAAGAACCGCCCCCCTTTAAAGACAGGTCAGGACAGGTGGACTCAGGTGGACTCAGGTGGACTCACCCTCGGACCGGTCCCTCCTGCAGCCCCGGCCTCTCCAGCCAGACCCTCATCACCTGGTTTCCCGGACTCTCCAGGAGGTCCCGGCTGTCCCGGTAAACCCTAAAACCACAAACCCGAGTTTAAACCCCTGAACATGAATAATCAGAACCCCCACATCAGATAAACCCTCTCCGGGTTTTTAGAGGTCCAGGTTTACCTGGAAGCCGTGGAGTCCCTGAGGTCCCTGTTCTCCTCTCTTTCCTGCAGGACCCTGGAGGAGGAACAAACAGGAAACAGGGTTTACACATGATGACATCACTTCCTGTCTGAGGTCTGCTGCTCAGACTCTGAGGCTGTTTTTGATTTGGCCTACTGTGTACTCCTGCTGAGATACTACATACTGAGTACTGTGTTCTATAGTAGTATACAGGAGATACTACATACTGAGTACTGTGTTCTATAGTAGTATACAGTAGATACTACATACTGAGTACTGTGTTCTATAGTAGTATACAGTAGATACTACATACTGAGTACTGTGTTCTATAGTAGTATACAGTAGATACTACATACTGAGTACTGTGTTCCATAGTAGTATACAGGAGATACTTCATACTGAGTACTGTGTTCTATAGTAGTATACAGGAGATACTTCATACTGAGTACTGTGTTCCATAGTAGTATACAGTAGATACTTCATACTGAGTACTGTGTTCTATAGTAGTATACAGTAGATACTACATACTGAGTACTGTGTTCCATAGTAGTATACAGGAGATACTTCATACTGAGTACTGTGTTCTATAGTAGTATACAGGAGATACTACATACTGAGTACTGTGTTCTATAGTAGTATTCAGTAGATACTTCATACTGAGTACTGTGTTCTATAGTAGTATACAGTACATACTTCATACTGAGTACTGTGTTCTATAGTAGTATACAGTAGATACTACATACTGAGTACTGTGTTCTATAGTAGTATACAGTAGATACTACATACTGAGTACTGTGTTCTATAGTAGTATACAGGAGATACTACATACTGAGTACTGTGTTCTATAGTAGTATACAGGAGATACTTCATTTCCAGTTTGGAGAAGTCCGTCATACTCCTTTTACACACTGAAAAAAATCTTTTCTGTTTTAATTTAATTATTTCTGGATTTTTCAGCCCAAAACCATCAGAACATGTTCTGTCTCTGCAGCGACTCGTCAATGTTCTGGCGGCGTTTGATTCTCGTCACGGTGCTGTAAATACAGCAAAGTTACGCCCAAATCTCCACCTTCACCCTGATCGTCTCCTAAAAGGTCGTATCCTCCGATCGTAGCTGATCGTAACCATTCAAGTTAACGTGTCAATTTACACCGACTTCTTTCCGTTCCTCTGCGGATCGCCGGACTCCTCAGCTGATCACAAGAGTTCTATTTTTTCTGGACGCCGGAGCATGGCGGATAAATTCAGCACAGATTAACCCGTGCTGGAAAGGAAGTCGGGCACAGACACAAAATAAAACATCCGGCTTCTTTTCAAAATAAAACATCCGGCTTCTTTTCAAAATAAAACGTCCGGCTTCTTTTCAAAATAAAACGTCCGGCTTCTTTTCAAAATAAAACGTCCGGCTTCTTTTCAAAATAAAACATCCGGCTTCTTTTCAAAATAAAACACCCGGCTTCTTTTCTCCTGCGGTGTGTTTACTACATCCTGGTACGAACTGCTGGTAAAGAAGGAGAATTCAGAAACTTACAGCTGGACCGGTGGGACCAGCAGGACCGGTCTCTCCGTCTTTCCCGTTGACCCCCTGTGGGTCAGAAGAACACCTGTCAGTTTAGTCTCAGGTAAGACCCTGAACCCTGAACCCTGAAGGTGGACTAGTGAAGGACTTGCCCTTTGACCTGGAGGTCCAGCGCTGCCCGCTTCTCCGATCTTCCCGGCATCTCCCTGAAAAACAGAAAGTCCACGTTCTGATCTGGACCACCAAGAAGGTTGAAGAGTAAAGACCTCAGACTGACCGTGAACCCTTTTGGACCCGGCAGACCCATGTGTCCGGCTGCACCTCTGTTTCCTACAGGACCTGCTGGACCCGGTTTACCGTCGTCTCCTGCTAGACCCTGGAGAGACGAGAAGGTTTAATCAGGACCGAGAAGAAGGACTTTAGAGACCTCTCCATGACTTTGACAGTATAATTCAAGACTTTTCCAGACTTTTCCAGGTCCCTGTTTAACAAACCATGGGTCCTGGTTTTCCTTCTGCTCCCTGAGGCCCGATCAGTCCCGTCAGACCCTGAGGAATAAAACAGGTCACACGTTAGAACTGGAGACTTTTGAAGGACCCACCAGGACCAGGATGGACATCAGACTCTGTCGGACTTACCCGAGCTCCCGTCAGACCCGGCTCTCCACCGCGTCCCAGATCTCCGAGTAAACCTTTGGCTCCAGGTGATCCTGGAAGTCCTCGTTCCCCCTGAGCTCCCTGTGGAGGAGCAGAGACACAGAGGGGCTCTCAAACAGGATCAGGATCAGGCTGGTACTGATGGTTAGACCCGGGTTCTGGTGTGGGTCCACTCACCTTCTGTCCAGGTAGACCGTCTGCACCTGGAAATCCTCGGTTTCCTGGAGCTCCCTGGAAAATCATGGAAGGTTTTTGTCAGTTTTGATTTGAACCCTTCGGTTCCTCCTCGGTCCGTTTATTCTGAGCCGACCGTCTCAGTTTTAAAGATCGGAAAATCTAAAAAAAACTCTCCTGTAGTTCTCCGTCATTTTAGCTCCGCCCACCCTACTTTGTCCTCAAATCGGCCAATAGACTTCCATTAAAAACAGGTGTTTTGAGCGTGTGTTTATGAACTCTTATCTGCATGTCTGTTTTTGGATGGAGGTAAAACAGGATCCAAAGGGTTCAGGTCTGAAGTAGACCTGGACTCACCGCCTCTCCTGGAGGTCCTGGAGGTCCAACATCTCCACCGTCACCTCGAGATCCTCGTTTCCCGTCTTCTCCCATCGGACCAATCGGACCAGGAACACCGTGATCCCCCTAAAAAGGACCAGAGAGCAGAACTACCTCAAAACCAGGTTCATGTCTGAAGCGGTTCTGAACCTTCAGGGTCTTCGGGGGTCTCACTCGCTCTCCTTTGGCTCCAGGTTCTCCTTTGAATCCGGGGACGCCGACGTCGCCCTGAAAACAGGACGTAGGTCAGAACGGCGAAGGGCGGGACGTTTTAGTCAAAGGAAAACTGAGACAGTGAAGTCCACATACCAGCTGTCCCTTTGGTCCTGGTGTTCCTGTGGTCCCCTGAGGGCCAGGGGGACCTGGAGGCCCCAGCAACCCTGCTGGACCCTGAACACCAGCCAGACCCTGTAAGAAGAAGAAGAAGAAGAAGGTGGAGACGGTTTTAGGAGGTGGAGGTCTGAGTCTTTACTGAAGGTTCCTGAAGCTGGACTCACGGCTTGTCCCCGGGGTCCTGGACCTCCATCGGCTCCTTCGGCTCCCTGATCCACAACAAAACAACAAACAGGGTCAGAAACGGTCCTGGACCAGGACTCAGGATCCTCCTCTTCTCCTTTCTGGACTCACCTGCTGTCCGGTTTTTCCAGGTGGTCCTGCATGACCTGAGTCCCCTCTGGATCCCTGTGGTCCTGGACTTCCTCTGACCCCTGTGGGTCCGGCTTCGCCCTACATCAGATCCAGAGACATGTCTCAGTTTGATCCAAGATCCAGAACTAAAGTGAGGTTCAGAGAGACCCCAGAGCTGCCCAGAGGGGGCGCCAAACTCCACCCCGTCAGAGGGGGGTCTGCTGGTTCATGAAAAAGGAGGTTTTTGTGGGTCTCACCTTCATTCCTGGACCTCCGGGGAAACCTGGTACTCCTGGGATTCCTATTGGACCCTGTGGAGGAGAAGACCTGGTTTTAAAGGGTCCATCTTTGACGTGGTTTCTAAGTCCCTCTAAGGTCTCGGCGTTTCCGAGAGGACTGGGCGATAAAACGATAACAAAGTTCTCTTTACCAGAGGTCCTGGTTTTCCCACGTGACCGTTGGCTCCACGTTTGCCCTGAAAGAGAAGACCCGGTTTCAGATCCTGGTTTGATTCTCCTCAGACAAACTAAAGGAGGTTCTGTTCTCTCACCACAGGACCGCTCGACCCGATCCGCCCTCTCTCTCCCTGCATCCCGGCTGGACCCTGAAAGAGATCAGCAGGTCAGTGAAAACCCCGCCCCCGAGCGCGTACCTGAAAGGTTTGAGTTCAACTGAAGGTTCTCCCACCTGAGGACCTGGAGCACCAGGACCACCTGGAGTCCCTGAAGTTCCCTGAAACACAGAGAGAGAGAGAGAGACTCTGTAGACCTGCATCAAAACTAAAGGAGGACTCATGTTGGTCTGTGGTTCCAGGTACCTTCAGTCCTGTAGCTCCAGACTCTCCTCTGGGTCCTGGAAGACCGGCGTGTCCCTGATGGAGACATTCAAGAGAAGAAGACAGTTGGTTCTCTGAACTCAAAGTCTGGTCTAAGTGTTGGAGAGTTTTGACCTTCTGGGTCTGACCTTATGTCCTTTCAGTCCTGGGTGACCTGGAAGTCCTGGAAACCCCCTTGAACCCTGGAAGAGAGATCCGAATAAAGTCTCAGTGAAGATGCTGGTCCTGATCTAAACGGGGTCCTCCTGCAGTAACAGCTGACAGCCTCTAGGTGTCAGTATTAACCCTTTCACTCCTGCAGTAACAGCTGACAGCCTCTAGGTGTCAGTATTAACCCTTTCCTGCCCTCCTCTGAACTTTCTCAGTTGAGTTTTTATCCTACTTGACTATGAATTTTTAATATTTTCTCCTTTGACTTTTTTTCATACTAAAATTTGAATTTTTTTAATACGATACTATGATTTTTTTTTAAACATACTATAACATGATTTTTTTTTCATACTAGAATTGGAAATTTTTTAATCATGCTTTACTGTGACATTTTCATCACTGACTGACATCACTGGCTGATTCAGTGAACGAATCTTTTGAACGAATCTTTTGAACGAATCGTTTGAACGAATCTTTTGAACGAATCGTTTTAATAAACCGATTCTAAAGATTCAGTCCAAAGATCGGTTCTTCCCATCACTAGTTTCCGTGAACCGGATCAGGTCCAGTTCTGTTTTCAAAGCTCGGATTACCGCAGATCCTGAGAATCCTGGTTCTCCTGTAGCTCCTGCGGGTCCAGGTTCTCCCTGAGCAGAAGAAGAAGAAGAAGATGACTGACCCGTTTATCGAACGGCTCCTTTTAATCAGACACGTCTCTGTTTCTGTCTTACATCAGATCCTGCTTTTCCAGGGGGGCCGTCAGGTCCTCGGTGACCCGGTTCACCCTGTGGAGAGGACAGAACAACAGTTAAAGGTCTGAGCAGAAACCGGACCTGGACCCAAACCCAAAGAGAAACTCTTCCCACCATCAGTCCTGGATCTCCAGCCTCTCCTGGGATTCCCTGACCTCCACTTGGACCCTGACCGGGGAGAAAAACCAGGTTTACTTTAGACTCATGTCCCTCCAACAAAGTCCCTAGATCTGACCCCTGAGAGCAGGACTTACAGGTGGTCCTGTTGACCCTGGAGGTCCTCTTGGTCCTGCTTCCCCCTGAAATCAAGAAAATTCAAACTCTGCAGCTGAAAACATCCAAACTTTCCAGGTTGTTTTTGTTTTACCAGCACCTACTCACCCGAGTCCCCTGGACCATGGAGGCCACCACGGACTTCTCGTTGAACCCTGAGGCCATCTGGGACAGGATGTTCCCCTGAGACAGGATCAGACAGGTCTTTAGATCAGCCCCCCTTACTTTCCCACCAAAGATGGTTTTTAGATTCAATGACTCACTCCAGGGGGGGCGGACTGGCCTGGAGGTCCGGGCTGTCCTGGGTTTCCCGGCACGCCGGGCTCTCCGTCAAATCCTGGAGGTCCTGGAAAACCCTGGAAGAGTGAGGAGACAAGCAGAGAGGTTTTATGTGCTGACCGTCGCCATGGTGACAAGGTTCAGGTTCAGGATCAGTGAGACGTACCCGTCTGCCTTTGAAGCCTCTGGGTCCAGGGTGTCCCTGAGCTCCTGGAGGACCCTGGGGGGTCAACATAGAGGGTCAAAAACTGTTAAACCTGTCACCTGTTCTCCACCTGGGGTCCGTTTTTAGATGTCGAGACGTGGAGGGATCTGAACTTCTTCAAATTCAATGAAAACCAAACAGAGGTCTTCCTGCTCGGTCCCCCTGACCCGGTTCAGGTCCTTGCCGGCTCACTGGCACCTTACATGTCAGGAATCCTGGTTCGATTATCGATGGGGATTTTAAACTTGACAAACAGGTCAGCGCAAAGGTCAAATCAATCTTTTTTCAGCTGAGGGTTCTCGCCAGAGTTCAACCGTATTTAGGCCAGAAGGACCTTGAAAATCTTGTTTCGATTATTGCAATTCTGCAAGTCAGAGCTCAACCGCCTGCAGCTCGTCTCCTAACTAGGACTAACCCCCAATCTCCACCTTCATCCTGATCGTCTCCTAAAAGGTCGTATCCTCCGATCGTAGCTGATCGTAACCATTCAAGTTAACGTGTCAATTTACACCGACTTCTTTCCGTTCCTCTGCGGATCACCGGAGCATGGCGGATAAATTCAGATTAACCCGTGCTGGAAAGGAAGTCGGGCACAGACACAAATCCTGGGTCGGAAACTGTAAACTCCGGTGCTTTCCTCTCTTCCCTGTTGGGTACAGGATGGATTTTAAGAGTCTTTTATTTGTTTTTAAGTCTCTGAATGGGTCGGCCTCAGAATATCTCTCTGACTTTGTTTAATTGCGTCAGCCCTCCAGAGCCCCGAGGTCAGCTGATCAGGTGGTTTTAGACGTTCCTCGATCCTTTCACCTTTAAAACCCTTCTGAAGACGCACCCGTTCACGTTAGCTCTGGGGAGATAGAGCTGCTCTTATCGGCTCTTTTACTGTGTTTATCGTTGTTTTATGTTTTGATTGTTTTGATCGTCTCGGGTTATTTGACCCTAAATCACTTTGGTAGACCACTGGCTGTTTTTAACGGGATATTTAAATAAAGCTGACATTGACATTGACATTGACAGGTCTCCCTGATCTGGACTCTGCTGCCCCCTAGTGTTGAAACCAGAACACAGACCTCTGCGTGTTGAATTCATGGTTCAGGATCCAGAGAGACACGGAGAACTCACCGCAGGTCCTGTAGGTCCAGGAAGTCCGACCACCTGAGAGAAGAAACAGACTCAGTCGGACCCTCCTCAGACCACATCAGACCAGAACTATAAAGAGGACCACAGTGGATCAGCGGGTCGGTACTTACGTAGGGGATGTCACCTGGTTCGCCTTTCTGTCCCTGAAACCAGAACCACAAGAATCAGAACCACATGACCCACTTTAACAGACCAGAGTTTAAGGTTTGATATGAACCAATCACAGCTCACCTTGAAGCCCATGATATCTGCGAGGAGACACAGAGGGACACGGTTAGAGTCGGCACACTAACGCGGCGGTCAGAGCTGGGAATGACGTCACATCCCAGTTTTCAGCGTCTCAGTTACAAAGTCGGAAGAAAGTTATTTTAGCGCTTACCTTATATTTGGACTGATAACTTTCGTAGATGTAGCCATCTTGTTTCCGCGTCTCAGTTACAAAGTCGGAATTTTCAGCTCGGACTTCTGACGTCTACAGGAAACTCAAACGCACCTGACCCCTGAGAGCAGGACTTACAGGTGGTCAGAATCATTTTAGCTGATTCAGCGGTTATGAAAAGTGGGCGGGGCTAGTGTGGAATCACTGCTTTGCTGTTTTGTCGTCATTTCAGCGTTTAAACCAGTTGTTGTGCTGCGTTGGAGTTACCTCAGAAGTCGGAGCTGAAAATGACGTAACAACCGAGTTGACAACGTTTCAGTTACGAAGTCGGAAAAAAGCAAAATCGGAGGCGGAGACAAGATGGCTACATCTAGGAAAGTTATTTTAGCGCTTGTCTTATAGTCGGTCAAAGTAAGCATTCCAGATGATTTTCCGACTTGGAGCTCAGAAATCGGGATTTCCAAGTATAACTGGAACAGCTCTCAGCGTGGTTCTGGTTCTGGTTCTGGTTCTGATGGTTTCACAGCTTCTCTTCTTATTTTTCAGACTTTTATTTCTAAAACTTCTTTACGTCATTTTTGATTTAAACTCTCTTTTCTGATTCGCAGTGAAGACGAGCCAATCAGTGATGAGCCTGAACACAGGTGGGAGTCTGTGACACACTAAAACAGCACCAGGACCGGGTTCTGGACCGGGCTGACTGAAGTCCTGGACCAGAACACAAACATACAATCACAGACGTAGAGCTCCTCTCACCGATCATCCTGCCGGCGCTGGCGAAGTTCTGGCAGACAGGGCAGCACTCGCCCTCAGGCGTGACGACCTTCTCACAGTTCGAGATCAGCTCACACTGGACCTCGTCACAGACGGCCACGCCGTTGTCGCAGACGCAGACCCGGCAGGGTTCTGGTTTCCAGATGTCGTTGTGTTTGTAGACCTGCTCGTCCACGGTGCAGCTCTCCGCCGGAGTCTCATCTGCAGCCGAGACTGAGGACAGACAGGAAGAGAGTTACCGCCAAATCCACCGCATTCAACACGGGTACAAATGTCTTTATCTGCCGATTGTAGCTGATCGTAACCATTCAAGTTAATATGTCAATTTACACCGCATCCAGAACATCCACCGCCAATCTCTACTTGATCCGTTTGTGAGGTCAATTTTGTGGCGGATTACGGACAGCGGTAATCATGAGAACTCACGAGAACCCTCAGATTCACGTTCAATCGCTCGATAACGAGTTGTCTCTCTAAAGACAGACACATAGACATATAAGCAGTAGATTGTGTCCTTCCAGAGGAGGAAATCTACTTCTAGACTTCTAGAATCAGCATCTCCTCATCCATGGAGTCATCGGGGTGAAATGACGTCTAAAAACCCCCAAATTTCCACCTTCATCCTGATCGTCTAAATCCGTGGGTTCTTGTGAGTTCTCGTGATTATCGCTGTCCGTAATCCACCACGAAATTTGCCTCACAAACGGATCCGGTAGGAATTGGCGGACAGAGAAAATCGCAGCCGTTCTGGACGTGGTGTAAATCCCAGGTCAGAGGACAGGTTAAAGGGGTGTTTACCGATGCTGCCTGTGGTCTGAGGCCTGGACGCCGACGCGGAGCCTGCAGTCAGGCACACGGGGCAGCACTCGCCCTCAGGAGTCAGAGTTTTCTCACAGTCGCCGACGTCCTCACACACCACGTCTTCACACACGGCCCTGCCGTCCTCGCACATACAGATCCGACACGGCTCCGGACTCCACATGTCCCCGTTGGCGTGGACTTTCCCGTTTTCTGTGCATGTACCTTTAAGAGACGAGACGGAGCGCGTTAACTCAGAAACAGGAAATACAGACAGACGAGGACGTCAAAGACAGACTCAGATCTACGCTCATGCCTGCAGATATCCACACACAGATTCAAGCTCCTCTATGGGTCATTCTGAGTGATTTCAGCGCCACAACCAGCAGGGGGCGCCAAAGTCACGCATGAAAAAAATCCCATATACAGGCTTTAACAGAGTCTGCAGATCGAAGGTTTCCCAGAGGAATACACGGAGATTTGGACGGTAAGATGTTTCCTCTGCGTCTGCCGAGAGGAGATCTTATCGGACAAAAGGTCGACGTATTCCTGATTCACAAACACGCCACAGTCCACGGGAAACTCCGACAAGGTCTTAGTGCTGAGACCCTGAAGAGGAGAGCTTCAGGAGACCAGACCAAGGCCCAGCAGTCCTCACTGAGACCCTCAGACGTAAACACAGACGGACGGACAGACGGACGGACAGCTGCAGAGAGGCTTTCAGGCTTTCAGGGTTCGAGTTTACCAGCGCCTGCAGACACGCACACGGGGCAGCACTCGCCCTCCGGGACCTCCGAGTCCTCACAGTCATTCAGGTCCTCACAGACCACGTCCTCACAAAACACCGTCCCCTTCTCACAGATACAGACTCGGCACGGATCAGGACTCCAGATCTCATCGTTGGAGCGGACCGTCCCGTCGTGGGAGCAGGAGTCTTCGTAAAGAGAACGAGAGCTCTGATGAGGAGGAGGAGGAGCAGGAGGAGGAGGAGGAGGAGGAGGAGGAGGAGCACAGGAGTTCACAGAAGATCAGAGCTCTCACTTCTTCTTGGAGGAGGAGCAGGAGAAACAGGTCTGACTGAAACGAGATCTCCTCTCGTCACAGAAGGAAAAGATTAATGATTGAAACACCTGAAAAAAACACGTCAATAGTCCGTGTCTTCAGAGGCGAATGGTAGGGGAAGGTCCCGCCTCCTTCGCCTCTGATTGGCTAGAAAACCTGGAAACGTCATCACACGCTTAAACCAAAAGTAATCCCAACCCTCAACTTCTAGCCAACCAGAGGCGAAGGAGGGCAGGACCTCCCCCTACCTGCGCCCCTGCTGGACAGTGTAGGTCATTGCATGACAGATCCACAAACTGAAACCCGTGACCGCCTCTTCTTCCTGCTTCAAAGTTCTCGGCTCGACTGGAGCGACGTCATGATCGAGTATCAAACATGAGTCACATGACCACTTAATTAATTAAACTGTTGTCTGGAACTTGACATAAATGTCAGTGTGCGCATCGAATCTCGGTAAAGTTAATGCTAACATTAGCTTGTCGGAAGTCAGAAATGTACGATTTAACCTGTAGGCTACTGGCATTGTAGGGAATGAAAGAGAAGAGCGATGACTAATAATGTCCATGAGATTACACGTGAAAATATACGATAAAAACACCGAAAATATCAGATTCATGAAAGAATGAAGAGTATAAAAGTGAGGCCGGTCCCTCTGATGTTAGGATAATATAAGTTCATATTTAGGTAGAATAAACACGAAATATTAGAGGTTGGCAGACAAAACATGTTTATTAAATTAAAACATGTTTATTAAATTAAAACATGTTTATTAAATTTAAACTTGTTTATTAAATTAAAACATGTTTATTAAATTAAAACTTGTTTATTAAATTAAAACATGTTTATTAAATTAAAACATGTTTATTAAATTAAAACTTGTTTATTAAATTTAAACTTGTTTATTAAATTAAAACATGTTTATTAAATTAAAACTTGTTTATTAAATTTAAACTTGTTTATTAAATTAAAACATGTTTATTAAATTAAAACTTGTTTATTAAATTTAAACTTGTTTATTGAATTAAAACTTGTTTATTAAATTAAAACATGTTTATTAAATTAAAACTTCTTTATTAAATTAAAACTTGTTTATTAAATTAAAACATGTTTATTAAATTAAAACTTCTTTATTAAATTAAAACTTGTTTATTAAATTAAAACTTGTTTATTAAATTAAAACATGTTTATTAAATTAAAACTTGTTTATTAAATTAAAACATGTTTATTAAATTAAAACATGTTTATTAAATTTAAACTTGTTTATTAAATTAAAACATGTTTATTAAATTAAAACATGTTTATTAAATTAAAACTTGTTTATTAAATTAAAACATGTTTATTAAATTAAAACTTGTTTATTAAATTAAAACATGTTTATTAAATTAAAACATGTTTATTAAATTAAAGCGGCGGTTTGACGACTTAAATGTTGTTTTCGGTCCTTTAAATACACGACATTAAAGAGACGAGCTGTTCAGACTGTGGATCTGTTCAGTTAACGAACTTTATTCTATTTAATCTACTTTAAAGTTCATATTTCCACATTTAGGACACAAAAACTACAAAACTGAGGAGTTCAGTCGTCAAACCAGAAAACTAATCTGAGGTTTACTTCAGATTTCTGCAGACAAACTATAATTATTTAAGTTTATGTGCAAGAACAGCTTTAAATGTGTGGAGTTTGCATGATTTAAAGACAGTAAGTGATGCAGAAAAACTTCAGAAAGTCCGCTCAGACTGTGGATCCAGTAAATTAACTAACTTTATTTTATTGAATCTACTTTAAAGTTCATATTTCTACATTTTTAAAGCAACTAATGAGAGAAATATCAACCTGGGGACCTTTGGAGGAAACAAAAACTACAAAACTGAGGAGCTCAGTCATAAAATCCAATCAAACTAATTTAACCTTTACTCTGTAATTCCTGCAGAAAGACTCGGGTTTCAGATTTCTGCAGACAAACTATAATTATTTAAGTTTATGAGCAAAAACAGCTTTAAAGATGTTAAATTTTCATGATTTAAAGACAAACTTCAGAGAGTCTGAACATAAATCATCAGAACCAGACTGTGGATCCAGTAAATTAACTAACTTTATTTTATTGAATCTACTTTAAAGTTCATATTTCTACATTTTTAAAGCAACTAATGAGAGAAATATCAACCTGGGGACCTTTGGAGGAAACAAAAACTACAAAACTGAGGAGCTCAGTCAACATCAAACTAATTTAACCTTTACTCTGTAATTCCTGCAGAAAGACTCGGGTTTCAGATTTCTGCAGACAAACTATAATTATTTAAGTTTATGAGCAAAAACAGCTTTAAAGATGTTAAATTTTCATGATTTAAAGACAAACTTCAGAGAGTCTGAACATAAATCATCAGATCCAGACGTGGATGAAATCAGAGGTTCTTTAGTGGCGCTCTCGTTACCTGTCTGAGACAGACGGTGGTTAAATGAGACGGTGATAAAGGTGTCTGTGCGGAGCGTGTTATCATCTGTAATCATCTCTGCAGCTCTCAACATGAAACTGAATTCTCCTCTTTTCTCACAGTTATCCAGACCTCTGGGATCATGATTATATACAAGAGAAAACAGAGAGAATAAGAGCTGAGTGATATTTAAACTCTCTGAATCAGTCAAACAAAGAAAGGATCGCCCCCTGCTGGCCGCTCAGAGCTGCATAGTTCAGTCTGAGCAGTTCAACGCCGCCGTCCTAAGTACTCATTATGTGGTGGAGCCTCTCCCCACGTCTCTAAAGCACTTTGAGTTATTTCAGGAGAAACCGCAGAGGCTGGATTATAGGTTTGGTTAGAGTCAGAGTCGTGGTTTCACTTTATTTAGGAGCGCTGAGAGGGGCCACACCCGGGGCCGACCGACCGACCGACCGACCGACCGACCCCCCTCCATCTAAAAAACCTGCAGGAGGAAAAGTCCAGAACATCTGTGAGCTTCACTGCAAAAAAGGGGGTCTAAAAACAAGATTAAAACAAGATAAAAACACTAAAAACAAGATAAAAACACTAAATCTGAGGGAACAGGGAATAAAAACAAGATAAATGATCTGTCCATGCAGCAAAATCATTTCACTAAACAAGATTTCTTGAATGAAGATTGTTCAGTCTAGAAATAATCATGTCTACAAATGTATTTGGAAGATTAAAGTCAGACAAACATGCTGGTTTAAGATCAGATTACTTTAAATTTAATTATACACTTATATAAAATAAGTGAAATCTACTGAAATTTAGCGTAAAATTAAGTATAAATGCTGATTCTAAGATCAGATTACTTGAAGTTTATCTTCTACAGCCCTGAAATAAGTGAAAGGTAAGGAGAAAATGCTGCTCAGTCTGCTGATGGAGGTTTGACAGTCCACCTCTGCACAGGTCTGCAGGTTAAAGAAAACTTCACACGTTTAAAGCAGTGAGGTTTAGAGTCGTCTTCAGGACTAGTTGTGGTTTTGGAAAATCCTCCTACACTCAGGTTTATTATGAAGATCCTTCAGACCACAGCAGCTTCTTCTTCTCCTCATCGTCTCAAACAGGAAACCTGTTCTGCAGCCAGCTCACACAAACAGCTCTCTCACAGTCTAAACAGATGCTGGAGGACTAAATATAGAGAGGGTTAAAGTCCAGGACTGAACACCTGCACCCTCCAATCTCCACCTTTAACTCACACCTTCATGACACCCATCATGTCTGAGACGACACCAAAAACATCACTGAGGATTTATCCCAAAATACTGGAGTAGAGGTGATCATATTTGGATCAGCTGATGATGGTTTCCTGTCCTCTCTCTGTCTTATTTTCTCCTCAGACAGACTCTGAAGGAACCAAAGCAGTCTACATCCATCAGCAGAAAAGCAGGAGGAGAATCTGCTCCTCAGGTGAGAGTCTCTCCTCTGTCACATCAGTGTTCAGGTGTGTCTGCAGCACACCTGAGAAACAGGTCCAACCTTCAGTCACAAACTGTAAATGATCCAGTTTTTACCAAGAAAACAAACAAACGTAGATCCAGAAGTGTCGGATCATTTCTCCGGTTTTCAGACTGAATTTCTTCTCTGAAGTCTTTCACTTTAATCTTCTATCAAACAACCTTTTAATATTTCTCTTATTGTAAATGTTCATTTTAATCAAAGTTCTTCATGTTGATTTGAAGTCATTTTATTAATTATCTCTGTTCTTTGTCTTTTTTTAACTCCCCTCAGGTTTTTACTTCTTTTACCCCTTTTATATGGTAGAGAGCGCTTACTTACTTTTTTGTTTTACATTATTTTCTTGTTTTTAGTCCATCAGGTTTTAGTCTTTCTTTTCACCATTATTTATTTAATAATTTATTTATTTTTTATTTTTATCTCCAGTGTTTCCAAAAGGTAGCTCTGAGTTATCTCATCTTCAAACCAGAATTTTAGACTTATTTTATACTTTTATTTAGTTTATTTCACTGATTTTAAGGCTGGAAAAGTTACATTTGAATCATCTGATCTTAAACCAGCATGTTTGTCTGACTTTAATCTTCCAAATACATTTGTAGACATGATTATTTCTAGACTGAACAATCTTCATTTAAGAAATCTTGTTTAGTGAAATGATCTTGCTGCATGGACAGATCATTTATCTTGTTTTTAGACCCTCCTTTTTTGCAGTGTAATGATGCTGACCCTTCTCTCCAGTTCCTTACAGGATCCTCACCATGAGGCTCAGAGTGGAGAGTCTCTCTCTGCTCTTGAACCTCCTTTTTCTCCGTCGCTCAGCTTTGTTACCTCCTGAAGAAAGTCCAAACTGGACCTTTCTGCACTGAGAGATCAGCAGAGAGAGACTCAGACTTCAGCTTCAGTGGAGGTGAACTTGGATGGAATAACTGAGACGTTTCTCCAGCATCGTTCTCTCTGGGTGTGTCTTAACTCTTTTTTTTTCTGCCTCTGACCAAAATTAGTGGCCTTCTTTTGTCCGTCCTGTTCCTCTCACGGCCACATCATTATAGCCGTGGCGCTCGCAAACCCGTCATTCAGCCTCCACCTCGCACTGAAATAGCTCTGCTGACCTCGACGCACGCATCAGTCTGAGCGGCAGGAGAGGGAGATATCAAACACTAAACTTCAGAGAAATCAGAGGGCTGACGGCACTTTCTCCACCTCTGATTAATTCCTGAAAAGATTCCTGATAAATCACTGCGCTGCACAAAAGGAGAGTTTAAAAACAAGATAAAAAGACTAAATCTGAGGGAAGAGGGACTAAAAACAAGATAAATGATCTGTCCATGCAGCAAGATCATTTCACTAAACCAGATTTCTTGAATGAAGATTGTTCAGTCTAGAAATAATCATGTCTACAAATGTATTTGGAAGATTAAAGTCAGACAAACATGCTGGTTTAAGATCAGATGATTAAAATGTCACTTTTCCAGCCCTAAAATCAGTGAAATCGACTAAATCTAATCAATGACATATTTATTTTTCTTCCTTTGATCAAATGAAGCTGAAGATTAGTTCAACCAAAAATAGAAATGTAGAGAAAAAATACCCAGTATTAGTGAAGAATGACTAAACTCTGTCTCAATCCAAGCAGGCTGATCTTGAAACAAGGCTTACTGAATCTGAAAACAAGATTCCTTTGGATGAGACTAGAACTGATTTGAACAGTTATTTTTCTCATGTGAAGATTTCCTGACTATTGGAGACAAACAGAAGAGAAGGTTGTTGGAGAGAAGATTACAGTGGAAACTTAAAGACTCTGAAAACAGGAGAAATTCTCCAACACTTCTGGATCTACGGTTGTTTTCTTGGTAAGAACTGAATCATTTTTTAGTGTGTCGTCACAGAGAGGAGAAAGGAGTCCCATCAGGGCGTAATAAGCTCTTTCGGTCACGGTTGTGGGTGTGATTTTAACCTTCAGCTCCCAAACCACAGAGTCGGTGTGGTCCAGCTGCTCCACCACTTCTGCTTCGACTAAATCAGGACAAAGGAAATCTGAAAAAAAACTTCCAAAACCACTTTTCTAAACCTGGAAAAGAGAATCATGTGAACTGAAAAACAAACAGAAATGTAAAAAGGCATAAAAATGTCATTAAAAACTCTGAGGGAGATGAGTTAGCAGGAGTTAAAAATCATTAAAACACACAAATCTGAAGAGTTATTCAGAGACATAAAGGTGTGTGGAAGCTGAACAGGTGATCGAACAAGAACCGACTTTTTCAGGATCAGTTTTCTGCACCAACATTTTCTGGAAACACAGACTCTGGCACTCACCATTCTTACTATCTTCTTGGCACGTCACGAAGATCACCTGAGCCAAGGTGAGGAGCAGGCAGACGGTAATCCTAGAGCGAGACGAGGGGCCCATATCTGCATGCCAGACATGCAGGGTCCTCAAACAGAGACAGTGAAGAGAGAGACGAACCCTGAAGCTACAGCATCCAGAGAGGAAAATCCAAATATCCCTGAGAGGAGCAGACTCCTGGTCCAGAGATCACTGCAGACTGAGACAAGAAGATCCTGAGCGGCACTCCTCCTCCTCCTCCTCCTCCTCCATCATCTTTTTTTCTCTCTTTCAAAGTTCCTCCTCCTGGGCTCCTGCTCAGAGAGATGAAGATAATTAGAGGCTGAATGACATGAATCCAACCAAAGAGAGATGATGATGATCATTCAGCATTTACAGTTTGAAGACAACCTCATACACCGAGGAGCTGCAAAAACGACTTTAATTAACTTCTGTGTTCATAAACAGTCACTAATGAGTCTCACGCTGCAAAAAAGGGGGGTCTAAAAACAAGATAAAAACACTAAATCTGAGGGAACAGGGAATAAAAACAAGATAAATTATCTGTCCATGCAGCAAGATCATTTCACTAAACAAGATTTCTTGAATGAAGATGGTTTAGTCTAGAAATAAGGACGTCTACAAATGTATTTGGAAGGATTGAAGTAAGTTTTTAAGATCAGATTACTTAAATTACAGCCCTAAAATAAGTGAAATATGCTAAATCTAAATATAAAATAAATATAAAATGCTGTTTTTAAAATCCGATTACTTAAAATTTAACTTTTACAGCCCTAAAATAAGTTAAATATACTTAATATGGGCATAAATTGTATGAAATGCTGTTTTTTTAGGCTGAGAGTACTTGAATTTTAAAGTGTAGCACAAAAAATCATTTACTTAATATAAGCCTCATGCTTTTATTCAGTTTTTTAATAAAGTTAGAGTTAGTTAAATGACTCTGTTATTATCCTTTTATTTAAAACTTCACCAATCCATGTTTTTAGTTATTAATAATCTGAGCTATTTATAGAAAACTCTGGATTTAGCTCTTCATTTTACGTTAGCATGTTAGCGGCTAACTACCATGTTAAACGAAAATTAGCGTGTTAGCGGCTAATTAGCACGCTAGCGGCACGTAAGCGGCATATTAGCAAGTAATAAGCAGCACGTTCACCTTTAAACACACTTCAATAACTTTAATAACATCTGAACATTTTACTTAACTCTTTACCAACAGAAACAGGAGGACTTGGACGTGATGTGGGTCAGCGAAAATCTCGCGAAAACAACGTTAGCCCGACAGCTAACTGCTAACTAAGCTAGTCTTCTTGGACATCCAGAACTTCGTATTAGTGCTCCATTCACTTCACTTCCTGAGGAGGATTAAATCCGTTTTTGAGGGTTTATTATCTAAATTTAAGCTGAATATATTTATATGAGCTCTTAGAAGCTCTGAGGTATAAGTTTAATAATATTTATAATAGTATAAAATGCTGATTTGAAGATCAGATTAAAATTAACTTTTTAAGCCCCAAACATAAGTTAAAAGTATAAAATAAATATAAAATGCTGGTTTTTAAGATCAGGTCACTTGAAATTTAACTTTTACAGCCTCAAAATAAGTGATTTATACTAAATATAAGCATAAAATAAGTATAACGTGCTAGATTTTGGATCAGATTACTTGAAATTTCACCTTTACAGCCCTAAAATAAGTGAAATATACTAAATATAAGTATAAAATAAGTATAAAATGCTGATTTTATGACCAGATTACTTGAACTTGAACTTTTAATAGTGATAGTGATCATATTCCTGTACCTGTGTTTTGCTTCTGTTTACCTTCAATTCAGCATGTTGACCTACATCCCTGTTCTCCCTCCAGGCTGAGCGGTTTACAATGTGCATGTTACAAATTGACCTGATGTGATTTCCAGGACCGGGCTCTCTCTGCCAAGTCCTCGCAGACTCTCCATCAGTCCGTCCCAGAGGTGGAGAACCAAACATAATATATCAAAATGTCCTCATGTCCTCTGTGCAGGATACTCAACAAGCAGGTTCATCTTAATTCAGGGATCAAAACCTTCCTGCGGTCACGTTTCTGTCCGTGCACCAGGAGGATTTCATGTTTTGACTTGTTTGGGTCCGGATGTGTTTGTCAGGTGTGAGGGAAACAGACTGATTTCACATCAGAGGGTCCGGACGGGACCCCAGGGGTCCGAGAGTGAAGCAGAGGAAGACTCTGGGAGTTTGACATGGACTCTCTCTGCAGGGTGAGGAAAAGTATGTCCTGATCCAAACCCACAAGGAATAGCGGACTCATGTCCTCTCTCTCTCTCTCTCTGGGGCGTCTCATTTTGGGTTATTTTAGAGGATTGTAGGCTGTTATTTAGAGAACTGTGCCTTCTGTAAGAACTGGGTACTTAAAGACAGACTGAAGACGCGGGTTTTCCTGCCAGCTCTTCAAACCCTCTCTAACCTCGTGGCAGGAATAAAAGTTCTGAAATCATCTTTAAAACAGGAACCAAAGTCAGGATCAGAACAGAAACTGAGAACATGACCCCCATTTATTATTAAGACCAGGGTCTACCTGTGAGACCCACTTTGGCCCTCACATATTTGACCCAGTTTCACCGTGTCAGCAGTAGTCGAGCTGTGTAAAATAAAATCAGGGTGGATTTTATTGTTTGGGACGGATATTTTCTTCTGATGACAGTGAACATGATGGGAAACCAACTGTGTTCCCATTTTACTGTTACTAAAGCACAAAGATAATTATATTATATTATATTATATTATATTATATTATCTCTTGGATCGAGCTGTCCATGTCGCTTGGCCATGATACTGAAATCTCAACAGCGTCACCAGCGCTGCTTCACCACTTACTGATGTTTTTTTTTTTTAAAGGGAAAAAAGTGTTTTTTTCACACGTGCCTCCTTACCCAGAGTATTTTAATAAATATGCACAAAGCTCCCTGTCACTGGGTTCTCACTCAAACAATCAAAATATGGTGGAAAACACAGTGATGGTGATATTTATTTACAGCCGGCCTTCCAAGGTGCAGAGCAAAAATATTTACAAAAGTCCAGAGAAATGGTCAAAAACTATTTATTTAAAAGAAAATACCAACAAGGCAAGAGTTCCACTATAACTGAAGATTCTCACTAAAGAGGAAAAAAACAAACAAACAAACAAAGAAACAAACAAACAGAAACACAGCAGCAACATACAGAAGTCCGTTTGTCAGTTACCTCCCATAAAACAAACTCCAGACTTACAGTGAGGCCCAGATAACCGTCTTTTAACTCCTCTAGCCCCTCCCAGTGGGCGTTAATAATTAAATAAGTTTGGAAAAAAAACTCATTTATTCACATTTAAACAATTTTTTACTTTTTTTCTGCAGGTTTTTACTCAAATCAGTGGAACATTAATTTTTTAGGGATTCATAGAAAACAACAAGGGAATTAATATTTCTTGCATCATGTGACCACTTTGACCCTCCATACCCACCTGTTTTACACCACAGAAATCCTGCGCTCTGTTTCCTCATTGCTGCCTGGAAAAATTCAAGGACCTTTTTTTAAGACCTGGAGGTCAAGATTACAGGGTGACGTCCAGAGAAGAACCTCGGCCGCTCTCATGTGGGTTTGAACCCTTCAGATATTTCTGGATGTAAAGACCGAGATCAGCTGATCACAGAGTCTGGACACAGAACCACAGACCCACGTGGAGAGGTTCTGTCCTTCGTGAGTCAAACTTGAGTCAGCGGTTCGAGGCTCCTCCTCCTCCTCCTGTCATTTCCACCTCAGTCGTCACGTGACCTCTCAGGTGAACACACACACCTTGTTCCAGATTGTGTTACAGATTCCTGCATTATTGAACGCCTCACGGGTCTAAAAGGACAGAACTAGCTCCTCCATTCAGCAGAGTTTGGACCAGAGTTCGGACCTGCTCGGACATGTTCGCATCAGCCACCAAGAACTTTGTGAAGCAGGTGGGAGACACGGGGCGGCTGATCCCGGTCCCCAGCCTGAGCGAGGCCGACCGGTACCAGCCGCTCAGTCTGGTCACCAGGAAGAGGAAGAGACATTTCTGGAAGAAGAACAAGTTCGCCTCCACGCCGTTCTCTCTGAAGGACATCCTGGTGGGAGAGAAGGAGATCACGGCAGGTAGATGTCAGGAGGAAGTGTGTCCAGATAAGGTTTGAGGATGTGAGGATGGAGTTTTAGTTAAAGTCAGGTCAAAGTTCAACACTCATCTGTTTTTGTTTTTTAATCAACTTCATGTTTCATGTCAGCAGGTCGATTTTCATGTTGTTATTTTTTACCTCCACCATGTTCGGCGTCTTTAAAGCTTCAGTCAGGAACTTTTATCTTGTTTTCCCTCCATCAGGAGTTTCATCCTATCAGCTCCTGAACTACGAGGACAAATCAGACGTCTCCTTAAACGGCCGCTTAGGAAACCATCTGATCAACGACGTGGGCTTCAACATCAGCGGCTCCGACTCGGTGGCGGTAAAAGCCTCGTTCGGCATCGTGACCAAACACGAGCTGGAGGTTCCCACGTTACTGCGAGAGCTGAACTCCAGGTGAGGAAGTCTTCATTCCTCTGCGAGGATTTTGACCCCTGAAAGCAGCAGTCTGTGTCTGCAGAGCCGATGAAATCACTCCAGGAAGTGATTCGGTTCAGTACGTTCACTTCAAAGATTCGGTTCTTTTGAACGAATCGTTCGCGAACGACACAACAGTAGTCTGCATCTCAGAGGAACAGCAGCTATCAGCTGACCTCTCTGCAGAAATATGAGGAGCGGGGTTTCCCTCTGAGCGTGAATAAATGATCATGTCATTTAAAGATCTGTGGAGGTTCTGGAGGTTCTGGACCTGTTCTCACCTCCTGTTTTTCAGGAAGGTGGACCTGGATCACTGCCTGGTCCGACAGTCCAGAGAGAGCGGACGCAGCGTCCTCTGCGTGGTCGTGGAGAGCATCAGAACGACACGCCAGTGCTCTCTGACCGTCCACGCCGGGATGAGAGGGACGACCATGAGGGTAAACGCCGTCCACACTTACAGATGTTCCTCTGAGTCTGGACCACTTTGAGGATCTTCTGTTTCTGCAGTTTCAGATCGACGACGGCAGGAACCCCAAAGGTCGAGACAAGGCCATCGTCATCCCGGCTCACACCACCATCGCCTTCAGCGTCTGCGAGCTCTTCGTCCGATTGGACGGACGTCTGGGTGAGAAACAAACACGCTCTGAGAGGTTAGGGTCAAAGGGTCGTGTTCTTCTGTGAGGAGCAGCAGGACCAGAACCTGACAGAACCTCTTCTATGGAAGTCCATCTGTGCCATCTGATTTTGAATTTCTAAAGCTGAATTTTTTTTGCATCAAAATCAGACTTAGAACTTCAAAACTATTGAATTTCAAGCATGCATTTTTATTATTATGTAATTTTTTAAATGTATTTTATTATTTTATCATTTTTTATTTTATTAAATATTATTTATTTTATTAAATATTATTTATTTTATTAAATATTATTTATTTTATTATTATATTATATTATTTATATTCCTTACACGTATTTTATTATTTATTTAATCATTTTTATTATATTAAATATTTATTTTTTATTATATTATTTCTTTTTATTTATTCATCATTTTTTATTTATTTCTTTATTTTATTTATCTTTTTTATTTCATATTTTATTTCTTACACTTATTTTTTCACAATGATGAAATAAATTCAGTGTCAAAAAATTGGTCACTCAAAATATTTGTGTAGTAAAAATTCAACTTAAAAGACTGTGTAAAAAAAATTTCTACATAAAAAAATTTCAGTGTCAAAAAAATGTGTGTAAAACAGACTGACTCAACGTCCAGGTAATCAGGGAGAAGCAATCGATTTCTGGCTCACTCCCTGGATCAGATGGCACAGATTTACTTCCATAGGTTGAGTCGGTCTGTTTTACACTACAATTTTTGACATTATATTGTTTTTGAAGTTGAATTTTATTACACAGTTTTCTTAAGTCAAATTTTTATTACACAAATACTTGGAAAGACCGTTTTTGTTTTTTTTTTACACTGAATTTATTTCATCAATGTTAAAAAAATAAGTGTCAGAAATAAAAATGAAATAAGAATGATAAAATAAAATAAAATAATAAATAAATAGTAAATAAAATAATAAAATACATAAATAAAATTTTAATATAATAAAAAAATATATAATAAAAAATAAAATAAAAATAAAAATGCGTGCTTGAAATTTGATGGTTTTGAAATTCAAAGTCTTATTTTAATGCAAAAAAAAAAATCCAGCTTGAGAAATTCAAATTCAAAACCAGATGGCACAGATTGACCCCCATATTATTTTGTTTATTGAAATCCACTGTTAGGTTTTACAGTGCACAAAGAGAAAAATAACCTGAATTATTCAGAGAGGTGGAAGCTGAGATGTCCCACCACACCTGAACGTCTCATATCATCATCCCAGAAAAATCACACATCGGTGCTTTAAAAACTCTGACACTGACAAAAACATGAAACCCGAGCAGGCTCTGCTTCGAAATACATCAGATAAAAACCTTTAAAACCACTTAAAATCTCCTAAAAGATCCAGAAGCAGGACTTAAGGCAGCTGTATCAGTCAGAGTTAAAGGGGTAGTTCAGATTTTTTTAAGGTAAAGTGGTAAAAATATCCAAAATATTGACAAAAATTAACTTTTTTAGTGTGAGCAGCTCCATGTCTGAGACTGGATGTTTTAAAGATAAAAGTATTTTGTTTAAATGTCTCAAACTTGAATGTCTGACCTTTAGATGAGGGTCTCTGATTTTCTTCTTCTTCTGTTTCAGATCTTTGCGTCGCTCCAGACTCTCAGGGAGGGTTCGAGCGCGAGCAGATCAGGGAGCAGCTCGGCGGCTTCGTCAGTCACTTCTCCATGGGCCGACTCCGGCGCTTTCTGTCCGGGATCGTTTACGGAAACCCTTTCAGAGCAGGTACCGCCGTGACCTCTGACCTCTACGGCATCACAAACACTCCACACTGCAAAAAAGGGGCGTCTAAAAACAAGATTAAAAACACTAAAAACAAGATAAAAACACTAAAAACAAGATAACAACACTAAATCTGAGGGAAAAGGGACTAAAAATAAGATAAATTATAAATAAAAATTATATAATTAATAAGTGAAATATACTAAATATAAGCATAAAATGAGTATAAAATGCTGGTTTTAAGTTCAGATGACTTGAATTTTAACTTTTACAGCTCTAAAATCAGTGAAATCTACTAAAATAAGTATAAGGTAAGGAGAAAGTGCAGGTTTGAAGATGAGATCACTCAAAAGTCACTTTTTTACAGTCTCAAAATAAGTGAGATAATCGTTTGCCTGATGTCTTCAGTGACCTTCTTTATTCGACTTTATCTCCAGATAACCGGACGTTCGAGGAGCTCACGCACTCCGACACCTTCATGGACGACATGGTCACCGACTACTACGAGAAAGCGGCGAGCATGACGGACGTTTCCACCGCCTACCTGAGAGAGAGCTCGCACACACGGGTCAACCTCCTCAAACACAACATCCCCAAAGGGCCGTGCGCGCTCTGCGGCATGGGCAACCAGAAACGGGAAACGGTGTACGGCTGTTTGGAGTGTTCGGCCGGAGGTCAGAAATACGTCCGTCTGCACGTGGTGCCCTGCTTTGACCTCTGGCACAAAACGCTGAGGTGAAGAAGAAAAGATGAAAACTTTACAAACGTCTCTGCTGGAGGTTTTTATTTCAACGTTCACAGAATGAAAGTCCGGACAGCTGGACGTGGACTGGACAGTTTTTTATTTTTACTGCACTGCAAATGATTTGGTTCATACCTGGGTGTTTTCTCTCTGAATTTCTGTTTGTAATTCTATATTTTATTGATTAGATTTAGTAGATTTCACTTATTTTAGGGCCGTTAAAGTTACATTTTAATAATCTGATTTTAAACCAGCATGTTTGTCTGACTTTCATCTTCCAAATACATTTGTAGACATGATTATTTCTAGACTGAACAATCTTCATTCAAGAAATCTGGTTCAGTGAAATGATCTTGCTGCATGGACAGATCATTTATCTTGTTTTTAGTCTCTTTTCTCTCAGATTTGGTGTTTTTATCTTGATTTTAGTGTTTTTATCTTGTTTTTAGTCCCCCCCTCTTTTGCAGAGTGTACAGTACCTCAAACTGTGACTCCAGCGACTCCGATAAAAGACAGAAACGTAACATATGATCAGGTGATCATGGGTTCACCTGTGGCTCTAACCCTTAGCTTTTCTCACAGGTGTGCCGTGTTTGAACTGTAACTGTCGGGTTTGAATTATTCAGCAGAGGTATCAGGTGAGAACTGACAGGTGGGATCATGTGGAGGCTGACAGCTCAGGTCTGTTTGTTCAGTGTGTCGTTAATTTGAGCTGAAATTCTCTTTTTAATGTGTTCAAAGTGTGAAAACTTGATATCAGACTCTCTCTCCCTGCTTTGGTTTCACTCTAAACTGACTGATTCTGAGTTTGGACATCTGTATTTAATTCATATTTAAAACATATTCTGTCAAATAGCACCCCCCCTTCACACACAAGGTCAAAAGAGGCTATTACAGGCAACGGCCCAATAAATGTCTTTAACATTCGTCGATTGTTTTAATTTCACTGTAACTGTCTGAATATTTTTCTGTGCAGGAGATAACCGGCGAGTACAAAGTTTAATAATTTTCCATGTATTCAGTACAAAAGATCATTGTTTGTGGGTAAAAAAAATAGTATTCTGGGTTAAAATCAAACAGTTTTTACGTACATACACTAGTGTATGTACAGTATGTGTATGTATATATATAATTATATGTGTGTGTGTGTGTATATGTATATGTATATATATATATATATATATATATATACATATTTATATATTTTTTTATGTATATATGTATAAATTTCACTATTTATATAATTATGTAAACAGAACGTTGTCTTGTTACCATAATTATTTGTGTTTGTTTGTGTTGTGTATTTCTTTTCCCTTTATTTTGATTAAACCTTAATTTGTATTCTCATTGTCATAACTACTGTATGATGAATCTAATTTAATTATCATTATATTTATTTATTTTATCTGTATCTTTTCCAGCACTTATGTTTGTATAAAAATTGAGCAAAACTATTTTCTGTTTTTGCACTTTTTAATCAAAGTAAAAAATATTTAAAAAAAACATACAGTTTTAAAATTAATGCTTCATTCTATCTACATTTGAATTATTTTTTTAAACGCGAACAACACTGAAAGTCGCCTGTAAATCCCCCTTATCCCGGGAATAAAACTTTTTAAAACGTTTTTAATCGGTACATATTAAAATCAGACCTGGTCTCGGACTTTTATTCTTTTCAATTTGAGCCTCAAAAACTGTTTTTATGCTGTATTAATACTTTTAACTGTATTCCCTCCCTGCCTTTAGAGGGCGCAGCTCTTTAACTTTGACCAAACTGAAGCCGGAAATTAAGAAGAAGAAGAAGAAGCCGGAAGTCTCACTTGTCAACATCATGCATACACGTGTGGAGTGTAAGCTGTGTTGGAGAAGCATGTGAAATATCTGTTTTAAATCTAAACTCTTGTGGATGTTTTAAGGTTAATAAAGAAGATTCACGCCCGAGGTTTGAGGAAAACTCACGAAAATGAAGTTTGCTTACAGGGTGAGTGAGCCGCTGCTTACGGAGGAGAGCTAACAGACCAAACTCCATTCAAAAATAAGTCAATTTAAGACGTTATTTCGAACGGTACAGAAAAACAACACGCCGCTCGTATCAGATTATTCGACCTGAGTGAATTAAATTATCAGCTTTTCTTTAATTGTGTTTTTTTTTTAATTTAAGTTCCTGACATTACTCCAGTATAAAATCACGGATCTGACATTTAAAGAGTCTTCAATATGAAAAAAATTATCTAAACTCATTAATTCCTGCTGAAACTCTTTTAACTTCTATCCTTTTTAAGAACGTTTGTCACTGTTGTAGTTTTAACTTTAAAAAAGTCGTTATCTGTTGTTGCACTTAAAATTCGAAGTGCACTGATCACAATTTTCTGACCGATCACTGATCTTCAAGAAGCTCCACCTGCCGATACCGATTTTGGCCGATAACAGTTCTATTTTTATAACTGATAACAAACACCTTTGACACTCCAATCTTATTTTAATGAAAAACAGTGAAGAATAAGTGTCAAACAATAAAAACCTTTTTGTGTTTGTTTTAACTGCACGTGAGGTAGTTCTCTCAAATATTAATAAAAAGTTTCTGAATATTTCTGTCCAAACCACTAAATTAGCTTTCTAAATTTGAGCTTTCTTTGTAGTGGGTTCAACATCCTTAAATGATCATGCTCCGGATGACTGTTGTGCGTGTAGCTGGCGTTGAGCTGTCATTCTAGTTAAAACAAAAAGCTTCAACAGCTGACTGTCAGACCTTTGCTGAGGTCGATCAGATCGGTGGATAAAATCGGTTTCATATGTAAGAATCAGCTGATCGCGATTCCCCAGAATTGAGGTTATTGATTTATCAGTGTTTAGTTTAAATACTTGAAAAAGTCTTTCTGTTTTTGTTTAAACTCTTTAAAAAAGTCTCTCTCTGTTGTAGTTTAAACTCTTTTTAAAAGTCTCTCTTTGTTGTTTTTGTAGTTTAAACTCTTTTAAAAAGTCTTTCTGTTTTTGTTTAAACTCTTTAAAAAAGTCTCTCTCTGTTGTAGTTTAAACTCTTTTTAAAAGTCTCTCTTTGTTGTTTTTGTAGTTTAAACTCTTTTAAAAAGTCTTTCTGTTTTTGTTTAAACTCTTTAAAAAAGTCTCTCTCTGTTGTACTTTAAACTCTTTTAAAAAGTCTTTCTTTGTTGTTTTTGTAGTTTAAACTCTTTTTAAAAGTCTTTCTTTGTTGTTGTAGTTTTCCAACCTCCTTGGCGCCGTCTACCGTCAGGGGAATCTGAACTTCTCCAGAGACGGTAACGCTGTGATCAGTCCGGTGGGAAACAGAGTCTCGGTCTTTGATCTGAAGAAGTAGGTCCTTATAAAAATATTAATATTGAAAGTGAAAGTTTTCTCTTTGTTTTAATGTTTCATTTATTTTCTGTCCTTCAGTAACACGTCCGAGACTTTACCGCTCTCAATGACCAAAAACATCACATGTGTGGGTCTCTCTCCTGACGGAAACTTGGCGGTGATCGTGGATGAAGGTGGGATGGTCGTCTGCTCTTTACACTGATTTATTTCTAACGAATATCAGAGTTTGTTAAAGTAAAACTACAGACTCTAAGTGTGTGTTTGTGTGTTTGTGTGTTTGACAGATGGAGCAGCTTTGTTGGTCAGTCTCATCACCAGAGCTGTCCTTCATCATTTCAACTTTCACAAGCCGGTCAGCTGCATCCGCTTCTCACCTGACGGCAGGTAACCACGTCAGAGGAGTGTCTCCCCGTACGCCTCGGGGTCAGATAAGAGTTTGGACTCTGTGAAAACAACAGTCCTGATCTTTGCTTTCCCGTCCCTCTCAGGAAGTTCGTGGTGACCAAGGAGAACGTCGCTCTGATGTACCACGCTCCCGGAAAGCAGCGTCAGTTCAACGCCTTCGTGTTGGACAAGAGTTACTACGGCCCGTACGACGAAACCACCTGCATCGACTGGACGGACGACTCCAAGTGAGCATGGAACCTCTGCTTTCTTTCCCACCAAACCCCATGGAAAAATCTGTCTGTTTAGTCTGTTATTTTCTGATTCTTATCCGTCATTCATACGTCAGTGTGGCTGAAGTTTGATGTTTGTGACCTCAGGTGTTTCGTGGTGGGCAGCAAAGACATGTCCACGTGGGTGTTTGGAGCCGAGCGCTGGACCAACCTCATCTACTACTCTCTGGGAGGACACAAGGACGTGATGGTGGGCTGTTTCTTTGAGAAGGACAGTCTGGATGTGAGTTTATTCTTCGATTCTTTCACTCTGTCAAAGTCTGACACCGTCCACCACGACAGAGACTCTCTCTCCTGATTTCAGCTCTACACCGTCAGTCAGGACGGGACGCTGTGTGTCTGGGAGAGCGACACCGAGCTGGACGGTCTCGTCCTGGCGAGGAAGAGCCGAGCCGTAACGCCGAGGCCGGGGGAGGAAGAGGAGGAGGAGGAGAGGGAGGAAGGACAGGAGGGCGAGGTGATCAGAGGGAAAGCAGAAGCTCCCAAAGAGAAGACGACAAAAAACGTTCGATTCAAGCAGAGGAGCAAGTGAGTGAGGAGAGGAACTGAGAGGAACTTTAGGTTGGCTGTGGACGTGACGGGGTTTCAGAGGTCTGCAGGTCAGAAGATCGTCATGTCGGAGGAGTTTAGATTCAGAGTCTGGTAAAAGTTCTTCTTCTTCTTCTGCTCTTTTAGACACTTTTTCAACAAGGAGGGGGATTTCAACAACCTCACTGCTGCCGCCTACCACAAGCCCACCCACATCCTGGTCACAGGATTCGCCTCAGGGGTCTTCCACCTTCACGAGCTCCCCGAGTTTAACCTGATCCACTCGCTCAGGTGAGAGACACACAGGTTCTTCTTCTTCTTCTGCTGGACCTGGTCTTCTCTGGAGACGTAGACTCTGGTTTTGAGACTCTCTGGGTGTTTCTGTCTGCAGTATCTCAGACCAGAGGATCTCCTCGGTGTCCATCAACGCCTCCGGAGACTGGATCGGCTTCGGCTGCTCAGGTGAGACTGCCGCCGCCGCCGCCCCGTCCTCGACCTCGTTGGTCTCCTGGTCTCGGTGGGTTTTGATGGTTCTGTCTTCTCAGGGATGGGTCAGCTGCTGGTCTGGGAGTGGCAGAGCGAGTCCTACGTCTTCAAGCAGCAGGGACACTTCAACAACATGGCCTCCATGGCGTACTCGCCGGACGGCCAGTACATCGTGACGGGCGGCGACGACGGCAAAGTGAGTGTGACGATTGTTGTGTCTGATGGTTGACGGCGGTCTGTGGTCTCACCTGTACCTGTTCTGGACCAGGTCAAAGTCTGGAACACCAACAGCGGCCTCTGCTTCGTCACCTTCACCGAGCACACCAGCAGCGTCGCCGTGGTAACCTTCACCTCCAGCGGCTTCGTCATCGTCAGCGCCTCTCTGGACGGGACGGTGCGAGCGTTCGACCTGCACAGGTGACCCTGAAGTCTAAACCGTGTGTGTGTGTGTGTGTGAGAGTGTGTGTGTGTGTGTGTGTGTGTGTGAGAGTGTGTGTGTGTGAGTGTGTGTGCTGTAGAAACCAACGTGTGTGTGTGTGTTTACAGGTACAGGAACTTCAGGACCTTCACCTCGCCGCGGCCCGCGCAGTTCTCCTCCCTGGCTGTAGATGTCAGCGGAGAGCTGGTGAGCGCTGGAGCGCAGGACTCCTTTGAGATCTTCCTGTGGTCCATGCAGACGGGCAGACTTCTGGAGGTGGGTTTGAAAGACGCCGTGAAGATATTTGTGAAACCGCTCGACAAAAACAAGATAAAAACAAGATAAAAACACTGAATCTGAGAGAAAAGGGACTAAAAACAAGATAAAACAAGATAAAAACAAGATAAAACAAGATAAAAACAGGATAAAACAAGATCAAAACAAGATCAAAACAAGATCAAAACAAGATAAAAACACTGAATCTGAGAGCAAAGGGACTAAAAATAAGATAAAACAAGATAAAAACAAGATAAAACAACTGAATATGAGACAAAAGGGACTAAAAACAAGATAAAACAAGATCAAAACAAGATCAAAACAAGATAAAAACACTGAATCTGAGAGCAAAGGGACTAAAAATAAGATAAAACAAGATAAAAACAAGATAAAACAACTGAATATGAGACAAAAGGGACTAAAAACAAGATAAAACAAGATCAAAACAAGATAAAACAACTGAATATGAGAGAAAAGGGACTAAAAACAAGATAAAAACAAGATACAACAACTGAATATGAGAGAAAAGGGACTAAAAACAAGACAAAACAAGATCAAAACAAGATAAAAACACTAAATCTGAGGGAAAAGGGACTAAAAACAAGATAAAAACACTGAATCTGAGAGAAAAGGGACTAAAAACAAGATAAAAACACTGAATCTGAGAGAAAAGGGACTAAAACAAGATAAAAACACTGAATCTGAGAGAAAAGGGACTAAAAACAAGATAAAAACAAGATAAAAGAACTCAATATGAGAGAAAAAGGACTTTAAACAAGATAAAAACAAGATAAAAGCACTGAATATGAGAGAAAAGAGACTAAAAACATGATAAAAACAAGATAAAAGCACTGAATATGAGAGAAAGGGACTAAAAACAAGATAAAACATGATAAAAACAAGATAAAAAACACTGAATCTGAGGGAAAAGGGACTAAAAACAAGATAAAACAAGATCAAAACAAGATAAAACAAGATAAAAACAGGATAAAACAAAATAAAAACAAGATAAATTATCTGTCCATGCAGCAAGATCATTTCACTGACAAGATTTTTTGAATTAGGGTTGTTGAGTGAGTTCAGTCACCTTCAGTAAGGTTGTTTGATAGAAGATTAAAGTTAGACTTTGACTTTGACTCTGAAAACAGGAGAACTTCTCCAACACTTCTGGATCTACGTTTGTTTTTGTCTTTAAATCATTTTCGGTGCAGATCCTGGTTTTCTGTGAAGATTGTGGATCTGAGAGTCCAGTTTTTACACTGAAGTTCACTCTGGACGTCTTCTTTCCCCTCAGATCCTCGGGGGTCACGAAGGTCCGGTTAGCTGTCTGTGTTTCAGTCCGGTTCAGTCGGTCCTGGCCAGCGCCTCCTGGGATCGGACGGTCCGTCTGTGGGACATGCTGGACAGCTGGCAGGTCAAAGAAACCCTCCCTCTGACCTCTGACGGTAAATACTGACCCTCCATCAGACCAGGAGCCAGAAAACTGGTCCACCTGAGGTTTGGACCTGACTGTCATAGACCTGTACGGCCACTAGAGGGGGCTGAACCAGACGATCCAGACGACTCTGTCCCCAAAACAGACGATTATTTACTGATGTGTGTGTGTGTGTGTGTGTGTGTGTGTCTGCAGCTCTGTCGGTGACGTACCGCCCTGACGGTCAGGAGCTCGCCGTGGCCACTCTGAACGGAGAGATCTCTTTCTGGAACCCTCAAACCGCCTCACAGACCGGCTCCATATCCGGACGCCACGACCTGCAGACGGGACGCAAGGAGACGGACAAGATCACGGCGAAGCAGTTGGCGAAGGGGAAGTGAGTGAAGGGAGTAAGGAGGGAGGGAGGGAGGTCTGACTCCTTCTCTGCTCTGATTCACCCTCTCTCTCTCTCCGTGGTCGTTTCCAGGTCGTTCACCACGCTCTGCTACTCGGCGGACGGCGCCTCCATCCTGGCCGGAGGTCAGTCCAAGTTCGTGTGTATCTACAACATCAGGGAGCAGATGCTGCTGAAGAAGTTTGAGATCTCCTGTAACCTCTCCTTCGACGCCATGGAGGTACGAACCCGGGTTTTTTGAAGTTCCCGCTCTGAGTTCTGGTCTCGGTCTGGTTCAGTCTGATCATTCGGGTCCATGTTGGGACTTTTTAGGAGTTCCTGGACCGCAGGAAGATGACTGAGTTCGGCAGCCTGGCGTTGGTGGATGAGGGCGCCGGAGACGGTGACGGGGTCAAGATCAGTCTGCCTGGAGTCAGGAGAGGTACGGCGCTCTCACCGTCATCACAGGAAGTAGATCTGGAGTCGTATTTGTTTGCTAAAACTCGGCAACACGAAGTCGACCAAACGTCGTTATTGCCGATCATGATCCTGACTTTACGAATCCTTTTACTGCTCGTCGACTGCTAACTTCCTGGGAGGTTTCCTTTCAAAATAAGGGCGTCGGTCTCTGTTATTTTACTTACGGGAAGCGTTTTTTTTTTTTTTTGTAGAATGGTAGGGGAAAGTCCCGCCTCCCTCGCCTCTGATTGGCTAGAAAAGCTGGAAACGTCATCACATGCTCAGTCCAAACGCGGGCTGTCGGCTCTGAATCTCCGAACCAGACAGACGATGACGTTTCACAGCCATTAAGAATAACCAATCAGAGCCCAGCACTTCTAGCCAATCAGAGGCGAAGGAGGGCGGGACCTTCTCCTACCATCCTACAAAAGAAAATGTCACTTACAATAACAGGAAGTGGGGATTGCACCTTCAAAATAAGACTGAGGATACCAACACGTTTGTTCTTTTTCCGTCTCTGTGTTTCCAGGCGACATGAGCTCTCGACATTTTAAACCTGAGATCAGAGTGACCTCGCTCAGGTTCTCCCCTACTGGTAGGTGTTGGAATTACGCTCTGATTCAGACTCAGAGGGAGGGAGAATATTGACCGTCTGTTTCCACGTTTCTCAGGACGCAGCTGGGCCGCCACGACCACCGAGGGTCTCCTCGTCTACTCCCTGGACGGCTCGCTCGTCTTCGACCCGTACGACCTGGACCTGGACGTGACGCCCGCGAGCATCCGTAAAAAGCTGCGGCTGCAGGATTGGACGTCGGCCATCGTCATGGCGTTCCGACTCAACGAAAAGGCTCTGAAGCAGGAAGTGCTGGAAACGGTGCCGCACGAGCAGAGTGAGTGAACCCCGCTCTGATCAGACTCAGATCTCGGGATTGTTAGCGTGACGATAACGACGATCTTTTTTTCCGCTCAGTCCAAGTCGTCTGCAGCTCTCTGCCAGACGTCTACGTGGAGAAGCTGCTCGGCTTCGTGGCGGCGTGTTTGGAGAAGTCGGGTCACCTGCAGTTCTACATGACGTGGGCTCAGAGTCTGCTGATGCTGCACGGACAGAAACTCAAAAACAGGTTTCTTCTTTTTTATACGTGTTTTTACCTCACAGACCGCCGTGTTAGCCACTCATCTCTTACACGATGTCTCTTTGGCGTGCAGGTCCGGAGTGATCCTGCCCACACTTCAGGCGCTGCAGAAAAGCATCCAGAGACACTTTGACGACCTTTCCAAACTGTACGTCCGTTTTCTTGACATCAGTTTTTGTTCAAAGAACAGAAACGTTCAGGACTCTAAACGTCTCTTTTGTCTCCGCTTGAAGGTGTGACTTTAATAAATTCAACATTCGCTACGCCGTGGCTCTGTCCAAGCAGAGGGGGGTGAAGAGAGCAGCTGAGGAGGAGGAGGAGGAGGAGGAGGAGGAGGAGGATGAAGGGCTGTCAGAGGGGATGAGTGAAGCCTCCTTGAACGGTGCAGACATGATCCTGTAGACCTGAAGAAAACCGACAGGATGAATATTTATCTTTGAATATCTTCATGTGAACTCAGAAACTAAAGTGTAAACTGCTTTTTTATTAAAATGTCCGAATGTTTTTGACTTTCATTTTCTCTGGGTGCATTTTTTTAAGCTCAGCTGATCATTTAAAGGGTCTGTTCAGTCTTTAAAGGTCTGTAGATTAAAAAAAAAAAAAGATAGAAAATGTTTTTTTTTGCAATAAAAATGGATCAAAATAGTCCTTCAACCATGAGCTGTCTACTTCTGAGAAGGGAGGTGTGAAAGAAGAACGTTATTCGTCCCTGAGACATGAATAAAACTACAAACATGAGAGGAAATACCCTTAAAAACGTTTTTATTTGTTCATTTTATATCATTTTTGTGAAATAAACCGCTACTTTTACCTCCAAAACGGATTAACACAAGACGTTACTCGAGATACGCTCACAGTCTACAACAAACTACAATACCCAGCAGCGCTTGCGTGATTTCGCAATCTACACTCCATTCCAGTAGGTGGCGGTAATGCTCGTGAAGCTGGTTGCTAACCGCCATTTAAACGAACAAGAAGAAGGAGGAGGGGCAAAGACAGGGCGGAAGTGACGTACTTTGATCCAAAATGAGGGAAAATAAGAACATGTCGGAGTCCCCCTCTCAGGCGGGAAAAGAAATACCGTCGAAAAAACAAAAACTGAGCAGCGACGAGAACAGCAACCCCGATCTATCCGGAGACGAGAATGTAAGCGGAGATGATCATTTTTATTAAAATAACGGCCGTTAATGAAGCTGTAGCGGGTTAGCATCGTGCTAACAGTGCCGGCCGGCTACAGCGGTTAGCTCCGAGCTTTGTTCACCTGAAGACATTCAATCCGCTGTTTTGTCTTTTATTCTGCTCTAAACAGTCTACAGGGGGATGTCCGAGCTCTTTCGGTCATTTTATTCACATTAACACGAAGAAGTGAGATCTGTAGCCTTAGAGTGTCACGTGTATCCTCAAGTATCCGTTAGCAGCAGCAGCTAACAGGTGAAGACAGGTGTGGAGAAGATGAGCTGAAGACTGGGTCTAAGACTGATCCAGCTCCAGACTAACAGATCCACCTTCAGGCTAAGACAGATCCAGCTCCAGGCTAGAGTTGTTCTGATTCCGATATCAGAATCGGAAATTGCTCCGATACTACAGAAAAGGCAGGCATCGGTATCGGCGAGTACTGGAGTCCAGGTACCGATCTGATAGCATGTAATTGATCAAATCAGTAATTAATTAACTACCTGGTTTCCTCTGTTAGCTCTGTTCTGTTTGAATTCCCTTTTTACTGAACAGGTTGTGTCTGCACTTTAATTAAAACAAAATAATTATCCCTACTATGATTTAGTTAAATTGCATTTGCTTATTTTTTTATTGATTAAAAACAAATAAATGAAATTTCTGTATTTATTAGTGTTTTACTAAGGGTTTAACCTGAGCCAGAACTTACCACAATGTTTATCATACCACAGGCAGGCCGGGTATGATACTGGATCTGTAAAATAACATACTGGTATCAGATCGGTACTCAGTATCGGCTGATACCCACAGCACAAGTATTGGAATTGGTATCGGGAGGAAAAACTGGTATCTGTACATGTCTACTCCAGACTAACAGATCCACCTCCAGTCTGAGACAGGTCCAGCTCCAGTCTAAGAGAGATCCAGCTCCAGTCTTTGAGAGATCCAGCTCCAGACTAACAGATCCACCTTCAGTCTGAGAGAGATCCAGCTTCAGTCTAAAGGGGAGACACCTAAACTAGACAGGTAGTGTCTTGATTGAACAGGAGGTCCCTGTCAGCCAAACTCAGGTATTTTGATGTTTATCAGGTAATCCTCTCCACCTGCCAGCATGAAGAAGCTTTAAAGACTGAAAACTTCTGTGAGACTTGGAGGTGTAGATGTACATATGTAGATGTTGCACACATGTGATGTTAACAGCTGCAGATAAATGACAGATACCTGCAGTCTCTCTATGTCCTCACTCAATCACCTGTACTCACCTGTATCTGTAGGATGATGCTGTCAGCGTGGAGAGCGGGACCAACGCCGAGCGCCCGGACACTCCCACCAACACGGCCAACGCTCCGGGGAGGAAGCAGTGGGGAAAAGGAAAGTGGAAGTCCAAGAAGTGCAGATACTCCTTCAAATGTGTCAACAGTCTGAGGGTGAGTACAGGCGGTACACCTGGATGAACAACAACAACAACAACAACAACACTGTCCTGTCCTTCAGACTGATGAGACACACAAGAAAACACCCCCGTCAGAGGAGATTCACAGAAGTGTCGCAATGTTTAAATCCATTTTAATGTTCAAAAATCTTCTTTTTTTTATAATTTAAGAATAAATCTTAAAAACTGACGTCCATGTGATGTGTATAGTCAGAAGACAATCATCATCATTCAACTGTGTAAGAAATGCAGACTAAAGACCGAAGATCGTCAAATTTTTCAAATTTAAAGTGAATCGGCATCCATTGATATTATCATTATTATTATTATCATTATTATTATTATTATTATTATTATTATTATTATTATCATTATTATTATTATCATTATTATTATTATTATTTTCATTATTATTATTATTATTATTATTATTATCATTATTATTATTATTATTATTATTATTATTATTATTATCATTATTATTATCATTATTATTATTATTATTTTCATTATTATTATTATTATTATTATTATCATTATTATTATCATTATTATTATTATCATTATTATTATTATCATCATTATTATTATCATCATTATTATTATTATTATTATTATCATTATTATTATTATCATCATTATTATTATCATCATTATTATTATTATTATTATTATCATTATTATTATTATCATTATTATTATTATTATTATCATCATTATTATTATTTTATCTTCTTTTCTTTCCTCTTCAGTTGCTTGTTAGTTTGTCTTTATTATTATGATTTTTATTTTTCACGTTTTGCCCCCAAACCACATAGATTGTACTCGTCCACACAATCACACAATAATATTCCTCACCATCCATTTTGTGACTGATCCTCTCTACTCCTGTCTCATCTGTGTTTTTGCTCTTTTTCGCTGATGTACCATTATCATATTTTGTTCGTCTTTGTTGGTGTTGTTTTTTTTTAATTCTTCTTATTTCTTGTTTCTATTATTATTCATGTTGCACTTCACTCTTTTGCGTGTCTTGTTAAATGTTTGCAATAAAAAATAAGTAAATAAATAAATCAATAATATCGACATCCACAAAATAGTAGAAGAATGGAACCAGGAGAAAAGCGTATCGTTTTCTAACCATGTGTCCATCTCCTCAGGAGGACCACGGCCAGCCCCTGTTTGGAGTCCAGTTTAACTGGCACAGCAAAGAAGGCGACCCGCTGGTGTTCGCCACAGTCGGGAGTAACAGGGTGAGTCTGTCTGCTGAAAATGATCAAATGGACCAGAAACATTCAACACCAACAGCCCTCATCTGTCTGTCCTCCTCCTCCTCCTCCTCCTCCTCCTCCTCCTCAGGTAACTCTGTACGAGTGTCACTCTCAGGGAGAAATTCGACTCCTGCAGTCTTACGTGGACGCAGACGTATCCTTTCATGTCTTCCTGTTTACTTTGAGGAGCAGGAATCTGTAGGAGGTCTGACTTTGACACAGACCCTGAAAAACTCCCTGCTGTGTAAAAACCCTCAGGAGAGTTTCCTTCACTGATTCTCCAAACAGGCCGACGAGAACTTCTACACGTGTGCCTGGACCTACGACACCAACACCAGCCACCCGCTGCTGGCCGTGGCGGGCTCCCGCGGCATCATCCGCATCATCAACCACATCACCATGCAGTGTATCAAGGTGAGTCAGCTGATGGTCACAGCTGGACTGTTTGCGGTGGTTCAGGACCTGCTCAGAGGAGACGGGAAGCTTCTCTTCTCCGGGGTCATTATCATGTTTGACGGCGTCTCAGCGACAAACAGGAAACTGATCGGTTTATGTCTTTATGATTCAGCACTATGTAGGTCACGGGAACGCCATCAACGAGCTCAAGTTCCACCCCAGGGACCCCAACCTCCTCCTGTCCGTCAGCAAAGGTGAGAATCTGACTGATGACCCAGAAAAGTTCAAACCCAGCGTGTTTGATTGGAGAGCGTGACATTTATGATGTCATCACGCCGTCTCTGATGGCTTTATGGACGCCATCTCCGCACTAAAACCTCCTCCGTCTCTGCAGCTGAAGCTGGTCAGTGAGGAGGAGGAGATAAGATGAAGGTTACTGTGGTTCATGTTTACGGCGGTGTGATGGTCAGGTGGAGAGCTTTTATAGGACCAGGTGAACCCTGACTCAGCAGGTTCAGATCCACACCCTGTCCCAGGTCTGGAGGAGGGAGACTCCTCGACTGTCAGTGACGGGGGTCTTTGCTGACTGATCAGGGTCTCAGACATGAAGGTCCGCTCTGTTTTGACCTTTGAACTCGATTGAAATCATCCGAACTGTTTCCCCAGATCACGCCCTCCGTCTGTGGAACATCCAGACGGACACGTTAGTCGCCATATTTGGAGGCGTTGAAGGTCATCGAGACGAAGTCCTGAGCGCTGTGAGTGTTTTAAAAATCAGTCTGTCTGTGAACGAGGACGTCAGACTGAGTTTGACTTACGTGTGTGTGTGTGTGCACGTGTGTGTGCGCTCTGCAGGATTTCGATCTCCTAGGAGAGAAGATCATGTCGTGTGGGATGGATCACTCCCTCAAACTCTGGAGGATCAACTCAGAGAGGATGCAGAAAGCCATCCGAGGCTCGTACGAGTACAACCCCTCCAAAACCAACAGGTACGACTCTGACACTTCCTGTCTGCGAGGACTTTTCTTCTTCTTCTTCTGTCGTCGTCTGATGTTCTTTATTTCTCTCTTCAGGCCGTTTGTCTCACAGAAAATTCACTTCCCCGACTTCTCCACCCGAGACATCCACAGAAACTACGTGGACTGCGTGCGGTGGCTCGGAGATCTGATCCTGTCAAAGGTGAGAGAACTCTTCCCCACGTCTCTCTGAGGTTCGCTTCCTGCTGGAGTAATAACCCTCTCACCTGCGTCTCCTCAGTCGTGTGAAAACGCCATCGTCTGCTGGAAGCCGGGCCGGATGGAGGACGACATCGATCACATCAAACCCAACGAGTCCAACGTGACGATCCTGGGCCGCTTCGACTACAGCCAGTGTGACATCTGGTACATGCGCTTCTCCATGGACTTCTGGCAGAAGGTGAAACCCTCAGTGTCCGCCTGTAGCTGCAGGAGCTAACCCTCACCTTCATTCATTCATTCATTCATTCATTCATGTATTCATGTATTCATCGGTCTTCTCGCTGGTTTCCAGATGCTGGCTCTGGGGAACCAGGTGGGGAAGCTCTACGTTTGGGACCTTGAAGTGGAGGATCCTCACAAAGCGAAGTAAGTGAGCGAGTCAGGAAACTGAAGGAGGGATGAAGAGAGAGCAGCTCGGTGTTTTAACGCCCTCCTCTTTGCCTCGCAGGTGCACCACCCTGACCCTCCCTAAATGCACCTCAGCGATCAGACAGACCAGCTTCAGCCGCGACAGCAGCATCCTGATCGCCGTGTGCGACGACGCCTCCATCTGGCGCTGGGATCGACAACGTTGAGTTTCTGTGTTTGTCCCCCTGAACCCTGAACAGACCCACACTGCGAGGAAACGCCCCTGTAGTCTCACCTGAGGTCAAGAAGTGTGACTTTTATTTCCTGGAGAGAAGCGAGGCGCCGTGTCGAGGTCAGGAGGAAGATCTCCCAGACGGCGAAGGAGGAGTGGTGGTTTCGTACCAGGTGTGAGTCCAGGTCCAGGATCAGTTCTGTCTCAGAGGGACCTTGGTGGAGCCGTGCTGTCCGAGGATAAGTGCCTTGTAGCTTCCTATGCAGACTCCTTCATTTAGACGTTTTTCCACCAATCAGCCGCTCCCGTTTCCTGCAGTCACAGGGAGGACTCCACACCGTCACTCCACACCGTCACTCCACACCTCCTCCGTCACTTCTTTTCAGGAAAACAAACTCCAAGACGCGACCGATGAGAAGAGCCGGACGTTTCTCTCAGTGTGTCTTCTTCTTCTTCTTCTTCTTCTTCTTCTCTTCATTCCGATTTTTGCTCCGTTTTTCCTCTCCACATGTTTGGACTCACACGTCCTTTTTAGATATTTTTAAAACCGTTTATTTTTTTGCTTGGACTCTCCTCGTGTCCTCCACAAACTCACTCAATAAAAAGTGTTTTATAAATATTCTCTCAGACTCACTTCTTTGACAATTGAAAGAGAGGAAATCAGACGTTTGATCGCGAGTCTCTCACAGTTTCAAAACAACAACAACAACAACAGGGCTCAAATGGAGTTTTCAGAAATGACCCGCCAAAATAAAAGTCTCCCAGAAGATGATTTTTAAAGGGGGGGTGTCATGCTTTTCCACATTTTCAACAAAAACTGTAAAGTTACAGAGTTTGGTGTCCGGACTCAAAGTTTCATATCAGGAGGTAAATGTGTTTTATTTATAATCACAGACGAGAGATGAAAACCAGAGACCCACTAAAACTAAAAAAACAAAGATATTAAAGAAGAAACACAGAATAAGAACAGGGTTTATTAAAGGGATGTGTGTTACAGTGTGTTTGACTTAATTTTATGTGGGAATATCCCTTTAAAACATGATTTGAACAGAAATGTGTAGTTGGCCTCTCTCAGGTTTAGACTAAGAAGATTTGAATGTTTCTGATTCGCTCAGAGTCCAAACTGGTTATTTTGACTTCTACTGTAAATGTTATCTGACCCCCCCTCTGTCTGCTGAGGCCCCCCCAGGAGGACAGCTTTGCTCCGCCCCTGCTCATGTCTGTTGGTTTTTCATTGAACAATCTAAATTAAAGTCTATTTTTTTAACTCCTTCCTCAGCTCCTGGACGCAGATTACAGCCGCCGTCTATAGCCTGAAGTGAACTGTATGGAAGTCAAACTGTGCCATCTGATTTTGAATTTGAATTTCTAAAGCTGAATTTTGTTGCATGAAAACCATCGAATTTTAAGCACGCATTTTTATTTCTGACACTTTTTTTTCACTGATCAAATAAATTCAGTGTAAAAATATCAGTCACTCAAAAGATACATGTAATAAAAATTCAACTAAAAAATGGTATTAAAAAATTCAACATAGAAAAAAATTTTTTTGACTGATTTTTTTTTTAGATTGATTTTTTTACATGTTGATTTTTTTGTGTTAAATTTTTTTTCAAAGTTTTTTTTGTTTAAATTTTACTAAAATCTTTTGAGAGACTGATTTTTTACACTGAATTTATTTTATCATTGTGAAAAAAAAGTGTCAAAATAAAAATGCATGCTTGAAATTCAATAGTTTTAAAATTCAAAGTCTGATTTTAATGCAAAAAAAAAATCAGATTTGGAAATTCAAAATTAGATGGCACAGATTGACTTCCATAGCACTTTATGACCCTGTTTTGCACAGCTGACCCTCACTTCGCACTTTTCTACTCCAGCATGCAGAGGTCACGTGACTGCAGGTTTTGTCCACCCTCTCCTCCTCAGATCCAGACCCTCCATGTCCTCTTTGGACCGCCGTACAAACATGAGGTTTCCTCGCAGTGCGCTCCACAGGCGCTGCGCTCAGGCGCTGCTCGTATGTGCGCCACCTAAAGCGGGTCGTTCCTCCTCTTCGCGGACTTTGGCCCCCTGACTCTGAAAGGTTCCTGATAAGGCAGACAGCGTGGGACCAGCTGCTGGAACCATGTTCTCTCCGAAGTCTCCGAAAAGTCTCTCCAAGTATGTCTCCAGACCGGCGCAGGGCTCCGGGGAGCAGATCTGTATGGTGGAGCCGAATCCGGACTTCAGCAGCAGCTCCAGACCGAAGGTGGGTGACCTCTTTGAAAGAGTTTAAAACGGGTTTAAGAAGTAGAAAAGTCTGTTTGGGTCCGGAGGTGGATCTGAAAGACCTCCGAGCTCTTTAAGGACCCAGATTATCATTAAAGGCGCATTTGAAAGAGTGATTTACAGGATTGGGAAGGCTTTGGTCAGAGGTAATTTAGGGTGAAAAGAGTCCAAATAACTTGTACATGAAATCTCTGTTAACGTTTAACTACATTTGTTTAAGGTCAATCATGTCAGAAATGAGGTTTAAAAGTCCTAATTTAGATCATTTAAAACCTTAAATAACATTTTAATCAATACTTTAAAGTTTTATCGGTTAAAATTTTAAGTCTTTTTTGAAAAAAATTGATATAAAAACCTTTATAATGTTTTCTAGGGTATCTAGGTCAGATATATCTATAATAAACCCTGATGGAGTCAAAGACAGGTGCAGACCTTCTAGGTTCTGTCTAGGGCTGGGCGGTAAAACAATAACAATATATATCAATAATTGATTTCCCTCAATATCAATATAAAACACGATCAATGTGCGTTTTTGATTGTCGGTGTTCTGTCATGATTAGGAGTGAGGTGGAGCTTTTATTTTGGTAAACAAACATTGAAGTTGAGCTTTTATTTTGGTAAATAAACATTGAAGTGGAGCTTTTATTTTGGTAAATAAACGTTGAAGTGGAGCTTTTATTTTGGTAAATAAACATTGAAATGGAGCTTTTATTTTGGTAAATAAACGTTGAGGTGGAGCTTTTATTTTGGTAAACAAACGTTGAGGTGGAGCTTTTATTTTGGTAAATAAACGTTGAGGTGGAGCTCTTATTTTGTTTCTACATGAAATCTCTTTTAATGTTTAATCATATTTGTCTGAAAGCTTTTAGGGTCAATAATTTGATTTTAATCTTTTTAATTAGTCAGAAATTTGTTTTAAAAGTCCTAATTTAGATCATTTAAAAACTTGATTAACTATTGTTTTATCGACACATTTTGGGGTTAAAAAAAGTCTTTTTTAAGAAATTGGATCTAAAAACGTTTTTAGTCTCTTAAAGAGTTTTCAAGGATATCTAGGTCATATATATCTATAATAAACCCTGATGGAGGCAGAGACAGGTGCAGACTTCTGAGCGGTAGAGTTTGGATTTAAAGATCTGGACAGATTAAAGGTTCAGGTGTTCGCTGAAATCTTAGACCCCCGTCTCTGTAGGATGAATCAGCTCTCTGTTTCAGACCTGGACCAGAACCAGAACCGGGTGATTATGGGAAAGGTACCATATCTCATCTCATGGTATCGCCCTTGTGACCAATCAGGATTGAGTATTTAACACAGCTGGGTTCGACAGAGGCAGGTCATGAATGAGAATCTGACCAGAACAAACTCTTTCTGGACTTCGAGAGTCCCTCAAAGCGGCCCTGAACCACAGATTGGGCCTCACTGAAGCTGATCGGACTCTGTGGACCCAAAGATAGAGACACTTTGAACACTGCAAAAAAGGGGGGTCTGAAAACAAGATAAAAACAAGATAAAAACAAGATAAAAACACTAAAAACAAGATAAAAACACTAAAAACAATACCCAGTATTAGTGAAGAATGACTAAACTCTGATCTTGAAACAAGGCTTACTGAATCTGAAAACAAGATTCCTTTGGATGAGACTAGAACTGATTTGAACAGTTATTTTTCTCATGTGAAGATTTCCTGACTATTGGAGACAAACAGAAGAGAAGGTTGTTGGAGAGAAGATTCAGTCTTAATTTTGGTCTCAGGTGGGTCAGAAACTCCTGTCCTGACCCTGATGTCAAAGTCCTGGTTCCTCCAGGTTCACTGACCCACTTCTCTCTGGGACGTCGTTGTTGTTGGTGAATATTGACTCGGAGCTGAGTCACGCTGGGAGGATTATGTGAAGAGCAGGTCATGTGATTTTCAACCCTAAACTGGCAAGGCTGGACTTTCCTGAACCGGGGTCACAGGGAGATCCGGATCAGAGATGACAGCGTGGATTTAGAGACCCTTAATTTAAAGTTTCAGATCTAATCTCTTATGGTCGGGGCTTTCTTCCCGGGTACAATGACGGGAACAGTTCGCCGAGACGTGGGATTAACGGAGGAGGAAGAAGATTAGGAGGCGAGTCCTTCGTGTTTGATTTCAGCTCCAGCTTTTATTTTGGTAGATAAGGACTGAGGTGAAACTTTTATTTTGGTAGATCAGGACTGAAGTGGAGCTTTTATTTTGGTAGATCAGGGTTAGGGTGGAGCTTTTATTTTGGTAGATTAGGACTGAAGTGGAGCTTTTATTTTGGTAGATTAGGACTGAGGTGGAGCTCTTATTTTGGTAGATCATGATTTTGGTATTTTAGGCTGTTAAAGTTAAATTTTAATCTGATCTTAAACCAGCATGTTTGTCTGACTTTAATCTTCCAAATACATTTGTAGACATGATTATTTCTAGACTGAACAATCTTCATTCAAGAAATCTGGTTTAGTGAAATGATCTTGCTGCATGGACAGATCATTTATCTTGTTTTTATCTTGTTTTTAGACGCTCCTTTTTTGCGGTGTCCAGATTACTCACCTCCCGTCAGCGACCGTAGAGCGTACCAGAATGGTATACTGGAGTAAGATGGACGCCGCTGACTCTGCCTCGTAGAGTCCTCTAGTCTTTCTTGTATCTATGGTCCCGGTGACCCAAAGTGACTCTGAATTCTCTCTCCTCTCCTCCCAGAAAAACGGACCGGACTTTGAGAAACAGGGTCTGGAGAACTTGGCGTATGAGTATGGGAGTCAGAGTGAACTCTACCCTCCACCCAGAACCTCCTCCAGAACCTCCCCCAGAACCTCCTCCTCTGTGGACTACGACCCCTCAGTGACCGCGGGCTTTAAGGTGGAGTCAGCGGTCCGGATCAGGGTGGACGGGATGCACTGTCAGTCGTGTGTTCAGGCCATCGAGGGCCGCCTCGGGGTCCTACCTGGAGTTTCACACGTTCAGGTGTCTCTTCAGGAGGGTCTGGTTCTCATCGGGTTCCAGCCCGCCCTGGTCACACCGCAGGAACTGGGTCAGAACATCGAGGAGATGGGCTTTGAAGCCGCCGTCCTGGCTGATGGTCCACCTGGACCGGACATGTTCATGATGACCACGGTCTGGATCTCAGGGATGACCTGCGGCTCCTGTGTCCAGTCTATAGAGGGGAGGGTCTCCCAGATGGCGGGAGTCCGGTCTGTCGTGGTTTCACTGCAGGAGGGAAAGGGAATGGTGACCTTTGACCTCGGTCTGACGGAGCCGGAGAAGATCAGGGCGGCGATCGAGGACATGGGCTTCGAGGCGTCACTGGACGGTAGGAACTCTGAGAGAAGGGGGGGCGGGGTTAGTGAGGGAACTGAGACCATGTTTAGTGTGGACCCAGGTCCGAGATGACATCATAAACCTGGTTCTGATTTAAGGTTAAGGGTCGGCGTTTAAAAAGTGAGCCGTCTCCACGACGAACGCTCTCTGCACCGCGCTTCGAGCTGCAGAGCAAACAGGACACCTGACCTTCAGCTCTCCTCAGTTTCCATGCGTTACCATAGAAACCAGACCAAGTATGCTCTCCAGAGCGGCGTGGAGGGCTCTTATGGTCGGGGCTTTCTTCCCGGGTAGAATGACGGGAACAGTTTGCCAAGACGCCGGATTAACGAGGAAGGAAGAAGATTAGGAGGCGAGTCTTTCGTGTTTGATTTCAGCTCCAGCTTTTATTTTGGTAGATCAGGACTGAGGTGGAGCTTTTATTTTGGTAGGTTAGGACTGAGGTGGAGCTTTTATTTTGGTAGATCAGGACTGAGGTGGAGCTTTTATTTTGGTAGATCAGGACTGAGGCTGAGCTTTTATTTTGGTAGATCAGGACTGAGGCTGAGCTTTTATTTTGGTAGATCAGGACTGAGGTGGAGCTTTTATTTTGGTAGATCAGGACTGAGATGGAGCTTTTATTTTGGTAGGTCAGGACTGAGGTGGAGCTTTTATTTTGGTAGATCAGGACTGAGATGGAGCTTTTATTTTGGTAGGTCAAGAACTGAGATGGAGCTTTTATTTTGGTAGATCAGGACTGAGGTGGAGCTTTTATTTTGGTAGGTCAAGAACTGAGATGGAGCTTTTATTTTGGTAGATCAGGACTGAGATGGAGCTTTTATTTTGGTGGATCAGGACTGCGGTGGAGCTTTTATTTTGGTAGGTCCTGTCCTGTTTTTTTTCTGACTTTATAAACAGGAAATGAGACTTTATCAGTTAGTTTGACCGCAGCAATAAAAGCAGCAGAGAGTTCAAAACAACAACGACCGTAAAACCGTAAAACCGTAAAACCATAAAACCGTCACATGAGGCGATGACATCACAAACCACCGCAGCTGGACTGAGACACGGCGCTGAGACCTCCCTCTGTGGACCTGCTGTCAGGGTCAGCTGTTGTTCATTTAACCACCTGACAGCCACAGATGGAGCTGATTGGTCCGTTTGTGTTACCTTCTCTCTCTCTATTACTGCAGAGGCGACAAAGACCCCCCAGCAGCCTGAAAAGCCCAAACCCGTTGGTTCTGGACCCTTTGACCCTGTGGACCTTGAGTCAGGGGTCGGTAATGGCGCTGCAGGCCCGGTCGCCTCGAAGACGTCGGTTCAGAAGTGCTTCCTCTGTGTGACGGGGATGACCTGCGCCTCCTGCGTGGCCAACATCGAGAAGAACCTGCTCAAACACCCGGGTCAGAACCGAGTCCGGTTTTTATATTCAGTCTAGACTCATAAGGGTGCCGAGTTCTGACCTTGACTTTGACCTCCAGGGATCGTCTCAGTGCTGGTGTCCCTCATGGCGGGGAAAGCAGAAGTGAAGTACGACTCGGCGGTCCTGAACGCGGCCGCCGTCTCCCGGCTCGTGGAGGATCTGGGTTATGGATCCAGACTGATCGAGGACAGTGAGGACACTCAGGGCCGACTGGACCTCACGGTGAGTCCTCATGTCTCATAAACCAGGATGAGGTCTCAGATGTCTCCTCTGAACCCAGAATCTTCTCCTCTCAGATCACCGGGATGACGTGCGCTTCCTGCGTGCACAACATCGAGTCCAGGCTCGCCTCCACCAAAGGGATCCTCGGGGCCTCCGTCGCCCTGGCAACCAAGAAAGCACAAGTCCGATTTGACCCCGAAGTTCTTGGAGCTCGAGACATCATCAAGATCATCCAGGTAGTCCGACCCGGTGATTTTGAACCCGTGTGCCGCCGCCATGAGAGATCGTGATGGAAGAACTGAATCTTTAGAATCTGTTCATAAAAAAGATTCGTTCAAAAGATTCGTTCAAAAGATTCGTTCACTGAATCAGTCAGTGCTTCAGAGCCCCGTCCTGTCAGTGCAGTGCGCCAGTGAGTGACACAGCGGCGAGTTCGTTCAACGAACAAGCCCCTCCCCTTTCCTAATACTTTGATAGAAAATTCATAGTAACTGTCAGAAAAATAATTCTATATCTGACTTGCAGCAGGCTGAGAAGAACGACCGAGATAGTGGACTTCTTTTTCTTCCATATCTTTTACTTGCACCCCGCCCACTAACATCATGACATTACAACAGTATCCAAACAGGGTCCAGGTCTCAGCTGTGGTCTGGACCGGGAGAACAAAGACAGCTTAGTTCAGCCTCAGGTTCCTGCTTATCAGTTCAGTGTCACACTGTTGGGAAAACAACCTGTGAGTGGAATTATAGCGCTCATCTAGTCGCATGGCTTCAGCGGAAAAGTATCATCTCCAAGGTCATACTTCTCCTTTCCCGTGCTCATTAAAAAGAAACAGATATGACTCTGCAAGTATTCACACCAAGGGAGTTTCAGTAAATAAAGATTAATATACTTATATAATGATAAAATACACGTGTGATAGCATACATATACGATTTTCTTTCAGTAACGTATGAAAAAAATCATGTTACAGTTTGTTAAAAAATGTCAAAGTCTAGTATAAAAAAATGTCATAGTGCAGTATGTTAAAAAAAATTCATAGTATCGTATGATGAAAATGTCCATTTTTGTAAATTAAAAAATGTCAGTATAGCATGTTATAAAATGTTATAGAATGATAAAAAAAAAATGTCAAAGTATAGTAATATTGATTTATACCATTGAATGCCTCCATTTTAGCTATAATTAAAATGGTATTAAAAACTGTAATAATTTCTTTCTGTGTTCGGCCTCGGTTTCCTCATTTTCAGGTTTCCTCATTTTCGGTGTATTCCTACGTTCTCTAGTATATCCTGTGTTCGGCTGTAAAGTGTCATTTTGGTTAAATGTCAAAAATGTTTCGTGGTTCCAAAAAGGTTGTGAAACACTGATCTAACCCCTGTGGGTCCACTCCTCCTCTCCTCTTTTAATCAAACCTGATGGTTTTTTCAGGGTCTTGGTTTCGAGGCCAGTCTGGTGAAGGCCGGTTTCAAGAACAACCTGGACCACTCAGAAGAAATTAGACAGCAAGTATCTGGTTTTCACTGTCCTGCTCATCAGAACCTGGATCTTCTTCTGAACCAGATCATCTTAAAGTTCAGGTGTCTGATCCTCCAGGTGGAAAAACTCGTTCCTGCTCAGCCTGATCTTCGGTCTGCCCGTCATGGGTCTGATGATCTACATGATGGTGATGGACAGTCAGCACCAGGAACACGGAGGATCCATGCCTGAGGAGCAGAACCTGCTGCCCGGACTCTCCCTCCTCAACCTGGCCTTCTTCCTGCTCTGTACACCTGTGCAGGTAAGACGCTGGATCTGAAGCGGTTTGTGATGTTCCAGCATCTTTCTGAAACAGGTAGTGGAGGTCACCGCATGGACTCAGAATCACCTCAGGATCTGTCAACTCAGTTTTTTTTTTACTTTCTTTTTTTATTGATTTTTTCTATTTTTATTGATCCTTTTTTTTACTTTCTTTTTTATTGAATTGACATATTAATATTCAATCAACATTTAACATATATTGAACAAATTTCAAACTGTTTAAAATATTTACATACTTCTCCATCTACAGTGAGACAGAAATTCTAAAAACAAAGGAAAGTTAAATAAATAAAGTAAAAATAAATCAAATAAAGTTAAAGTTAGAAATAAAGTCAAAATTAAAAAATTTAAGTTTAAGTTAAAAATAAAGTAAAAATAAATAAAGTTCAAATAAAAAAATAAAGTTAAAGTTAAAAATAAATTTAATATAAATTTAAAAAAGCTATAGTTAAAATTAACGTTAAAAAAGTAAAGTTAAAGTTAAAATAAAGTCAAACTAAATTCAAGTTTAAAATAAATTTTTAAAAAATAAATTAAGTAAAGTTAAAAATAAATAAAATTAAAGTTAAAAATTAAGTTAAAATAAATAAAGTTACAGTTAAAAATTAAGTAAAGATAAATAAAGTTAAAGTTAAAAATATAGTGAAAATAAATAAAGTTCCCTTTTGTCGTATCCGTTGACTCAGGGGCTCCAAATAGAGAGAGTAAATCGTGGCGGTCTGATTGTGAACTCAGTTTTTGTCACTCAGATCTGGTCTTCTCATTGACTCAGTCCTGTTCCTGGTCCTGGTCCCCCCTCCCCCTCCAGGTCTTTGGAGGCAGGTATTTCTACATCCAGGCGTACCGCTCGTTAAAACACCGCACCGCCAACATGGACGTCCTGATCGTTTTGGCCACCTCCATTGCCTACATCTACTCCTGCGTGGTCCTGGTCGTGGCGATGGCGGAGCGAGCCAATCAGAGCCCGGTCACCTTCTTCGACACTCCGCCCATGCTGTTTGTGTTCATCGCTCTGGGTCGATGGCTGGAGCACGTGGCTAAGGTACCGAACTCGTGTTACCTTTGAAGGTGTGAGGTTCTGACTCTGAAGCTCCGCCCCTTTTCCTCTCTGTTTCTGTTTTCAGAGTAAAACCTCCGAGGCTTTGGCCAAGCTCATGTCGCTTCAAGCCACTGACGCCACCGTGGTCACTCTAGGTCCAGACCACGCCATCATCAGGTGACTCACAGGAAACCAAACACTCTGTTGACCTGGAGATACCTGTGAACCCTCCGTCTGAACAGGTGTGTGTGTGTGTGTGTGTGTGTGTGTGTGTGTGTGTGTGTGTGTGTGTCTCTCAGCGAGGAGCAGGTGGTGGTGGATCTGGTCCAGAGAGGTGACATCGTCAAAGTGGTCCCTGGAGGAAAGTTCCCCGTGGACGGGAAGGTGATCGAGGGGAGTTCCATGGCGGACGAGTCCTTGATCACAGGTGAGTGGGCGGGTCACACCTGCCGGGCAGTGACACGGACTTCCTGGAGGTTCCCGATAAATTTCCGACTCCTGAGGACAACTGTAACATGATTCCTCGTGTGTTTACCTGAACCAGGTGAGCCGATGCCCGTCAGTAAGAAGGTGGGCAGCTTGGTGATCGCCGGCTCCATAAACGCTCATGGCGCTCTGTTGGTGGAGGCTACGCATGTGGGGGCGGACACGACGCTGTCCCAGATCGTCAAACTGGTGGAGGAGGCCCAGACCTCTAAAGTAAGACCCCGATCAGGTTTTGAGTCACATGAGAAAATCAGCTGATTCATGTTCAAACCAAAGTCCACCCTGACTCTCTCCTCTGGACTCTGCCGGGTCCGCTCAGGCCCCCATCCAGCAGTTTGCAGACCGGATCAGCGGGTACTTCGTGCCCTTCATCGTGGTCGTCTCCCTGCTCACTCTTCTGGCCTGGCTCGCCGTCGGGTTCGTGGACTTTGACATCGTGAAAGAAAACTTCCCGGTAAAAATAAAAGTTTGTTAGAAAAGTTTCAAAATAAAAGCCTCAAAGATCTCCATGGTAACCATCTTTGGTTCTCCTCAGGGGTACAACCAGAACATCTCCAGAGCCGAGGTCATCGTCCGCTTCGCCTTCCAGGCATCCATCACCGTGCTCGCCATCGCCTGCCCCTGCTCTCTGGGGCTGGCGACCCCGACAGCTGTGATGGTGGGAACCGGGGTGGGAGCGCAGAACGGGATCCTGATCAAAGGAGGAGAACCGCTGGAGATGGCCCACAAGGTCGGTCCGAGAGCTCCTAGAGTTTTTATCAACAATCATCAACAAACATGTGACGGACTGCTCCTTTAACTCTCGACTGACACCCGGTGGCCTGTGGGTGTTACTGCAGGACAACTCCGAGCTCAGAGTCTTTTGGTCCAAAGACTTTAACCCTCCGGGGCTCTTTGGACATTTTTGTGACTTTTTAACTTTCGTTTCTTGATCTTTTCGGCTGAGTTTGTGCACATGGGATGTTTTTTTTTTAGGGTTTTTTTTTTCTTTCCAAATTTTAAAACTTGACCACCCATCAGTTTTGGTCAATACTGACCACATCAGGTGACAGAAACACGATACGTTCAGGTCCTTAGACGGACAAAAATGTCTATCTCCTAAAAGTACAATAAAAATATTATACATTAATATTTTTTTCCACTTTTTTTTTTCTCAAATCTTTTAATCAACTTCATTCCTGATCATATCTTTCAAATGTTAATTTATTTTCATGATTTTTAACCCTTTAAATGCCAGTTTGACCGTCTGACGTCACTGTTCATTTTAATAGGAAAAAAACAGGAATTTGGAGTTATTTTCTAGATATTTAATGCCGGGCAGGAATTTCCTTGTTTATATGGCAGCCTATGGTGGGTCAATAATTACCAACAAAACTGGTTTGATGCTTTCTTATTTTTTGTGTCATGCCTGATAGAAAAATGTAGATTAAAAAAATTCCACTGAAGCCTTTGGATCAAATCTACCGAACATGTTTCTGTTTCACTTTAAAAAAACAAACTCTTTAAACGCCCGTTAACTCTTTTTTAAGGACCCCTGAGGTTAAAACTCAGCTGTGACTCTCTCGCTCCAAACGCTGGATTTAACCCTTCGTTTCCTGGAGCCTTTTGGTTTTTACTAACCCATAAATAAAAGGACGTCTGATAACAGATTTTTAATGACCGCTGTTTTCTGTTTCCTTAGATCGGCGTGGTGATGTTCGATAAAACCGGCACCATCACTAACGGCGTCCCGCGGGTCACTCGTGTGCTGGTGTTGTGGGAAGTGGCCCGCATGCCTCTGAGGAAGATCCTGGCGGTGGTGGGCACGGCGGAGGCCAGCAGCGAGCACCCGCTGGGGATGGCGGTGGCCAAACACTGCAAAGAGGTGAGACTGAGCGCGTGCGGACTGAGTTAGTACGTCTGTGAGCCGGTCTTGAAGTCCAGGTTTTGTCTCTGCAGGAGCTGGGATCAGACCTGCTGGGTTACTGTCAGGACTTCCAGGCGGTTCCGGGCTGCGGGATCAGCTGTCGGGTTTGCGCCGTGGACCATCTGCTGCAGCCGCAGAGCGAGCAGAAGTTCCTGCTGCCCGGCGCCACGACAGATGAAAGCAGACTGATGGTTCCTGCGGAGGACGAGTCTGCAGGTCTGAGAGTCAGGGACCGAGTCCTCTGTGCTGGATCAGAACCCTGAAACCCCTCTGAGACTTTATCTCCTCTGGACTTTTAGGCGAGCCCGCCCCGTACTCGGTTCTGATCGGGAACAGAGAGTGGATGAGGAGGAACGGTCACCACATCCAGGCGGACGTCGACGCCGCCATGTCCAGTCATGAAACCAAAGGACAGACGGCGATCCTGGTGGCCATCGACGGTGAGAGAACCGCCCTGCAAAAAAAAAACAAGATAAAACAAGATCAATGATCTGTCCATGCAGCAAGATCATTTCACTGAACAAGATTTCTTGAATGAAGATTGTTCGGTCTAGAAATCCCCCACAATCCCTTTAGTCCCCGACCTGCACGTTCTGACCTCTGACCTTCCTCTGCAGGTGTTTTATGCGCCATGATCGCCATCGCAGACACCGTGAAGCCCGAGTCGGCGTTGGCGGTCCACACGCTCTACAGCCAGGGCATCGAGGTGGTCATGATCACAGGAGACAACAAACGCACGGCTAAAGCCATCGCCGCACAGGTAAGACACACACCTGTAGAGACAGGGGAGGGGTCAAAAGGTCAAAAGAGGTCAGGGTGACCTTGAGGTCTGGGTCTGGTCTCAGGTGGGGATCAGGAAGGTGTTCGCGGAGGTTCTGCCCTCACATAAAGTGGCGAAAGTCCAGGAGCTGCAGGAGCGAGGTCTGAGGGTGGCCATGGTGGGAGACGGCGTCAACGACTCGCCGGCCCTCGCTCGGGCTGACGTCGGCATCGCCATCGGGACGGGCACGGACGTGGCCATCGAGGCGGCGGACATCGTCCTGATCAGGGTGAGTCAGACTCTGAGAGTGAGCGGAGAGAGCGAGACGCTGAAGAACGAGTCAAACCCGAGTTTTCTTCACTCGACAGAA